CCTGCCCACTGACACAGCTGTCAGTGTGTATACGCGTCCATGGAAGCGGATTGAGCGGGTGATGGAGGCGCGGCGGACTGCCGCCATCTTCTTGTGCAGATATGTATGTACAGGGTACATGGCAACGGGATGTGCAGCACGCACAGCAGCAGCAGCAGCAGCAGCAGCAGCAGCACAGATGGATGGATGGATGGATGGATGAAAGGGTGGGTTGGAGGGATGGTAGGGTGGGTGGGCTGTATTTTCTTTGATGCAACCTCAACTCCAGCGTGGGAAAAACCGACGAGTCGTTTGAATCGTTCGACGTTGTGCCTTTCCTGTGCTTACATAACCCCCTCGGTCCCACCTGCACCTGCACCTGCACCTGCACCTGCGCGTGCATCTGTTGCTTCTGTTCTGCTTCTGCTTCTACTTCTGCCTCTGCCTCTGCTTCTGCTTCTGCCTCTGCACCTGCACATCAGCACATGTGCCTGCACCTGCGCCTGCGCCTGGGTTCTGCCGTCCGTGTCCGTGTCGTCCGTCGCGTTTCTCCTTCCCACCAACGAACCAACCCCCCTCCCCAAACCCCCAAGAGGGAGCTGTGCACTGCCTCCTCATCCACTCTCGTCTGGAACATTGCATATTTCCAGATCCTCATCTGTCGTCCCGCTCTGCTTCTTCATCCAGGAACGGCAATGCTAGTGCTCGCGGGCGGCGGAAGGCCCTTCCTGCTGCCTCGGCCCTGAGCTCTACAATCTGAAATATGGAATATCCCGCCCGTACGCCGCACTACATTGCAATGCACTTTGTACTTTGTACTCTGCATTCTGCACCCTGCCCTGCCCTGCCCTGCCCTTCCCTGCTGTGCTATATGCTATGTCTGTACCTTCGTACTGTTCCCACCCCTGGCCGGGTCTAGGTGCAATTACTATTCCCAGTCAAGATGCTTCATCTCGACGTGCCTGACTGCTTGTCCGGTCGGAGGTCCATCCATCCAATCCACCCACACCTACACCCACACACCCACACACACACACCATGGCTTGATTCCCAACCGGGGCCCGCCAAGAGGAGCTCTCATTTTCCCTGCCAGGGCTGTGCGAGCTCGTTCATCGGTCGCCCGTTTCCTCACCCACATGAGTGCTACGGTAGCGTAGGATCCTCCGACACCCAATCGACCATCGGCTCCCAAACGGTCAAGCAGCCATCTCTCTTGCGGGCAATGGAACATTGGTTCTCAAAAAGGGTCATGTGCGTACAGGAACATGCAGTCTCACCTCATTCTCGTCCTGCCCTGGCCTATAATCATCATGGCCACTATATTAGTACCACATCAGAACCGCCCCTTCATGCAGATGCTATGCTATACACGTACAGTACATTCGACACGACAAGTGGCTGTCCATAAACCATGAACCGAGCACATCACACATCAAACCACACGCTCGCGGCTGTTCGGCGCAACTTTTAGGCTTTGCCAGCCAATTTCAGATCGATCGGTGTCGCCCTTCGACCACTCATGGCCAAGCATTGCCATTGCCCACTTTCACATCCCAGGGGTTTGGATCCGAAAACCAGTCCACCGACGCAAAGAACCAATTCTTCACGTCACGGCTGCCCAAGCCTCGCTGGGTACTCCTTGCATCGACCCGACCTGCCGCGGATGACTCAAGCATGACTCCAGTCTCCAGCGACCCGTCCAGGAACGATTCTGCCATGCGGCAATTCTCCGCTCGAACCGGATGTCCTCCGGCTGCATCTGTCCTGGGGGTCCTGGCTTTCTAGTGCTGGGCATGGACGAGGTTGTGATTTCTTTCTTCCTGTCTGCCACCTGCAGGTCAACGCCGGTAGTGGATGCGACCCCATCCATCATTCGCCATGTTGCATGTTGCATGTTGCATGCCGGCTGATAGAACTCTGTGCCGAAAGCTGCTGCGCTCTGCAGGCCCAGCTCCTGCTGCCAAACTATGTTTTGACTTATGCAAGGCCCAGAGTCCACACTTCTTCAGAAGCCCACTGCGGCCAGACACGCGGCCAGGACACCATCCGAGGGACTGTACACGTACTTCACCCGACTGGAAGGGTCTGGAGTGCCGCACGTTGGCCATTCGAAGCCTGCCAACCCTTCTCGAATTCAGTGTACCAACCCTGGTCTGAGGCTAGCAATGCCTGCCACCTACGACTGGCATCTCTTGCCGAGCAGTGAGCCTCTCTGACAGACTGTCTCGCCTCTTGACGCGGCGCTGATACATACATCAGCAGAATCAATGGCCATCGTCCATCGCGTGGTCGGGATTGAACCGTGACCACGTCTCCACACTTCGCTAATCTCCCAACGACCATCTCATATCGGCTAGGGCGATAGTCTATCCCCGGAGATTACTTGAACCAGAGATGGGGGCAAAATAGAGAAACCCGGATCAGGCCAACATCGCGAAACTCAAAATTTCTGGTAGCACTGCCCTCGTTCTCTAAGAATAAAGCGGCACAAAGGCGTCCTTCGGATGGGATACTCAAACTCGGCGTCAACTGCAACACCACGACCGCTCGGTCCAAAATAGGGATCGCCAAGGCGGTCCTCGGCATGAACAGTTGGCCAGCACGGAGCCGGCGTGTGCAGCACTCCGTACAGGCCATTACCCTGTCAGCGAACAGTTGATCAAACCGCGCGCGCGGGCCGTCCCCGTCCAGCTTTAATTGCTAGCCGGTTTCTGGCCAGGAACACCAGATCCTTTGGGACCGATCCACACTAGGACGTCGAGACCAGCGAAGTGACTCCCAGAGACATGGGGGCCTGTTAATTGTTGCCATTATGATTTACCAACTGATGCAACAGCCGTGTAGCCGAGGGCGGCGTGGTCGTCCATCGTTCGGCACTTATCAAGACGGGCAAAGCATTTGTGTGGCAGGAGGATTGAAAGCCCAACGTGGGCGTCATATGTGGGTGTGCGGGACGATGAGGTGCAGGTATGGCTTGCAGCACGCAAAGCATGGGTTAATGCATGCCATGGAGCACAGGACTACCTCCAGATTGGAGAAGAGCGAGATGACGGGACCCGTTTTCGTTGCTCAGAGGGTGAACCGTGTGCCCTGGGAAAACTGGGTTATACTGGCCATTTTAATATCAGCCTTCACCAAACATTTACGACGAGTTACACGGCCGTGCGAGCTCACGCACCAATCAAGGAGTCTGTACGCCCACCTTACCGAGATACAGATGAGCGATTGATCAGGATACGCTCCGTGCCTTACTCAGGTGTGCTCGTGCCACCAGTTCATCTCTGGACTCGGGACCTGCCTGCGTGCATCCGGCCTGCCTCCTCCGCATCAAGCAAAGAAGCGCAAGACTTTATGACAGGAAGGGAATGACATTTCGGGCTGGTTTTCCCATGCGAGTAAGGCGATGTCGAGAAACTGATGCTGATCGGCAATCTGCATGCGCTCCGGGCGGCTCTAAGCATCAAGCCGATGCTTCTTCCAGTTGTACCGTCGGCGACTGGCGGCTGGGTGATATCACCCAAGAGAGGAATGCTCACAGTTTAATGTTCATGGATGGAGACACTGTATAACACGGTATACTTTCACGCGAGCCCGAATAGAGGCGGGGCCAAGATCCACGCAAGCGAAGGGATCTGGACCTTGTCAAATGGTTTCTTTTCTCGAGTTATGTTTCTTTGTGTCGTGTTGCTTCCCCGTCGACCACCCGAGGCTGCTACTGGGTAAGAACTGCAGGTATGAAAGGCAACAACAAGCCACGCGCCGGTCAGATCTTTAGCGCAAGGGATCCAACATGGTCTCAGGTAGCGCGATACCCTGCGTTGCTTACTCTCCCGGCCCCTGGCTGTTCACACGGTGACTGAACTCACTGCAACATCACGATGCCCAGGCACTGTGCCGCTAGCGGTGGACGACATCGCTGTCACGAACTCTGGTGGAGGGACTAATACGTAACCTGACAGTAGCCTCATCAAACTGGAAATGGGCTGACATTTGATTGATTTCTATTTCGAGAGAACGTCTCCGATGTAGTCGCACGTTATTCCCCGGGAGGCCAACCATAGCCGCCATCGATGCCCGAATGCGTAAGGCGCACAATTCATCATGAGGTGATCATCATTGTGTTCGGGTACGGCAGCGGCTACGCCCACAACGGGTGGGTTGACTAAGATGAGCTGCATGGTGCTGATGCACTAGGCATTCGTCTTGTCACAAGGGAACCCAGCGAACAGAAGAAGACACTAGCAGAAATTCGCGGGCGTACTAAACGGAACATTATCAATGAGGGTATCGTGAGCTGAGAGGGATTGTCCAAGATGTTGAGTGGGCGTCAATGGTCACCCCGGGAGGCAGCAGCAGCTCGTCGTTCCGTCTCCGGGTCCGTTGCAGCTAGATATCCTCGGATGGCGGGTCCCCGTGAAGATACGGAAATAAGGCCCGCCTCCCGCGTCGACACAATCAGCCGCCGGCTGCAGCAACGTGGCAGAAGCCTCAACTCCGCAATTCCGCCCCGCGTCTCCAGATGTAAATGGAACGGCTGGGCTGCATATAAACTCCAGGCTTCGCATCGCTGAAAATCGGTGATTCTCATCCGCCAAGTGTCAATTTGAACGATCTTAAAGAACCCCAACGTCTCCAAAGAGATCTTGGCCTAGTTTCCAGCAAGCAACCTGAAGTTGCACTGTCGCCGGAATCGCACTGGCAAGGTTTCACTCTATTGTTGAGGATCAGGATCCAGCTGTGTACAAGTCGGGTGCTGAGCCGACTTGACCGATCTACGACAGAGCACAGAATCGGGGTACGAAGGGGCCAGGTAGCAGCTCTAAGACCTCTCACCGGGCAGCCGATCGATTGTGACACGGCGTCAGACTGACATCTGCCGTGGATCCTCTCACGGCCTTGAGCAGCTGCGGCAACACCGACGCGGACACAGACGCTTCATCTGTCGTCTTGTGACAGGACTCGCCTGGACTTCAAAGGTCGAGCATCCCTGGTCAGTGTGACTACCAAGCTTGTGAGACAAGATGGCAGCCGAAAACTTTCAGCAGTGGACGGTTGATGAACCGTATCTCAACATTCACTGCAAGCTTGGAGAAGGTCCCTACTATGAGAAGGCAACCAACACCTTGCGCTGGGTGGACATTATCAACCAGCGTGTGCACACGGTGTCTCTCACCGATGGGCCAGAGTCGGTCAGGACCATCCAGCTGGACACGCCCGTGGGTGTCACGGCGGATGTGGAGGGGGTTGACCCCCAGGAAAAGATACTTGTCGGCATCAAGTACGGTATCGCCTTGCTTGACCGCAAGACGGGCAAATATGAGTACATCGCCAGATTCAGTTCAGCCGATGGACAGGACAATGAGCGCCTGAGGAGCAACGATGGCGCAGTCGATCCCCATGGCCGCTTCTGGCTGGGCAACATGACTGATTTCAATAAGGGCGAATTTCAGACTGAAGGTAAGTCATCATTATGCCGACCAATACCCTCTGAACTTTGATTTCCCTCGGGACCGAGAAACACGTGCACAGACGGTCCGGCACCCACAACAATCCATGAACCCGTACTCGCCGAGACGTGATAGTTGCAACCAGTTCGCTGCTGAGAACCCTCGGACTGACTTGACAGGCGGCCTTTACCTCTTTGATGGGAGGGGAAAGCCATCGCAAACCAAGAAGATTGTGCCGGATCTTATGATCCCAAACAGCATTAGCTGGTCTCCCGATAATAAGACGCTGTATTATACGCACTCCAACGCCGGGAAGGTCTATGCTTACGACTATGACACGACCGATGGCAGCGTGTCAGGCCATCGAATTTTCTACGCACATGAAGGGTCGGGCGGGCCCGATGGCCACCGCGTGGACAAGGATGGTAACATGTGGCACACGGTGTATGGGGAGAGCCGAGTCCTGAAGCTCTCGCCGGAGGGGAAGCTCATCGGTCAGATCAACCTGCCGACCAAGAACATCACGTGCTGCGAGTTTGTGGGGTCGGAGCTCTACATCACGACAGCGAATGACGATGAGGGCGAGGGCAGGAGCAAGGAGCTGGGAGGAGCACTCTTCAAGGTGGATGTCGGGACCACTGGCCTCGAGCCATTCAAGTTCAAGCTTGGTGCCTGATCTGCCTGATCTGCCTGATCTGAGAAAGGTTGGGACGGAACGCATACCTGTGCGGCAGTAACAAGTGTCCATGCATTCTGGGCAGCGCATTTCGTGCGTTGACTGGGTTGATGCCCTTTAGCCAAGATTGATATACTAGAATCCCATTCCCTTGCAAGCCAGCGAGACCATGGCTATATCTGTCTCCCAAGCCGGATGAGAATCAAGCATTCATGCAACTAGGCTCCCCATCGGCACTTGTAGATCAGGTTCAGGACTAGAGAAGATATCGAGGATCATCCATGGATGGATGACAATGCCTTCCAGCCAGCCAGTCCATGCGGGGGAGGGTCTGGGGATTTAGGGTCAGGGCACCAACCGGCGTTCGTGCATTGATTCCAGCCGGATCTCAATCCGACTCCGTCACGTCACGTCAGACGTTCGCCTTCAGTCTTATGTGGACTGGGATGACGACGGCGACGACCTCTTGTCGTAATCGCACCAGAATCGCAGCGATACTCAACCATAGGCACTATCTTGCCTACAGCGGTCATTCATTCAGCACAGGCGTGAGCAAGCTTCAAGGGGTAGTCCGACAGAGTGGCTATCGCCAGCCTGCTCCTATCGTGAACCAAACTGCCGCTAGCGGCGGTATTGCTCGTCTTGACAGCGATATTAATCGTTCTGAGGAAAGATCCATCCAAGAGCAAGGCGATGCCGCTGTTGCTAAGGGGAAGAGCAGGTCTAAAGCCGCCGGACTGGGCCATACAAAGGCCAAGATCTTGGAGAGGTCTAAGAGGGGTGGTTTGCTAAGGGCACCGCGGCCGAGTATCACAAGCCATACGGAGACTCGAAGTTTGCGCCTCCACAGCCAGCAGACAGCTAGCCGCCTCATGTCCGTGTCCGGCACCGACCATTATGTCCAGGCTGCTGGAGGCGGAACGGAAAGAGCGCGCTGCAGAGGCTGCGCGACGTCTGGGCATTGAGTCCGTCCTCAACATGCGGTCTTTCCGCTGCTGGCGCAAGCAGTTTCGAGCTTGAATCAAATTGCGTCCGCGCTGATGGCTTTGCCCTCAGATGAAAGGCAGGGCCAAGCAGCTCAGACTGGGAGGATTCCAAGACGAGAGCATTGCGGTCCAGCTGAGGGGAGTCCTGCTAGGAAGTCGCCACCGCATTGAAGGCCAGGGATATTTAGAGAAGTGACTGGGCGCTCAGCAGATGGTGGTTGATGTGACAGTTAGGGGGAAGGGCCATGAGAAAGAGTCTCAGGTTGCAACCTGTTGGTATGTCTCGGGAATCTGCCAGGCTCTAGATCTGTCATGGCGCACTCTATCTGGCATGCCATTGATGTGCGCACAGAGCCAACTCCGATGACATCGCGCATGATCTGGCCCCTCGAGGAGTGGTCTGGGAGCGCCCTGTTCAGTCAGTCTCGCATGGTGGAGAGGATGGGGGCTTTGTGTGATGAGGCCGACCGGATCGAAGCTATCCATTACAAGCTTGTCAGGAGAGCGAGGACAGGGCAGCAGGCAGCGGGCAGCCTTCGATGAAACCGCCAAAGAACCAAGCGTGAGAACGTGGGCTCGTGGGTTGGTTGGGAGATGAAAGAGCCAACGGCATGGACAAGACCAGCCAGGGACATCATGGGACCAAGATACGCACCGCAAATCAGGGAATGGGGGCACGCGTGGACGCCGAGGAAGGCAGTGAGTCTCGGTCCATCGTACGATGAGAATGGTATAAGCTCAGAAGATGGTCATAGCGACCACGAGTCCAGCCCTAGTCCAGAGGCTCCTCCACCACATAGGACTTTCTCCGACGCATAGTATTTTGACGTCGAGTATCATCGACACTACTGCAAGCGCGACGATCATCACACAAGAGAGTTCACGAGATCCAGAAAGCGACATCGATTATGTGACCGGCTCAGAGTCCAGTGACGAGGAACATCCCAGAAAAAGGGCGTGCAAATCACACGACGGGAACCATGAACCAGGGGCGCTAGACGGCGATCCAGGTTCTTCGGATAAACCAGAGCTCAACAGTGCGACCTTTGCAGTCGAACCAAGACCGTTGAGCCGCGGCATGTCGCAGGGCAGGAGGCGCAACACGATGTTGAGAATCCAAACATCGCGGTAACCGCCGCGGCGCGCGTCTTTGCGCGAGCTGAAAAGACCTAACCGAAAGTTACGGGGTAGCCACCTGGGCCGATTTCCTTGGAACCAAGGGGTCCAGAGCACATCACTACCTTCCCCTCAGGAGTTATCCCGAATCGTGTCACGCCGAATATGGCCAGATTCAGCTACGAAGGAACAGCCAAGCAGCGATATCTCGCATCGCTTCCCAGCATGCGGACGAGGGCCGTGGTGCTTCTGCAACACCACGAACCCCCTGGTTGGTATCATCCATGCCTGCCTGACCACCATAGGGGGTTGTCAACTGCGACAGTAAACAAACAGCCCTCGTGAGGCTGCTTTTCCTGCACGACGCCCAAAAAAGTCGGTCTCGGGCGCCGGCAAAACGCAAAGCTCCGCCTGCGCGGCCTCGACCACGGATGGCCCACCTCCCCTTGCGTGATGATTGACAGCGGAGGCTTATGCAGCACACCTTCGTCCCCTCCCGCGAGTCAACCACCTGAAACGGGCACTACTGTATAATACCCCGGCCGGCCTTGCAAGCCCGGGAGCTGTCACAGCGCAGCAGCCCTCCAGCCCTACGGTCTCCACCAGCAGCAGGAACATCGGCAGATCGTTCGTCCACGACGGCGGCGCAGCGCGGCTGCTGCTGTCATCCCTGCCCCCTGTGGTGCGCCCCGGGGTTGCCGAAGCGAACCGGTCAGCGCTCAGCCGTGGTAGATCACGTACGGTGAGATGATCTGGATATCCAAGCGGGTGTTGAAAAGACAGGGTGGAAAACAGGGCGGTGGCGGGGAGCCTCATGGGGCTGCTGCCGAACGTCAAGGATGTCGAGGGCGGCCAGGACGAGGCTGAAGGAAGAAGCCGCGCGGGTTACAGGCTCAGCGCTCGCTCTAGGAAGCTTGGAGCTGGGGGGCTGCGGGAATCAGCGCGGTGTTGGCCTCGCCCAGCAGATAGACTCGTGCCCCAGATAAACTCCCGACCTGGATACTCTAAAGGTGTGCGTACATGAGGATCGTAGAGGTCCAGGAACCTTCCACCGTCAAAGCCTAACCCCAGTGCTTGCAACCCCAGACTGGCGCGTCTCACCTAGATAAAATTGCCCGCCGGGGTCCCGGGGGGGCTCAACTTCGGTTCTATTAGCATCGCGAACTATCGAAACACTCCCGCATGCTGCCGCACAGCTCCCCCCTGCCGCGCGCCTATTAATAATTAAAAGACACTTTTTCCCATGCGGCCATCAATCGGTCCGCCCAATCTATCTGCCACTCTCAACGGCCGCACCATGGGCCGGAGACGTCTCGCCTCGGGCGGCGGGGCGGAAAGGCTGAAAGCTTGCCCTCTCGGACCGAGCTTTCCGATCTCAGGCCCGACCCAGCATATGCGGACGGGCGCCTCTGCGTTCGTACCTGATTTGTGCCAAATTTGGTACGCCAATAGGATGCCCTGGGTGCCCGTCCGCGTATAGTTCGTTCAGAGATGGGCTTGCTTTCTGGGACGCCTCCAGACCTGGGCCCGAGAGATGTTTTGATCCTGATTTTTGGAAACAAAGCGGGGATGAATTTCATGCTGGCTACTGGCATGAGGTCGTATTTGCGCTCGACGGGATGGCAGGCACACTTGGTCGGACGCAACTCTGTCACTTTAAATCCGTCAGGACATAGCTACCTGTCTGTGTGTCTGTCTGTCTGTCTGATCCCACCTATTGATGTATCTTGCCGCTGCTCGGGCAGAGATTGAATTTTCCGCCGTCGTAGAGGCGAATCCGACCAAAGCAACAAAGAATTAGGGTTCAAGTTGCACGAGTACTCAGTACCTGCTCCAATGACCGAGAGTTTCTGCCGAATGTCACATATACCTGCTGTCGATAAGCACGAGGGGAAAGGCCCTGAATGACACCTCGGTGGCCGTTGACAGGGGCATATTGAAACTTCCAGCGTAGTTTCGGGGTACCATGCATTTGGGTGACCACTCAGACAAAGAAAGCTTGTCGGGGTCCTTGCTTTAAGTTGACACGGAGCCCGAGCTGGGACGGACTTGTCTCCAACCCGCATTTATTGACCGGAACAGCTCCGAGAATATGGACTGCTACATGGTAATTGGATGTAATCCTGCGCAGACACGGCCACAGTCCTATTCTCATGGCTTCAGAGCATAGATTCTCACTGGGAAGAGCTCCTTTGGAAATCCACGTTGGGTCTCCGCTTTAACGAGTCTGAGCCCAGCATCCTTGAAGATGTCCTGAAACTTCTTGTCGGTCCTGTTCGCGATAGGCATGTCAGGAGGTGCCCAGCGCCTGGGTATATTTTGGACCGGATGCAACCGAGAGTGATGTCAAACTTACCTCGTAACGCTGCTGTCCTGGTCGTCGAATAGGTCGACACCACTGGTGCTAATGTTCTCCTTGACCACGATGAGCCCGTCATCAGGGGTCAGGACTGTTTTGCATGTCTCCAGGTATTGGACCAGCTGTTCATCTTTCAGATGACCCACACACCATTGGTTCCATACGAGGTCGTATTTGACACCCACATCGGGTCGCCATTCCTCCAAGCCGACATTGAAGACCTGGCGGACGCCACTCTTCTTTGAAAGAGCCTCTGTAAATTTGGCTATTGGCTCAACGACATCCACTTCTTGTGCTATGCTGAGCAATAGTCCCTCGGTGATCCTGCCTATCCTGAAAGCCGGAAGAAACGAGCAGAAGTCTTAGCTGGCAGTCAAGCAAGAGATGCTCGGGAGTGTGGGGAAGAAGACATGCGGGAAGCCCAAGAGCACAGCTTCGACTCCAACATGAGAGTCTCGGCGCATGAGCTCTCGGGGCGTGACGAGAGGGGGAGGCGAAAGTCAATCACTCACCCTGCTCCGCCCTCAAGAGCAGCGGCGACAGTGCGCTGACCGTCCTTGGTCCCGATGCCAAACTTAGCAAGAAAGTTTCGAGACCCTTGTAAGTCCACCCGCGACACATAGGGAAACCCCCCTAACATGCCGTTGACGTCGGCATCGACATCTGCGCGTCCGCGAATGACACCGCGTCAGCTAATCTGTTTCAATCGCTTGCAGGTAATGCAGAGCACGTGTGACACTGAGGAGAAAGGGGGGGAGGGGAGGGAGGGCAAGGGTAGGATCCAGGAGGGGCAAGAAAATAGAGCATAGACGGGAACGCCACTCAAACCTTACTTTGCCAGTAATTCCGCCCATCCTCGACATTAATCTTGGAATCTGGCGCTTCTGAGGCGGTTGGCTGGTTGTGACCAGACATTTTGCGAGACGGGGACAACAAAGTTGAGTCTTGCCGGTACGGGTACGAGCTCCAATGTGCCTTGAGCTGTTGCCCTGGTGTGACGAGCCCGTCCACAGGGAGTCAGGATCGCGAGGGTGATGAATCTTTTGAAAGGTCGCACAGCCGTCAGGCACGGCTGAGTCTCGAGGTTGGATCGCTGGTTTTTTTTGACGAGGGCTTGGGTGGTTCCCCATGCGATGATTGCCAAAACCTTGTGCGCACACAGACAGTGGAGGTCAGAGTTGTCGCAGCCGGAGAGAGCGAGTGGCGCTCTGAGGTCGCATCCGGGACTTAGGATGAAAATCGCCAATGCCGGTGCGAACCTTGAAGGGATGCACTTTCTGGGGAGCTATGTGATGCAGGCCGTCTCAAGTAGATCTTGTTGTGTGAAGGTTTTCGAGCTGTGCCTGTCAAACCAGAGGAATGAATAATCTTGTTTGGGCACACGCCTGCGTGGGCGTGGGCGTGGGTAGGCAGGCATGTCGGATCAACCTCTCCGCTGCGCGACTGCCCGCACAAGAAAGCACACTTTGGAAATGGCCAGTCACAGCAGCCAATAGCTCAGATGAAGTCATCGTGAACACATCACCAGAGAGATATTGTGTGAATTGTTGCCGACTTATCTGTAGTCGTTACCAACTCTCTCCAGATCCACTCGTGACCGTGTATCAGAGGCTGAGGATCAAGTTGCTCCCTCGAACCCTGAGTTTAGCCTGTAACCCTTGACCCGGTCAACGACACCTTAAGCTTTCCATCAGCACTCTCAAATAATGATATAGAATAGTGTATTAGAGCGAAAAGTACAATGATCCCGCTACATATTGTTATAAGCTGCCTCGGCATTCCATGCCAGTGGTATTGTACCTATCCAGAACGCCATACTATGCTGACCTGTGAGCCTGTCACCCCAAATTACAACCTGATCCGTCCGTCACCGCCACCACCAAACCAGCGCCGTATATCAGTGTTATTACTGCCTGAACCAGACCCTCGCCCGCCCTCATCATCATCTCCGCCCATCCATTTCGGCTTCTTGACAATCTCCTGGAACCAGTTGGGCGTGTCCATTGTGTCAACCGTGTTCTTGATGCGCGTGCCGAGCTGCGAGAAGAAGTTGTCGTCCTCGTCCTCGCCATCGCCTAGTCTCGCGTGCGGTCTCTGTCCGATCCGCCTCGAGCTAGCGGCTGTGGCAGGGGAGTCCACCCTGCCGATGTTAGGCGACGTCCCCAGCGGGGTTGTCGGGCCGCCAGGTCGGCCTGACGGGCCAGGAATGGAGCGCACGGGTGTGGCCCTCGTGGCTGAACCGCCGTTAGCGATACCTCCCGGCCCTGCAGCGTCCCTTGACCTGGTAATCGACGTTCCATTGAGCTCCCGTTCGATGAGGTCACGACCTTCCCGCCACGATCCGGTGCCGTAGCCAATCTCGTTTTCTTCGTCATCGTCGTCGATGATGTCGGCCAGACCGATAGTGCGCTTCACTTTGCCGTAAAGACCAAACAAGGTGGCGCCTATCGGCAAGAGGATGAACAGTGGGAATAAGCGGTTGAACCAGCTACCCAATGCCGTCAGATCGATGAGTCGGCCGAGGAAGTCGTAAAACCGTGTCTTCTCGTAGACATCCTTGGATAGGAACGAGATGAAGTTGTACGAAAGCGGGACACTGAGACGGGCCACGTATGATGAATACCACAAGGCCGATTCATGGGAAGTATTGCGATAGACCAACGCGCGGCCGCGCCATACCTTGACCTCAGTGATGGAGATCAAGGCAGCAGCACACATGTAGGAGATCCAAAACGCTGCGATCATTTGGCCGGCAAATCCGACTTGCCCCTTCTCACCAGTCCAGTGATGAACCACGGTCAGACGAATGATGGACAGATTGGCAAGCGCGGCTGGGCCGACCTTGACGATCTCGGACCAGACAATGAAAATCGATGCCACAGCTAGAAGCCCACCGAAAAAAAGCCTCACGTGCGGCATTACATGGAAATGGAGCACGTGTCTCGTGTAGGGGGTGAGAACCGTTATGCGCTCCCACCAAGAGGCATGCGGCGCGGTGCCTCCGAATTCAAGCTTCTTCGACCCGCCAGAATCAAGAATAGCCCGAGTCTCCGCGGCCTTCCGAAGCAAACGATTCCATTCGTTGGCATATCTGGAGCGGGTGTGCCTGGCGCGGGTAAGCTCTCGCGTCAGCTCCGCCATGTACTTCTCCGTGATGACCGTGGGGACGCGCCGAGCGTCGCCAGAGCCCACCGCGGATGTTGATCTCGGTTGCTCCTCCGGGAGGTTGGTAGAATCCATGAGTTCCTCGATCCAGTCTTGAAAGTTGATGGCCGATCCCGTTTTGCGCCGACACAACTCAGCCACCTGTATCTCGAGATCCTCGAGGTTCATCTCCGCCTCCTCCAGCTGCTCGTATAGCCTGGGCGCCGCAGACTGTAACTGGCGCAGCTGCCCGCTGATGCTGAAACTGCGTATCAGACGCCGAGGGATGCTGACGAGACCGTGGCCCATCAGGTAGATTGCCAGGACCAAGCCCCAGCAGTATGCAAGAGCCATGACCGGACTCTTCAGAGAGTCGAGATGTATGCCGTAAGAAGTAAAGACGTATATCAGTGCTATTATTCCAAATCCAAAAACCATCGCATAGTATTGGGCATTCGACCGCAGAGAATACATCAGCTTGCCCTTCGGATCTCGGTATCCAGCATCGGAGTATTCGGCAAGGACAGGAAGAATGAACCTGGACAAGTAATTAGTGTCGCCTCAAGCAAACGGGCTCCATAAATCATCGCCATACCATGTGAGGGTGAACGTGAGCCAGTAGGCGATGCGCCAGCACGTCTGTATGACCCTCTGTGGAAGCCAAATCCCCCTGGTATTCTCGTCATCTGTCCTTGCGCTCGAGGCCAAGTCTATTGGCACGAGCAGCACGATACATGCTGGAAGCCATATTGCGAAGAAAACGGTGACAAGGACGAATGCAGGAGTCGTTCGGAGGGGTAGATAGTATCGAAGTATTAAGAGGGTGATGGCGGAAAAGGTGAGCAGTGCGATCAGAGAAAAGACCTCGGACCCGACCGGGTTTGCTGAGCTGACTATCATCGTGAGCATGCAGGACCGAGGGCTGTGGAACGGTCCATGAGGTTGACAGTCGATATGTTGAATTCGGGGGCAAGGCGCCGTTGAAGAGGGCCGATGGTTGGAAAATGAGGATGGAGATGTTAGATTTGCGATGACGTTGGCGGTGCCCGTGGGCTGTTTCGAGCGAGATTATGTCACAAGCGGAAGGGCATTCTACTGCCTTGGGGCCATTTTTAGAAATACTGGCTGCCGGCGGGGGCCAGAGAAGTTGGGACCCTGGCAGGCAGGCAGGCAAAGCAGGCAGGCAGGCAGCTAGGTACCCGAGTACCTAGGTTCTCCAGGTGTCCCTGCACCCTCCCAACAGGACCTGTCCGTCCGTGCTAGGCAAATCTACAAAGGCCGTCTCTTGAGCAGCACAGTTCAAATTCCAAGATGAAGGTGAGAAAAAGTTTTGCGTTGAGTCCGTGGATCGTGGATTAGTAAAGAATACTGCCCTGGGGTTTCTTTCGCATCAAAGGAAAACCGTCATATATCACAAGTCATTCACGCGGCAGGATCCCTGCCACCAACTTGACCTGCATGGCCAATTTTTGCCTATCATGCCCTGCCCGCGGACCCCACGATAACGATAAAGCTGCCCAGCAAGCAGATGCTTGACATATTTTTTTTGCGCCGCATTCCGGTCGACCGTGGACTGTGGATGATTTCGGGAAACATCCGGATATCTGGTCGCAGGTCGGGCTGCTCGGACACGATCATCGCTGCTGCAAGGCTCTGCACGACACAGCTCAGCGCCAACCCCAGGATTTCCATTATGTACTGGCTGGCTGTCAGTGGTGAAGAATAATACCATTATGGTATGTGCTGCTGCAGCAAGACTAGCAGCTGGTACTAAGCACCTATTCCCCACCACCCGAACGGGGTATGCCGGGGATGCCACCTCCCCCAGATAGTCTATCTTGGTTTGAGTGAGGGGTCATCGAGGGGGGGTTTGTCACCGAGAGAGGAGATATTGTCCTACATAAGGTAGATCATGGGCTACAAGATGCCCTCGAGATCCCTCTTCTCGACTTCACTCCTCGCAACTTCTTCCTCGTCTCACCTCAGGTTTGCTGTCCCCGTATTCTACAGGTCAGGTGCCATCAGAGTTTGCACACGACAAGTCCCATTACGTTCCTTATCATCTTCTTACTCAATACCCTTCTCTTCCTCGCCGAGAGCACTCTCCTCTTATACAAAACCAATACCAAAAATGGAAGTCGAACTCACTGCCCCCAATGGGAAGAAGTGGTCGCAGCCATTGGGTCTTCTTATAAACGGAGAGTTTGTCAAGTCGAGCAATGAGCAGAAGATTGCCACCATAAATCCTTCGTAAGAGCAAACCCACTGAGCAGGCCAAGAACGCAACATCTGCAACCCAGAGCTAACACCCTTGCAGCACTGAGGAAGAGATCTGCTCGGTCTTCGCCGCCACTGCTGACGATGTTGACCTCGCTGTGGACGCTGCCCGCAAGGCCTTCAAGCACCCCTCATGGAAGGGCCTCAGCGGCACGGAGCGCGGGCAGCTCATGCTCAAGCTGGCCGACCTGGTCGAGAAGAACGCGGAGATCTTGGCCACTGTCGAGGCTCTTGACAATGGCAAGCCCTACATCACTGCGCTCAACGAGGACTTGCCTGAGGTTGTCAATGTCCTCAAGTACTACGCTGGCTACGCGGATAAGAACTTTGGCCAGGTCATCGACGTCGGCCCGTCCAAGTTCGCATACACCCTGAAGCAGCCCCTCGGTGTCTGTGGCCAGATCATCCCGTGGAACTTCCCCCTGGCCATGGCTGGCTGGAAGCTGGGCCCAGCGCTCTGCTGCGGTAACACGGTGGTGCTCAAGCTGGCTGAGCAGACGCCTTTGTCCATGTTGGTCATGGGTAAGCTTATCAAGGAGGCTGGTTTCCCTCCAGGAGTAATCAACGTCATAAACGGTCATGGCAGAGTAAGAGATCACCCCTGCTAATTGTTTGACTCTGGCCTGGCGCTGACTTGTATGCAGGAAGCTGGAGCCGCACTGGTCAAGCACCTGGGTGTCGACAAGGTCGCGTTTACTGGCAGCACCGCCACTGGTAAGGTCATCATGAAGATGGCGAGTGAGACGCTCAAGAACATCACACTTGAGACGGGCGGCAAGTCGCCGCTGATCGTCTTCGAGGATGCTGACCTGGACCTCGCTGCCACCTGGTCTCACATCGGGATTATGTCCAACCAAGGACAGATCTGCACCGCGACTTCCCGAGTCCTCGTTCATGAGAAGATCTACAACGAGTTTGTCGCGAAGTTCAAGTCCACAGTGCAGAAGGTGTCTGTCGTGGGCGACCCCTTCGAGGAGACCACATTCCAAGGCCCGCAGGTGACGAAGGCGCAGTATGACCAGGTCATGCGTTACATCCAGGCCGCAAAGGACGAGGGCGCCACTATTGCTCTCGGTGGCGACCCAGCGCCGCAGAAGGGCAAGGGCTTCTTCATCAACCCCACCATGTTCACGGATGTCAAGCGGGACATGAGGATCTTCAAGGAGGAGATCTTTGGGCCTTGCGTGTCTGTTATCAGCTTCAAGGACGAGGCGGAAGCTATCGAGTTGGCGAACGACACGACATATGGACTGGGCGCAGCACTGTTCACTCACAACCTAACCAAGGCGCATCGCGTCGCTGCCGAGATAGAGGCGGGTATGGTGTGGATTAACAGCAGCAACGACTCGGACGTTCGTGTACCGTTTGGCGGTGTAAAGCAGTCAGGTATTGGGCGGGAACTTGGCGAGGCAGGCTTGTCCAGCTACTACAACATCAAGAGTGTACATCTGAACATGGAATCATAGGGGTGGATGATGAGTCGGGTGTGCTGATATTGGGCGGTGTAATGCACAGAGAACTGCAATACTTATGTCACGAGGTTACGAACTAACTGACTGGACAATAATGAGCAATGCTAGCTGATGGCAAGCTATATATGTACACAATATGATGTCTACAGCCCACAGGGATCACAAATGGACGCATATAAGTTGACCAGTACATGGCGTTCCTTCTTGCAGAATAACCTGCTGTGCGACAACCTCCTATAATATGACCTCCTGTGGATAACCTCCCGTGGGATAATTTCCTGTGAGAAAACCTACTATATTTTGCGTGATACCGTGCTATGGGATAACTCGCCTGTTGGATTGTATCTACCTGTACTTAGGTAGGTATTATCTGTCCTTCTGATCTCTTTCTACGTACTCCTGAGTAACTGGCCGACTTTTGTAATCCTGCAAGTTACATACGTCTTTCTGGGTAGCATGTGAAATGGACTTGGACTCCTCATGGACTCCATGAGCTTCATCCTGTGAGTGAGCACTGCAAGGCAAAAATCGATGGAAGGCGAAAGTGAACCTAGCGGACGCAGCACAAAGCAACTTTGGAAATGCAGGAACTCAAGGTATATTAGCCTGGTGGTATTTTAGAGCAAGGCCGTTTCCGGCAAACTGGTTCAGTGCAGTAGCATACCTGAACCCTGCCGATCCGTGGGACCCGACGGCGCAGGGGTTCAGAGCTTTGGAGGGTCCAGAACCAGAACGGCCTGTCCTGGTACTACTGATTGGCAAGGTAGCAGCCTCGCCCGAGGTTCAATTCAGCCCCCTTTCACAGACACATCGTCATCTGTCCTTTCCGGATTCACGATGACGGGCCGCCACTCTTGAATTTTTTTTCCTTAACTCAACCCTAGCTTCCTCACTGCCATTTCTCCTCCTCCGCAAGCTGGGTTCCTCCTTCTTTACAGCCGCGATTCATCCTACGTTGACCTCTCGACACGACTGTCGCTTCTTTCTCATCCCGAAGGCATCCATTCGTCTCTTACGTTTGCGACAGACCACACCAAGCGAAGACGACACCTCAGCCCAACCTAACCCTCTCCTTCATCTCCCAACCACTCAAACATCGAAATACCTCAGACGCGAACGCATCGATCTTTAGAACCAGAGCAACTCCATTTATGCCGTCGACGCCAACATGGCGCCCTTTCCCGAGTCCACAATAGACGTCGGTTATCCCCTCTACGGATGCGACTTCGATCCTCAAGACTCAAATCGCCTATTTGTCGGTGGTGGAGGAGGAGCAACAAAAAGCGGTGTCGGAAACAAGATCACCCTGTTAGATGCCTCGTCTCTCGACAAGCTTGAGCCTGCCGGGGAGGTCACGCTGAGTGGCAACGAGGACAATGTCGCGAACCTTGTCGCCGGCCAGCGCAAGGGCAAGGCCACCCTGCTATATGCCGGCATCAACTCAAGCCCGGACGACTTGAAGAAAGAGAAGAACGAGCATTTCCGGGTCTTCAGCGTTGAGCCACCTAAGGCCAAGGCTGTGCTGGGGGCCAGGATCACAGAGCTCTCGAGAACACAGCTATTTACGACCGCGGACTCCGACACATACCAACGGCTACTGAAGCTCTCACAGCCCTTCGCTGGCTGCACCCAGCTCGGTGCTGTGGCCACAGGATTCGCAAACACCACCCACCAAATCGCCCTGTACGATGTCGCGACCGGTACCAACGTTGCGCCCAAGCCCAGGGGCGTCCTGGAAACCTCGAAAGAAGCCGTCGACATGGACGTAATACAGACGGCCGAGGACCAGTTCCAGGTGCTGTACTGCGACGACTACGACATTTACTCAGTCAACGTGCCCAAAACCGGCGAGATCAAGACCGAGCCAACGCGCATCTACACCATCCCCCACGACGACAGTTCCGGCCTGCGACCCGCCCTCCGCTGCCTCCGTTATCTGAGCCCAAGCTTCGCTGTCGGCGTCGGAAACCTGCCCCAGGCCGGCGGCGTGGTGATCTACGGGTTCCGGCTGCCGAAGCCCGGCAAGGAGGACACGCGCGCGCGCATCTCGGTCAACGCCAAGCTGCCCAAACGGCAGGGCTTCAAGGCGACAGGGCTGGCGGTCGCCAACCTCAGCCCGGTCTCAGCGCCGGGGGCACCGCAGGGCGACGCGCAGTTCGTGCTCGCGGTGACGGGCACCGACCTGGGCATCCACCTGTACACGCTGGACCACCAGATCATCGGCGACATCGACATGCTCGCGAACCTGCTCCCGCTGACGACGCTCCGCGCCGTGCACGCCGCCATGATCACCAGCCTGAGCTTCAGCCATTTCGCGCCGCCCAAGTCCGGCACGGGCCGCATCCAGCACCTCAGGCTGGCCAGCACGTCGGTCGCCAACGCCGTCACCGTGCACAGCCTCCCGCTGCGCAAGTTCATCGACCCGTCCGCACCGGTGCGCCGCGGCGGGCCCCCTCGCCAGCCGCGCTACATCCTCGCCATGAGCAGCCGCAGGCCCACCATCTGGGGACTGGTGGCCGGCATCACGTGCTTCGTGTTGGTGCTGGCCATACTGCTGCAGGGCATCCTGGAAGTCAAGGGCCTCGCGCCACCGACCGTGGGCGGGCACAGGTGGCTTCCATCCGCTATCCACGCTGTGCCCCCTAGGCCTGTGCCTCAGCACAGCGGCTTCTTGGCAAAGCTCCTCGCCGAGAAGGCGGGCGGCTCGGGCGACGAGCATGTCGTCGTGCTAGACGTGGACGGCAAGGAGGTCGAGGTCACCACCACCACTACTGCCGCCGCCGCCGAGGGCGAGCCAACAACCACCACCTGGGAGAATTTGAAGCCTGAGCAGAAGGAGGCGTGGAAGGACAGGCTCAGGAAGAGCGGGCACTGGGCCGAGGAGTACGGCGAGACCATCTTCAAGGGCATCCTGTTCGGGGAGCTGGCGGGCGTCGTGGGCGGCTTTGTCGCCGGTTAGCTGCCTTGGAATGTGTGAATTGTTAATGGTTGTACGCGCTACGTTACGTTTAAACTCTTTATTTTGGCATGGGGGCATATATTCTTCTTGGAGGGCATAGCTAGGGATAAAACAAAAAACAAGGCGGGTTGTAAGGCGATGTGGCTCATTCATTCCTGATTGTATACCTAAGCAAAAAGAGCCTTGTACAAAACCCACCCCATCTGTACGCTACGCAGACTATCCTCGCCCTCGCCCTCGCAGAGGGCAGATACGATAGAAATATCAGGACTCATTTGCCAGCGCACTTCCATGATATGCTTTATTGCGGCCGGTGAGATGGACACAAGCGTGGCTATGGTTTACTCAGTTTTCTCGGATGCTGTGGCCACGATAGAATACAGCATGTGCGTTGCGCTAGTCTCGAAAGCGATCGTGAACGGCAATTGTGAGTCCATTCTCAGATATCGTTAATGCAATGATGAGCGAGCGGTTTCCACCATCCCTGACCTATTTGTTTGACTATAAATGGAACCAACCATATAAAGTCCAATGTTTGAAAGTAACGCCTTCGTCTGCTTCCCATGGATATCCGTGACTTGCGCTCTATTTGCCCATCGTACCGCCAAACCTGTGAGTATGCTCCGTTGTTGAAAACCTGTGGTATCATGAATACAATCCCGTGTGTAACCCATCTCGCCCTGACCGAAGGAGTGGTCAATATTATGCATTAAATCAGTCAACTCCGTCTAATAGCTTGGACAGCTCTTCTTCCGTCGGGGGTGCTCCTTGACTGGCCGCGACAGGGTGGTTCACTGCGATATCCACGGGGGCGTCATGAGCAAGCCCTCCAGGGCCTGCGGTTGCGTCCTTCTCAGCAGACGATGCCTCTGCTTTGGCGGCGGCGGGGATCTCTAGCTTGCGTTCGGGGGCTATAGGCGGATCCTTGGGAGTGTTCGCCCCGGGTGGTCCAGTCGATTGCCAAGCTTGGTCTGCGGTGAGTGCTGGTGCTAAGGGGCTCCCGGCCAACTTCTTTGCTTCCTCCTCCTGTTGTTTCTTTGTTGCTTCCTCTTGTTGTTTCTTCTTCGTTTCTTCATCCTGTTGTTTCTTCTTGGTTTCTTCTTCCTTCTTCTTTGCTGCTTCCTCGTCCTGCTTCTTCTTTTCTTCCTCTTTCTTCTTCGCTTCCTCCTCTTCCTTCTTCTTCTTCGCTTCTTCGGCCTCTTTCTGCTTGCGTTCATCCTGCAACTTCTTCAAGGCTGCTTCTTGAGCTTTTCTCCTGGCTTCTTGTTCGGCCTGCTGCTTAAGTCTCTCCTGTTCCTTCTCTTCGGGTGTGGGGTGGATGACTGAAGATATATCAGTGCTAATTCCCTTGAAAAAAAGACCAGTTGTTATCTAGAACTCACCTCCGTCCTTGGTATCTCCAGCGCACCTCTCACGATCCAGCTTGGCTTTCAAGACGGTGTGTAGCTCAGGGCAGTACTCCAGAATCTTCTTCCTTCTTTCGTGGCTCTCCCAAACCTCGGCAGGTAAGTTATCGCCCATTTCTTGAACGTGGAAGCCCATAGGTTTCTCCATATAGACGTTTTCGACAGCCAGGGCACCTTCCAGACCTGAGGCGACTTTTAACCCAGGCATAATGTACAGGCGCTTGCCAAACCACTCATCCTCCGGCTCGGTGTCGTTGTATCGCGCCTGGAAACCCAGGACTTGCCGAATGGCGGTCACACGACGCAAAGACAGTCCTCCGTTTCCAGCGAAACGGTCAGTTTCCGCTCTGTCAAAAGGTTAGCAAATCGAAGAGCAGCAGGGCTCCGTGGTCTCGTACCTCGGGGCACCGGCCCAGTGCCAGTCGAGCCACTCGTTCAAGCCGACCTCCGAGTTGGCACACATGATACTGTCGTACTCGAATTTCAGGATCCACTCCACACCAGGCAAGAACTCGTCGTAGAAACGCATGTCCGTCAAAGTGCGGTATACCATCTCCTTGGAGGAGATATCCCAAGGCTCGGGGAGGACCATCAGATCTAGCTTGCCGACGACCTGCTGGTGCTTTACTGAAGTGCTCCTGCCCAAAAGGGTGACGCTCTTATCGGAGCCAATAAATAGGAAACGCCAGTCTGGTGGCACAACTGCGATCATGTGTAGCAGTTGGGGCACGAGGTGGGGCATGACCCGCGGCTCGATGATCAGGGCGACCTTGGAGGCATTGTAGGCGGCCCTCGGGTCGTCGGTAGGAGTCCAGTCAACCTTTATGGATGGTATCCTCTGCCTTGCTTCTTCGAGACGGGAGTTTATTTGGGCCTTGATCATGGGCTTGTAATGTGGTAAGAGCGAGGCTACCCACCATCTGAGAGGTGAAGTCAGTACACTATTCCCCGGGCTCGCTCGATGCCGATATGCTTGCTCTCGGGGTCTCTGAACTGTGTGTGCATGGGCAAGGGCCGCGTTGCTGGACTCACGTCAAGGCCAGGGACACCACCAAGAGCAGTCGTGGCTTGGTGAAGGCAAGCGCACCAGGCGAATGAGTGGAAGGAGTGGCAGCCATGGCGAGATGAGAGAAAGCAAGCGATGAAGGAGAGTAGAGAGGATGGTCCAAGAAGATTTGTCTGGTGGTATCTAGGCGTCAAGAAAGCGCGTCACCATTATCGGCGCATGGGCATCGTAGACAGTGGGCGTGGTGTGTCACGCAGGCCAGGTTGTTCACTCGAGTCGTCACAGTGCGGTGCGATGCGATGCTGATGTGATGTTGCTGCTGTGCGATGCGATGCGCAGGGAGGACTTAGACGGGGCTGGTCAAGCTGTCCATTACAACTCACAACACGATGGAGCTAGATCTCAGCTGAAAGAACAGGGGAAAAAACGAACAAAGATCCTAAAGTCGGCGCCATTCGACAGAGGGGGAAAGGGAGGGTTTGGTTAGACGATCGACGGCCTTCTGTCCCGATAGCCTCCCACATGAAATCAAGGGGGGGAAGAGCATTACGCAAGGTGTGCTTGCGTTCTATGTAGACGACGTGCGGGTACCTGGAGGTACATGCAGGATGCACCCCGGCCAGAACCCAATGCCTGGGCTTCGAGGTGGACGACCCTGGAAACGTGGGCGAGATCTCTTGGCTGGAGGGCTGCATTCCCTTTGGTCCCCGCGCACACACACATTCAAACTCAAATACACGGACACACGGACACGCATTCCCCATGGCGGGATGGGAATCCCTTGCATTCATGCATTCGAGAGAAGGGTATTTGTTTACCAGTACCAAGCTCTGGACCCAAATAGACATTTCCAATGTCGTGCATCCATGTACGTCGCCGTCTGGCCCCTTTTCCCTAGAACCACAAGCTGGGCGGAACAAGCTTTCCGGTTCTGCCGACCTGTTTCGAACCGTGCTCTGAATACGCTCACAGCATGCTGTCATCATCTCCACCTTCCAGTAGCTTCTTATCATTTCCTGGCTGAGTGGCTGGCTAAACTGAAGCTATGTTCAAATATGGACTAGAGAGGCAGCGTTCTGGAGGGCTCAGGGCAATCGGAGCAGTGAGACGGAGAGTGGCGCAAAGGGAGAAATCTCACATGCCACGCTCAACCTTCACGCCTAATGCAAGTCTACGCCCGAGTGAGACTTGACGTGCCAAGCCCGTGAGCCGTATCTGCTGTGTTCTTGACAAGCTGCGGGCTGAATGAACTGATGGTCTAGTTGGACTAGATGGCACGATGGTAAGCTCAGCTCAGCCGTTCTCTCTTGTTGTACAGTAAGCCGCCATCTTTTTTTTCATTCACGTCGTGCCTCTCGCGAGCAGCTCACAAGCTGTCGTCTTCATCTCATATCGAGGGAGATGCAATTCAATAGACAGAACTAGACTATACGTTACTCCAGATTCCAGCAGTTGACTAGTCGAATGTTCCTCGATGCCAAGACGGCCGACAGCCTTCGAGTACCGAACCGTGGTATCCAACTGCACATCACATCCCACGTCGGGTCAGCGCAGGGCGGGCTGTGACTGGTCAATGGCTGTGCCCAAGTCACTCCATGTACCTCTTCGGTCGTACTCGATGGCCCTGCCCATGTCTTCCTCTCATGGCCATAACCTTGCACCCAGCCCGAGCCCCAGGGACCTCTCCCTCCCTGCTGCCACCGCCGTGATGGCCATGAATCAGACTTGCCTCCCTAAACCTGCCGTCTGAAATGATTCCAAGTCAAATTTAGCAGCACCTGCACGTTGAAACCCGTCGACGGGACACGACATTCGGCTTCGACATTGATTGCTCTGCCTCTCGGCACTGCCGTGCTACCAAAAAAAACTGTCCTTTCGTGTCATACATTGTTCTGTCCTGTCCTGTCCTCGACCAAGATCAAAAGCTGTCATTCATTTCCACACGCAGTATACACGTACACAGCACGCACGCACGCACGCACGCACTCTTGCCGTTAGCCATCATCCCATCCATCGAACAAAAGAAAAACGGACGATTACGAGTCCTGCGTTCGAGTCTGCCGACCAGTCCAGTCAGTCCGGACCCGCTCTCCCACCTACCTAGACTTAGACGGCCGGGGCAGGGGTGGCGAGACGACATAGATAGGCTGCTTGCGCGGCCCCCTAACCACCGCAGCCTGCACAGCACTGGCATTGAAACGTGCGCCTCTTTTTGGCGTGTCGACTTGGAAATTGCTCCACGTCAGACTCAGACCTCAGAGTCACTGTCAATTTAACTTCGCCCAGCGGCTGTCGTGTTTAACAAAAAGGCCCCGCGCCCGGCCTGACGAGTCGTGCCATCCGATCACATCTACCGTTGCGCGGGTTTGACCAGGGGGGTGGACGATCTTGCTCACCTCTCATTGCGCCCGCTATTTGAGAGTGGCCGAACTGGCCCTCTTCGATTCTCACCCAACATGTCGCTCAAGCAGACGTATGATGCGGACGATGTGGATTTTGGCGAGGTCTGGGACAAGATGAAAAGAGTAGCATTCAAGATCTGGTCAAGGACGACGAGGCGCGTCCGCTTTGTAGTTGTACTCTTGTCCTTCCTGTAAGTCTCTCACCATCGTATCAATTTTTACCGGGCGCCAAAGCTTGTGCACGCACGCTGCTTGTCTAACCCTGATGTGCAGTATCATCACCACAGTCGTCTCGAGAGATTTCATGCAAAATGTCGCTCTCGACGACTACATCACCGTGCCAAAAGTCTCACTCCAATACGCCTCTGAGCAGAGGACACCCTTTAACGAGTCCAAAGTCGCTCTTCTCATCGAGAACCGCGCCAATCCCATCTTGTCCCCTCTCATGTTGCACTTCATATCCGTCGTGCCTCCTGACTGGCGTTTCCGCTTCATGGGCTCTGTCGAGTCTGTCGAGCACCTGAACAAGTCTGTCGCCATCCGCGAGCAGGTCAACCTCGGCAAGCTCGACCTGACCTACATCCCGTCCAACATGTCCGTGTCCTCTCAGGAGGAGATATCCCGCTTTCTGACTACCCTATGGCTGTACGAGACGGTCCTGGCACCCGCCGAATGGCTGCTCATCTTCCAGACCGATTCCATCCTGTGCGCCAACTCCCAGCTGAACCTCAACGACTTCCTCGACTACGACTGGATCGGCGCCCCCTGGAACCCGGGCTCCAGGTTCGGCGGCAACGGCGGCCTCTCCATCCGCCGCGTGAGCGCCATCGTCGACGTGCTGAGGTCCCAGGCCCGCGCCGACTTCTCTGAGGCCGAGGACGTCTGGCTCACGGAGCGCCTGGGCCACCGGCCCAACGCCCGGATGGCCAACTCGACCGTGTCGCTCACCTTCAGCGGGGAGATGCACACCGGCAAGCCGACGCACCTGTCGTCGGACAAGGAGACGGCGCAGTACAACTCGACGCTCGAGGCCGCCGAGGCGGGCGAGCTGGTCAAGGGCATCGACGACTGGCGCGAGGGCTTCTACGAGCCCATGGGCTACCACACCGGTGGCGGCGGCTCGTACCTGCACAGCCAGATCTGGGGCAGCCCGCGCCTCCGGAAGCACATCTGGGACTACTGCCCCGAGGTCAAGATGACCATCGCCATGGACGCCGCCAAGTACGTGCCCGGCAGCTGCGGCGCCTACTGGAAGAGGGATGTCCTAGGCAACGACTACAGCATGGACCCGACCGGCTCCCTCGAGGCGGACCTGGGCTACGGCACCGAGATCATCGACGGCGAGGAGTACCCGCTTCTACCGGACGGCCTTGTGCCATTCTGATCCTCCGATACCAGACATATCTATGTTTGATATATGTTGAACAATTATTCAAGTTTCGGGTTTCATGTTGGGTCTATGGTGTAAAGGCGTTGGTAGGCAGGTTTGTTTGAAAGGTCAATCTCATGGGTATACACGAGACGGAACGGCATAGATGGAGAAAGTGTCTGGATAAACTGGTCGGTGAGCTTGATATCCCTGGGCAAGCATACTGGAATTTTTAAAAGGCGTTGTATTTGAGGGCCTCAACGACATGTAGAGAATGGCCGACACAATTCCACCATGTTGACTACTGCTTGAACATTCGCTGCGGCCCCTGTCTATGTCTCCTCGGTCCCAACGCTCTCTGGCAATCGTCACGGATCCGGGCAGGTCTGCAGGAGAATAAGCCACCGTACCCAAGAACACTGACCGGTCTGCTTCTCCAGGCAGAGCCGCCTTACGTATGAGGCTGTGGATGCAAGGTGCGCCTTTTTCCCCCCAGCCTGGGGCACATCATGCATCGAAGGACGAGGCCGTCACCCCGTACGGTGAGTCAATCTGTGTGCGTGCTGTTCACTCACTGCGCAACGGTTCAAGCTCGACACAGTAGGCAAATGCTTTTTTTCTTATTCTGTCTCTTTTTTTAGAGCCGCATGACAGCGTCTCGTCACATTCCCATCACAATACATGACCCCCACGAACCCGTCACCCAAGTCGGTAGGTACACCACAGACAGCGAATGCGATTGATGTATGTACGTATGTACGTCTGACACTCGACAGCCCAGCGTCCAGCGCCTGCCCGCCTGCCTCTATTTACCCAAGATCCCTGCCCCCGTTACCCGTTTATGTACATAGTGAGTGTGTGTGTATGTGGTCTGGTGTGAGCTGATGTGATCTGGCCCGATCTGTCTATCTGTCTATCTACTGCGAATCCATGTTCAGGAAATTGGAAACCATGTCTTCCGCCTCGGTGTTGAAGAAGCTGGCCCTGCCCATCACCGCTTCGCGCTGCTCCTCGGCCTGGATGAACTGGTTGAGCAGGCGTGTGTTGGATGACGCCTGGGAGATGCCCTCCTGCCCGTACTCGTCGCCGCCGCCACCCATCTGATCCCCTGGCTGGGTGCTCTGTGTTGGGGGCGCATTACCAATGCCGGTGTTGGATGCTGTCCCATAGGCTGAGTCGGACGGTGCCGGTTTGGCCTGGCCGTCGAGTGACTCATAGTGGTGGGTGGTGGTGATGGGGCTGGTGCGGTGGATGGTTGACATACTGTCTGACCTTCTTGCAACAGAAGGGTCGTAATTAGCCATGACGCTCTCGGTGTCCAGGTTGAAGCCCATCTGGTCCCTGTAATTGACCGGCCGCCTGTGAACGCCTCCCATGAGGTCACGCGGCTCTCTAGAGCCACCTCTTTCTGCCATGGAATGGCGTTGTTGTGAGCCAACCTCAAATGCATAGTGCCCCATTGGTTGGGTTGGCTGAGTGGCCGTGGCGGCCGAAGATGACATCAATGCTTGTGACATTGTCTCTTGCTGACTGGGTACGGTTCGTGGGATGGCTTGCAAGCTTCGTGGCTGCAACATTCTCTCAAGAGCTGCGACTCTCGCCATGAGAGCATTATGCTCGCTCCGGCTGACCACATCGCTCCTAGGGATTTGTGGTTGCGCTCTGGTGGTATTCACAGGCATGGTGTCGTCAGGATCGCCTTCTGCGTCTGGAACATCGTCAAAGTCGCTGTCATCGGATCCAGCATCCTCAGCGGAACTCCGCGGCAGCATTGAGTCAATCTGACAAAATGTTTTGCGGAGGATGCCATACTTTTCCCTCTTTGAACGCGAAGCAATCTCACAATTGGCGTTGAAGTGATTCTCGAAGGCTTCAGGGTCCGAAAAGGTTCGCCAGCATCTCTTGCACAAGCCAGCAGCAGGGTGGCCGTGCTCGTTGTTCTCGAGACCAAAAGATGAAATGCTCTTTCGACCATTGTCCACGTCCAAGCTGTGAGCTGGTCGACCTAAGTGACGCCTTCGTTTAGACATTAGCAGGGGAGCCTCACATCGGACCGGAAAGAGATAGTACTTACACCACTGTAGAGATATTGTCGTGTGCTGTGTGGCAGCTGTAATATTTCTGATCATAGCCCATATCGTAGATTTCTGGGTGTTCAGCTCGGAAAGGGCAGATCATTCTGGGGTCTCCCGTTTCATCTACCTTCCCACCAGGAGCCTTGTTCCGCTTGTTCGGTGGCTCTCCGTCCCCTTCGCTACCATCAGATTCCCTAGAGAACCTGACTGACCGTTTCCCCGGCTGTTTGAACTGCCCAAGGTTGCCAGAACGCAGGCCTCGACTTGCAGAAAAGCCACTCCCGGGGTCTGATTCGACATCTTGTGGTGTTACACCATCTCTTGTGGCCCAAGGGCACTGGTTCATGAACGGGCTTGGTTCTGAAAGAGGAGTCAAGACCTGGGTTTTGACGATCGGACTCGCCTGTGGTGTCAACACGGTAGGCGGAGCCTTGAGTAAGTCCTCGGCGCCAGATGCTGCCTCTGATGTGACTGACTTCACTGCGACGTCATCATCCTGAGCAGACCTATTGTATAGCTGCGGATCGACCGGAATCTTGAGCCATTCGTCATCACCTTGATAGCCAGCAGCATATGTCTGGGAGAACTGTTCCAGGAAGTTCTCATTGTTCCTCAGCCTCGTCACTGGGGAGGTCCAGGGAATGTAAACATCAGCTCCATAAGGAATTGACCCGTCATATACCGTTGACGCAGGAGAATTGTGTGGTGCCATTGGGCTGGGTGATACGGTCAAACCTGGAACAGTCCGGATTGTCAAGCTGCTTCCTGGGTGGATGACCTGATTGCTGACGTCGCTAGTCAAGACGGGGCGTTGAGAGGTCCCCTCATCCTTATGTCCAAGCCTGCTGCGAACATACTCCCAGCCGTGCGACTTTTCCATGTGCTGCTTGCAGTTGGACTCCCGCTTGGAGGTGTCTGTTCGACGATTGATGGTTAGTACTTATCTTCAAGGTTGGTCTCCGAGGTATCAAGACACGTTTGCCCAGAGAACGACAAGGTGGGTAATTGACGTACATGTGCAGGGAGGAAATAAGCAGGAGTATGTCCTCGGCTCCATCGAGTGTTTGTCATTGCGGTGACGGTCCAGTTCCTTCTCCGTTGGCCAACCGAGCAGGTGGTACTTGCAAGCCTCGATGGGGCACTTGAACGGCCGGGTGTGGGCTTTGGAATGTTTGTTCAGGTCGCATAGTCGAGGATACTGTTTGCCACAAAGCTGACACAAATGGGGCCCATCAGATCCTTCCAGGTCCCGCATGGGCGAGGACGTCAGGTCCTGGGCCGATGTGTTTGCTGGGTCGTTGTGATGCGCAACAAGTCCCCATTGAGGCTCTGATGTTGGAGCAAAGGAACGATTCATGTCAGATTAGCTGACAAGGGGTGGATATGGTCCTTGAGGCTAAAGGCGGGACAGGCAACGATGATCTCTCGCCCCTAGTAACTATGTGTATAGACTAGGTGGACAACTGTTAGGTATGAGATGGGACGTCCGTCTTACTAGGATCCAGACAAGATTCGGTCGGTCCGAGTAAGAAGGAATTGAGCAATCAGAACGCGGCCCCCCAAGTGCAAAAAACAGGACAATGGCGAGGGGAGGAAAGGGAAGCTTGCTGGTGATAAATTGGGCAAAATCGACGGTGGGTTCGCGGTGGCTTTGAGTAATGGAGGATGAGAGGAAGCAGACAGCCCCAGAAGTCGGCGAGCCAGGCAGCAGAATTCACAGCCTCGAGACGTATTTAGCTTGTGCTGTCGAGTTATAGTCGGCTACATGAGGTCAGGTCGTGTCAGATCTGGTTCAGGTGTGCCAATATGCCAATGTGGTAGCCTTGGACTGGCGGCATCGTCTATTATATGAACTGCTACCATGGGGATGGGTGTATTAGGGAGGGCATGGACGGTTGGTATGGGCTGTCAGTCATAGCCATCGCCATAGCAGAATATGTGAATAGGCAGGCCTCAGGATGGGCAGGGCGCGCAGGACGGGGCAGGCCATGTTTCGAGACCCGACTGCATGCTGCTCATGCTGCTGCGATAGCATCCCCATTGACGGCGCAGTGAAGCTGGATGCAGCCCGCGTGGCTGAGTATCCATCTGGGTACGATGGTACACTGGTACGTTGGTACCCAGGCGAATGCGGCCTGCTGCCGCGCCGGCAGCAGTTGAAGGTCAATTGCTCGAGAGGAGGAGACGATGCGACGGTCTAGGTGGGGGTGAGCGTATGAGGTCAGTCAGTCAGTATCCCAGCATGAGCTGCAGTAAGAGACAGAGAGGGTCTGGGTGTGTTAGGTAAGCCATGGCGGGAGGTCTCCAACGATGGCAGCACGGGCCACACAGGGATACAGCGTCTAATCAGGCATGGACGGTGAGGCTTTGCTGCATGTGGGATGCATGCAGTGCAGTCTACACCCCTCCTCGAGCCCTCCTCTCTCTCACCTTGACCACCTTGACCATGGACCACGGCCACAACATCCGGCCCATTCTGAGGCCCAGGTGTGTGTTGGAACCGTTCTGCCGGGCCCGGGCTCCCCAGACTAGCCATTCACAAGCCTCGCTTCCTCGACTCAGCCAGCATCGTGGCCGCCAACTGCATGACACCAGAAAAGGCTGCTCTGCCAGTCTGCATCGTACCAAAACCTTACTTTTCCACATGGACTGCTAAGCGCAGACGCGGGACACCCACTGCGACACAGCACCAGACCAGAGTGTGATCAGCTCAGGTCAAAGATGGCGCTGCAAGAACCAGGACCGGCTCTAGACGTATGCCTGGCCAGCAACTATGTATGGTACACATGTATGGTACATGCACATCGATCGCGAGGCAGAATCATCGGCAGACTATCTGGGCTTCTACCTAACTACGGGCCGTGAGATACGGATGGAACGCAGCACATCCGCCCTTCAGCTATGACGTCCAGCTCGCATATTGCTGCATTGTTTGATTTGACGTGAACAATGCGGACGCATTCCCCATGGCGACTGTTCTTTCTCTCGAGTTTGGAATTGAGCACGGTGTCTGCTCGCCGGTAGTACCGTCGTCGAGCAGTCATCTCGATCGGCATCTGCCCCAAGCTTTGGACCAGATCCAATCCCCATCGGGAGCCCACCACAGGGCTGACTATTAAGGCACAGACAGCATAAGCAGAGCAGGCCCCCCTACCCCCGTCTTCCGGCTCAATTAGGTTTGCAGAAACCAACGCCAGCTTATGCTCACCAACAGGTATCGTGGGGTGTATCTGGAGACCGTTCCACCCTGCAATCCCCACCGTCTTGGGGTGTCCAGTACGAGCAGGACTAACTCGATGGCCTTCATGTGACCCAACGCGGATGTGACATCGATTGCTGATGCCTCACGGCCCCCCGGAAGCCGGCCAATGTGTGCAGGCAGGGACTCAATCATACTTAACAGGATCATCGATGCCATCACCAACACTCGCTGATGAGCCGTGTGCCATGCGGCCTCCGGGCGTGGGCTTAGGGTTCCGTCCGGACTAAAGCGGGTCCCTTGGCGGGCCGCCGAAACTGGCCACCGGCCCATAAAGGCGACCAAGTGCCGCAAAAGATTTTTCTAGGCTGTTACCAAGGCTTACGACACAAACAATCCCTACAGTCGTTGCAACCTGGCTGCTCAGGTCTCCGTCATTGCCGGGCCTCCTGAAACGAGGCGGCACCTTGGGAGAATGCTTCCTCATTGTTCGAGATGCGAGAGAGGATTCTGTCGAGTTGCACTTTGTGGAACCATGTTCTGCCGAGGTGCCCCCACCCCGGCGACCCGGAATGAGGGGAGGGTCTGCAGTCGTATGGCTACGACTTCTCGTGGCTGGAATTATGAGCCGGGACTATGTGGGACACTCGAAGCACTCTTCGCTCAAATCGTTACATTGCTTCCTGACCGAGTCCCAGCCAGACACTCGGTTACGATGATTAACCAAGGCCGATCGTGTAGGCCCCACAAGGAGCAGTCACGAAGCCTGGGATGCCTGATGCAACCGCACATTGTCCTCGTTTTCAGTCACCGGGTTGCTCAACTGTGCTGCTGCGGTGTTTGGATGTGGTCACAACCATAAGGACTCGTTGATATCGCCGGCTCTGCCGTCCCTCCAGGGCCACTCCTTGCCTTCGGAAGAGGTCACGGAGCCGAGACCGTGGGGCCGCTCCAGGTGGTCCGCCAGCGATCTTTTTTCTACTTGTGTTTTAGCAAACACGGTTCAGAGTAGAGACTTCGCCACCTCAATGGAGATTGGCCTTTTGTGTCGTGGCTGAAAGCCAGTGGACGAGGCCGGGAATTCTCAGCAAGTCGAGTGGAGTCTTGACATTGCGCCTCTGGAGCATTTGAGGCTCCAACGTCCTCTTGCAAGCAACCACTCTGTGCAGACAAATTACGTGCTCAAGTGAGCCAGAAGCTTCGTCGCCATGGGGGCCAAAATTAATGTGGACTCAACGTGCATCAACGGCGACTCACACAAGCTCGGATCACCTGTTCGTGTGGCTCATAGGGCTGACTGACAGCTCGAGAGGTGTTGGTGGACGACCTTGCCGGACAGGGTTTCGAAGGCCAGTGCCTCATTGTAGCTCGCCGACAACGTGAGCAATGCGAACAATGCATTTGAAGGCGGATGCCAGCGTATCGCTCGTCTGGAAAATGCCGCGTCTGCCTCAATCACTCAGCCTCAGTTGTGTGCTGCCTTCGCTAGGCCATGTAAATAGCCTCAACGAGTCTCGCGGGAATCTACCGGACGATATTTTTTGACTCATGCTCATTGAAAACAATACGGATTGCGAAATCCCATGTATCTGGTATGCTCTGAGATAGCTGCCAGCGGCCATCAGTGCCCCTCGAGACTTGGTCGCACGGGACCTCTGGATCCCAGATCTTGGACATTTCTTGTGAGTCATCACACCAATTCTCCCTACCTTGTGACGAGAATGCCCCAAGTTTCAGTGACTTAAGCCCTTCAAACGTGAGTTTTCGTGACTCACCAGAAGTAGCAGCGTGTGCTGGAAGATATTGAGGAGGTAGAATGTCCTAAGACCGACAGGACTATTTTTAGACACTCGTATCTTGCCACAATTCATCTACGCTATCTCATGAATTATTATTGCCAAGGAGGCTACACAGCAAAAGTTCGTCGAGCAAGAACACCCAGGATCAGATGCAAGAGCGTAGTTTCTTGGTTGCAGATTCATTACCTGTCTTCACCTGTTCTTCGGGGTGCCAGATCTTTATGTCCTGATCAAATTATAAGCGTAGTCAACACGGCGTCTTCTATGAAAAGCCCAACAGAGTCTTCAATTCCGACATGAACATAAGCATAGAGATGAAGCAAAATGTCGAAATGCTTAGATCCTACACAGGCTCCGTTCATTTTGGCTGCTCCGGCGTAAATTTGCAACACTCTCCCGCTCTGAGGCCTTCAAAATGTCAAGCCCTGTGATGCAATCCTGCCTTTCTCCGATGTTGTTGAGGCGTTGTCCCCATCTAGAGAGTCACATTGTGTATTGTAACACCTGGTATGTTATGACCGGCCTGTCTGTTACGTTTGAGCAAAGCCAGCTGAACTACTAAAATGAGAGATTGATGCTAGCCTCAAGCATCTCAACTGACATTTAAGTAGAAATTGAACAGAACTCCTTGCTCTCACATCTGCTTTTGGAAAGATCATCCTTGCTTGTTGATCTTGGGTGAAAGGTGAGTGCATCTCAGCCACACGTGCCCACTAAATCCAAAACAATACAATTTACACGCAGACATTCAAACAGGGACACTCTAAACATCTACATCGAATAAGAAGTCCTTATAGACATTGCAACCGCCAGGGTCGTCCAATATAAACCAAGACCCACGTGGCTGCACTAGAGTGCGTTGGCCGCTCGCGACATCTGTGGAAACGTGAGGGCCTGCGAGCCGCAGATCACGCAGGACTACGGATCCTCTAGAGATCGGATCCCGCAGAATGCCCAAAAAGAATACTCACGAGACTTTCTTCTGCGTCCACTCAAGGTTCTGACGCACCTCGCCCGCATCCACCATGTCTTCGGCAAATCGGGCTGCGCCTGCTTCTGCAGATCTAGGAGCTCGCAATACTTCGCGCTTAGACTGCCAAAATTTGTCCCACGGTACTCCAAGGTCAGCCATACGTCTGCGTCCTTAGAACTCGTGATTTGAGCGGCCGCCGGAAAGCGATTAAACCGAGGGGTCCTTCTCGTATCCGTTCTACGCAAGGTGGTACGCTGACAAACACTGCTACACTGCACACTCCGCACGATATGCTGCGGATACGTCATGTGTAACATGTCTCACATCAGCATTTTTGATTCCTTTCCAAGAAATAAGGGAGACTCAGGCAGAGCAGCTGGTCGATGAGGACGAGGCCAAGATCGAAAAGGAGATGCCTAAGATGGAGCTTCCATGCCGAAAGGGCCAATATCTCCCACCATGATAGGCAACGCTACGGGTGAGCGCGACCTAAACTAGATACTCCGAACGGAGGTGGAGCAAACAGTAATGAGCGAGAAGCCGAGGCGCGAGCGGATAAGGACCTCGCGGGAGTGAAACGACGGCGGATAATGAACGTCGTCCCCGGGCGGATAGTTCGCAGTATGATCTCAACAATAGAACCCTGCCCTTTCCCTTACGGATCGAACCGTTCCTCGGAAATCGTCGAATTCGCCAGTTAGGGACCAGTCATTACACAGCGAGTCATTAGATAGGCAGAATGGAATACTCTAGCTTGTACACTATTGCTGCCCAGATACCCGGGCCAGCATTACCCTATCTCTGAAACTCTATCATTTGACCCACGCGATACTGCTTCGATCGAGGCTTGGCCGCTCACTCATCACCTCCAGATCTGCGATCACATGTACAATGACCTCCAATAATGGCCTTTCCGTGATACAATGACGCAGTGGTACATATAAGTGCTTACAATATTATATATTCTCAATGCTTCACAAGCCTGCGGAGTCTGTGATTTTCGAGTAATGTTTTTCTGAGGACGGCGGCTTCCTCTTCGGAGCCTATAACGTAGCTAGGGAATAAAGATCTTCTACGTCGACAAGTTTCAACTTCATACAGCAAAGTCCAGCGTTCTTACGAGATGGAGCTCGAACCAGCCATCCCCTCCTGGCTCCTCCAAGAAAGGACAGTTGCCGCCAAGAAATCCTCGGGGTTCAAGCCGCCGTACGATTTATACACATCGCGCTTCCCCAAATCAACCAAAGACATCGTCATGGCCATCATAGGAGTCCAGTACGCCAAGGCCGAGATGGACGACGGCCGCGCGCTCGCGACGATATCTTCGTACATCACCGCGGAAGCAGTACCCTCCGGGTCACGGCCCAGCTTCCACGAGGTCGCCGCCGTGACCGACAACCGCGGGTTCTACAACGTCGCCGTCCTCGCTTACTGGCCAAACAAAGGCGCGTACGGGGAATGGACCGCAGCGAGCGGCTTCGAGGCATGGTGGGCCGGGCTGGAGGCGGACGCCGAGCACGCGAACGGGTGGTTCCTCGAGATATTCTTCCCGACCGTGGATCGCTTCGAGACGCTCCACAACACGCCGTTGCCCGAGGGCGCGGCCAACATGCGCGAGGACCTCAGCGGGCCGATCCAGGAGCACGGCTACTGGGGGAGCATGCGGGACCGGCTGCCACTCTCGCAGACGGACTGGCTTGTGGGCGAGGCGGCTGCGGTGGAGAAGAGCAGTCTCTCGAACGGCAGCTCGGGTACTCATAAGAACAGCACGGGGCCGCCTCGGAGGGTACGCGTACCCGGAAAAAGAAACCTCGCCGTCATCCGTTCCGGGCAAGACTGGTCCGCTGCTCTGCCCGAGGAGCGCGCCCTGTACCTGGAGACGATGCACCCCGTCCTCACCAAGGGGATGGATTTCCTGCGGGACCACGGCGACGAGGTCGGGTGCTACAGCTGTCGTTTTATGGAGATCGTCGATCCATTGACCGATGAAAAGCCTGCGAGTACCGGCGGGACGGACCGCACGTTTGGCCTGGCCTACTTTGACGATCTGGCCTCGTTGGAACGCTGGAGCAGAGAGCACCCTACGCATCTGGCCATCTTCGGCGGCTTTGGCAAGTATGCAAAAAGCCTGGGGGAGAAGATGAGCCTGCGCGTGTTTCATGAGGTGCTGGTGCTGGAGCCCGAACAACAGCTGTTTGAGTATATTGACTGTCATGAAGGAACTGGCATGTTGGCCGCTCGAGGGTACCCTAGTCTGAATTTATTGTATGAAATAAGCCTGATCGTTCCACCTGATTTAGCAGACAAGTCCCAGAGGTTGTAAAGTCCGATGGCTACCAAATTATTGGACTTGAGTACTGTAAGGCTAGCTTGAATTAGTGGATAAGAGATCAGCATGGCGGAGGCCTGTCCCGGAAGACTTGAGTCTTTGCCTCATATTATAGCTGCTGGTACGAGCATGGTGAGCAGCCCGATGTGGTCAGCTAGAAAATTGGATAAAATTCAACTGATAGTGCTCACACTGTTTATAATTATAATTATATATCAATCGAAACTCGTTAGCGAAATGTCTGGATGTATGCTTTAGAATTTTCGTTAGCTAACGGCCGATTTAAGTAATTATACAAATGCATGCCACACAACTCACCAAATGCCGTTTGCTTGTCTAATTAGAGTCTTGGTAAAGATAAGAGGGCCTCACTTCATTCTAAATTGACAGATCTCAATTAGCCCAATTGCACGGATTCTTAGTCATATAATGTTTGACCCCTCTCTCTTCGGGCTAGTAAAGAATATAGATGTAGCACAGCTCCATTGGGATTGTTAAGGTAGCAAATGAATGAGCTGGGCTTGTAATAATGCAGGCATGAGCAAGGAGGAGAGGGAAATTTATGCTATCTTATAGGTCGTCTCGGACTTTGTCTCTGATCCAGGACGAAAATGATTTGTAGCATGCGTGAGCACTAGTGAAAAAGTTTAATAGATAGATGATCTCTGGGTTGAATGCAGAACAAGACTATGTAATCGGCAGCTTAGATATTACCCAGGTATCTAATAGTGCATACAATGGGTTCTTCTTCAACCATTTAAGACCTTTTAAGATCGAAATCAAGCAGGAATTAGTTTTCATATTGCATTCAAGATAAGAATCTCACTAAGAAACAAGGTACCTTCTCTATTTCGACTACGCCTCTTGCTCAGAACATCATCTTTGGCCTCCATAATCTTCGCAAAGAAGAGATTCCAGGATGACCGAAGTACTCAAATCCCACCCGGCGCTCCTTATCATTGACATGCAAAACGGGTTCTGTCACCAAGAGGGTTGCTTCGGCAAGCTCGGGATGCCCGTCTCCAACCACCTCGCCATCGTCGCAACCATCAACAAGCTCCGCGCGGCAAGCCACGCCGCCAAGATCCCCATCATCTTCACCCGCCTTTGCTACAATGAAGACTACTCAGACGCCGGCGTGCAGATGGAAGAACTGCCTCAGATCAAGGAACTGCGGGGTTTCATCCGGGGTACCTGGGATGCGGACGTTCTTAACGAGCTCGCCCCGGATACGACTCGAGGCGAAATCGTAATCAACAAGACGCGCAATTCTGCCTTTTTCAACACGGATCTCGAAGATCTGTTACGTAGTCGCGGTGTCAACCAGCTCTTGTGCACGGGTGTCGGCAGTAACGTCTGCGTCGAATCGACAGTGCGGGACGGCGTGGCGCGGGACTATTACTGCAAGACACTCAGCGATGCTACGGCCACTCTGACAATGGAGGACCATAATGCTTGTATGAAGACTCTGGTATGGTTTGGGGGGGTTGCCTCGGCAGATGACGTTCTTTGGGCTCTGAACCAGAGGCAAGAGAACGCGTGAATCAGGTGTAGTCCCTACAGTCCAAGTTTTAGCAAGATAAAGTCCCTACCATTTGTTGCTAAACGGCTGCGAATCAACTCCTTTTTGTCTTCCATCACCACAGCAGGCACGTCCCATTCAACGGACGCGCCACATTGACGCATCCCGCAGACTACGTGGAGAAATTCTTACTTGGTGTGATACGGCTTCGGCCGCAAAGCCCGCCGCATCATGTACAGCTGCGAGAGCCAAGCGCGTGTCGTTACCCCGGACAACCTTGAGAGGCTTCTTAGCCTTTATAGCATTGACTTTGCCGGTTTTAATACCGTTAAGTTACAGTTGTTCAAGTCAAAATGCCAAGCGTTGGGTGCGGTAGATATCGTGTACGAAATTGTGCAATTGGCCTACGAACGGATGTTGTTAGATATTGTAAATAGAACAAATGATTTACTAAACATGCGTTAGTGTGGTACAGCTCAAATGGGGAAATGAGTATTGACTCTTACCAACAGGCCCTTTAGAATGCTCATATCCGTGTCATCAGTTGTGTTCTATTTGAATGCAACAGACCTAACTCAGCCTCTGCGATAAGGCTTCTATATGCTTCGAACCATTCTGTTCATATTATAGTCCCAAATTCTATAACAGCGAGCCCCAAAGTCTTGGTCACTATTTTCAGGATTCTGCCTAGTAACAGCATGCTGCAACTCGTACATTTCGCTAACGACCCAGCTGCTTTCAACCAGTGCCTAGCGCAATTGTATCTTTTATCTTTAACTTTGAAGTTTATTGATTTTCACAAATTTCCCTTTGAACCGACTTGAGCAGAGCACGAGGAGTGGAGGAGGGAAAATGGGCGCCCGGATACGGGAGCAGACTCGGCAGAGCAAAACTACTCGGGCTGCGCTGCGCTAGCCTTGAATCAATTCTTCGTTCTTTCTTCTTCCTCCTTTCCTTCATTTTTATTAATTTTGGCTACATGCACGCGCACGGAGACCGATGCGATAATAACGCAAACAGCCGAGCCGCAGAGCCGCGCGTAACTAAACATGTAATTGTTTTACAGCCTTGGAAGATTGAAGTGTCGCGTGCTATTTGGAAACAGAATATTCAGTAGTCCAGTGCTCGCAGGGGATTGTGTCTTTCATCGTTCTATCGCTGCTTATGGAGATAAACGCCAGTAGTAGTGCAAAAAGAGTTGCAACTTGCCTGGCACGTATTCCACTGACCCCGAGATCCTCCAAAAGTGCTATTCCAGACTCGGATGGTCGCAGCAGGATGCTGACCGATAGGATTCTTAGCTCGCTGCAGCTGGGGGGCACAGGCTCAATCAAAACACCACGCGTGCTTCTGAATACCACAGAGAGAGCTCTCTGCTTCTCCCTTCTCCCTACAGGTAACCCATGACCCTAAACATGGCGTACAGTGAAGGCATCACTGCGTCCACCGTGGCACTAGGTGCCATTGCCGCCGCCGCCATCTACCTCACCACCAAGGTGTTATACCGCCTGTACCTACACCCGCTGTCCCGCTTCCCGGGCCCCAGGCTCGCGGCCGTAACCTACCTGTACGGCGCGTACTACGACGTGATCGAGGACGCGCAGTTCGTGTTCAAGCTGGGCGCGCTGCACGACATCTACGGCCCCGTGGTGCGCATCAGCCCTGGCGAGGTCCACGTGCGCGACTCCGGCTTCTTTGAGACCCTGCACCCGGGCCCCGGCGGCAAGAAGACGCATCGCGACAAGTGGCACCGGGCGAACCGTGCTAATGGCGCGCCGGGCTCGCTCGCTTCTGCGGGCCCCCATGCCCTCCACCGCGCCCGCAGGGCCGCCGTCAATCCGTACTTCTCGCGGGCGGCGATCGCGCAGCTCGAGGCTGAGTCTATCCGTGCCAAGGTGGGGCTGTTGTGCGAGCGGCTGCAGGAGCACGTGTCCTCGTCGTCCACTGCGGCTGGGGCTGGGGCCGCGGGAGGGGAGGACGAGGTGGTGGACGTGGGCGCGGCCATGACGGCGCTGACGCTGGACGTCATCACCGAGTACTGCTACGGCGATTGCTACGACTGCCTAAGGGATCCGGCCTTCGCACCGCAATGGAAGCGGGCAATGCAGGGTGTGTTCGAGTCCACCAACGTCACCAAGCACTTCATCTGGCTGCTGCGGCTGGTCAACAGCCTCCCCGCCTGGCTGGCCGTCAGGATGAATCCGGACATAGCTGTCTTTGTGCAGTGCAAGTCCCGCCTAAGCGCCCAGGCCAGGGTCTTTCACGCCGAGCAGCAGCAGCAGCAGGCCGGTCTGGATAAGGACAGGAAAGAGGGGGAGAAAGAGGTGGAGGAGAAGGAGAATCAGCCCCGGGCCAAGACCATCTTCCACGGCATCATGCAGGCCAACCTTCCGCCCGCGGAGAAGAGAATCGACCGCCTGGCGGACGAGGCGTTCGTGCTGCTTGTCGCCGGCGCCGAGACCACCGCGCGCACGCTGTGCGTCATCCTCTGCCACCTGCTGTCCAGCCCGTCGGTGCTCACCAGGTTGAGGGCGGAGCTGGACCCCATCATGAAGGAGTCGGCGGGCGGTGGGTGGCAGCGGCAACCCCAGCTCCCACCAAGCCGCGTCCTGGAGGAGCTCCCGCTGCTGAGGGCGGTGGTGCAGGAGGGCACGAGGCTCGCGGAGCCGGTGACCAACAGACAGATCCTAGTGGCACCGGAGGACGACCTCGTCTGCGGCGGCGGAGGCGGGGATATCGTGATCCCGCGCGGCACCCCCGTGTCGCAGACCTTCCGCGACGTCCTGCTGGACCCGGAGATCTTCCCGGAGCCGCGGGAGTTCGACCCGGACCGCTTCGCGAGGGCGGCGAACGAACATCCACCACGCCGGCTTGACAGGTACCTGGTGAGCTTCTCGCGGGGTGGCCGGTCGTGCGCGGGCATAAACTTGGCGAACGCAGAGCTTTACCTGACGGTGGCGGCGCTGGTCAGCAGGTTCGACATGGAGCTGTTTGACTTTGACCGGGCGAGGGACCTGGACGTGGTGAGGGATAAGTTTATTGGCCTGCCTTCCCAAGAGGCAAGGTCTATCCGGTTCAGGTTTCGGCCAAGGGCCTCTTAGGCCGGAGTGTACACCTCGGCGAATGTGAACTCTACTCGTGCCAGGTCATCGCATTTGCTTGCTCCGGTGCTGTGACGAAGACCCCGTAAGACCTGAGCGTCGCACTCTCGGATATTGACGCATTGCCATATTCATCCTTCTCAACCGTGAATGACTGAACATCTTGTCCTGGTCGAGCGCGGACCGAGTCAGACGCCTTTTGATCGGGCGCCTCTCGGGAACCTCTCTCCCAGCCACTTGCTCCAGAACAAGACGCGCAAGTCTCCCGCCTACATTATCAAACAAAACATCTAGGCTCACTGACTGGCCGTGTGGATCAAACATTGGCACGATGCACGAGCTTTGAGGCCGGATGCTTCACGGCCGTCAAGCTTGACCAGTGGGAGCAGAAAGCTCATGCGGCCGCGCAGGCCCGTAGCGACGTGCTCGCATCGGTACGGATAGGACTAGATAGGTGGATCTTGGGCGGGCTAGTATATAGACCGGGGTAAGATCCAGGAGATAGTTGCTCGGAGAGTCCAGCCAGTGCTTGACAAGATCAATCACAAGGCGGAGCTTGAGACGTAGAAAATCAAAGCTTTTAGGGGGGGGGGCGGAAGAAGCTGGCTCGTGTGGGACTGAGAGAGCAAAGAATGCTGAGGTCAAGGAGACTTACCGCACAACGAAAGATAACTGACAGCGCCTGGCTATTTTACCGATGTTAGCCTCGCCAAAAGCATGTGTCGTACCAAAAGCTGCACATATCTTGGGCCCTCTTTTCGGATTGTTGATTTGCTGTGCAAGGCTGGACGAACAAAGACGGCACACACACGAACCGCCGTGCTGTTGGCGGAGCTACAACCCTCGGGGAAATCAGATACGATGAATCAACAGAAGACGATTTGCAGAAACCCCCGAAGAGCTTTGCCATACTACAAATGCACAGCACTACTGGCTCTTGGTGGGCAGAAGCGGTCAAGTCTCCTTTATTCCTAGCTTTTGTTGTACATTCCAGTTCGTAGGCAAAGCCGTCTGCAAGATCTACCTCGCTTGAGGAAAGGGGGCTGCACTAGGCGTGGAGGCTCTCAAAGGTGATGATGCCAAGCCATAGTAAATAAGAACGGATCCACCGCACTCTGATCAGTAACCGCGAAGGCCGTTGTACGGCTCTATAGGACTCGCCGCGATCTGCAGAATGGGGGGAAGACCGGATTGTCGGCTGCCCGGCGCTCGCGAACCGTTGGATGTTGGCAGAGAAGCAGCCCAGAAGGAGCAGGCTGGGCTGGGCTTTGAGACCCAGGAAGTGTACTTCGCAGACAGCACAACGTCAAAAGCCCATGCATGGCTTCCTCCCGGCTCCCTCCACCTATTTCTGGAGTCGGGCTGCACAGTCCTCGTGTGGCACCCAGCTCCTTTGGGCACGTGTGGGCACTAGCGACATCATTGCTGGATGCAGGCTGACTTCAATAGAGAAGGCGAAAGTGACGATCGGGATGGATTTGGAAGGGAGCACTTTGATGAGGAGCTGTTGGATCTGGGTCGGAACAAATTTGCGAGATTACCTTGATGAAAGGCTTGAACGTGTTGGGCGAGACAGTACGGGCAGTCTGACAGTCCATGATGTCGGATGGATCATGGCACCGCCAGATGGGTCTGTCGCACTGTGAGGAGATGCTAAGGGTCGTTTTTGGTGCTATCTATGTGTGTTGATGGGGCAGATCATCGGTTTTCCAAGGTTGTTGGATGCAAATCAGTGGCTCTATGTTTCGAGTTGCTGGAGACTACCACCCAATTTCGACAGGGGACAGTTAATGTACCACAGTACTGTACTGAGCAGTTAAGAGGCGTTTGAATCCGAGGAGGTTGACAGACGGGACTGTCAACCAAAGTCTGCACCTGGCGTAGGTACTTTTGAACAAGGTGATGTTGGCTGACATTCGTATTTCTCTAATTGTTATTGCTATTACCGTCGTCATTGCCAGTTGGCAGCCGCAGTTGCCAACTCCTTTCTTTGGAGGGCAGGTCCATCTCCACCTGTGCTCACCCACTCCTGCCACATTGCCGGGAAAGGAAGGGAGGCAGGCACGCAGGGCAGGCGTACCTGCATTAGCGTACAGGGACAATGGGGTCGGAGAAAGCAAAAGACAATTCTGGGAATATTGGTTTTTTGGCCTCCAACTGCTGTCCTCCTGCTTCCTGCTGGTGAGAGGCCCAGCAACAGCAATTTACCAGCTGTGCGATCCTCATTTGTCGGCTGTTAAATTTCAATGTATTCTCGACCATCGTCTGAGCCTGATCCGTTTCCATCCATCCGCCGCTGCGCCGTTGCCGTCGTGCAATCACAGGTCATATGGGTGATTGCAGCACAGTAAGCTTACCTACAAAATTGCCTGCCTACCAGAGCCCAGCGCGTTGTGGCTTTGTGCTATCGAAACCTCGTCGGTCAATGACAGTTGAGTTCTGTTTTGCCATTACGTTTCGTTTCAAAAGCGGGCCTGGCACCCTTCGAGCATGGTCCAGGATCTCGCGGCTTTAAAGATCTTCCTTGGGTGGCACTGACAATCCCAAATATCACCTAGCGACAAGGTTATTTCTACCGCGCACAGGGGTCCCAGATGTTAGGACTCATGACTTGACTCCCAGTCTGTACACAGTACAGCACTCTTTCCAGTGGATAATCTCTTGTAGGATCACCTTCTATGGGCTACAGGATAATCTGCTGACTAGAAATCCCCTGCGGGATGAGCTCCGAATGCTGCTTGTGCCTTGTAGGAAGACCTCATTTCTACATGCTCTCGAGTACCTGACCGACCTTTGGGATAACTACAGGCTGCAATGTACCACAAGCAAGCAGGGTCCGGAACGGGTCCCTGGTCAATCCCAATCTGGTATGGCTGGGTGGACGTTGAAATCCGGGGCACACACCCAAGCAAACACTTCCTTCGACGACTTCGCCCCCGGCTGTCGGCGGGGTCAGTCCTAGAGTGAGGGATATTGGTCTCTGCTCGACGCATTGTCGTGGGCAATAAGGCGAGGCTCGCAATCTCAAAGTCGACTTCTGCTATCAATGCCGACCCGCTTCCATCGAATGAGCAATATGTTCATGTGATTGGCCATGTAACGCCGGCACCATCAACAGATGAGCCCATCCAACATGTCCTTGATGAGTTGCTGTGTCCAAAAGCCCAGGTGATAGATGGCGCGCGGTTGTATGGAAAAGAATGCCGATCATGAGCACCTCTCCAGTACTCGCCACTGCGCTCATAGTTCTCGCCAACGAATCAATACCAGACAGTAACAAAGAAGATTCGCCTTTAAGCGCCTGTCAGATGCAATAGCATCGCAATGAGCGTCCATCAGGGCACAAGACTGAACCCAAGTCCAAGATGGATGGTCACGCTAACTCCACAATATGCAACCTTACCCGCCACTCTGAGCGCCTCTGACCACTCATCCGGCTAGCCTCGAGATCATATCGTCGATCAGCCCTCTTCTGCGGCTGCGACCCAAGACAACGCAGCACCGACGAGATGGCACTTATTGCGCAGATAGGTGGTTCTGACTCCTGCCAGAGCATAGGCTCTCTGTCACTGTGGATATGTTTGCAGGCCTGGTGGAGGACCATCCCTGGTGATGTAAATGATTCTTCCTGAACCTCTCCTCCACCATGGCCCCTGGATTAGCGTACAGCCCCTGCACCACCCATGCTCAGTGCAATTTCCCACAGATCCCACACCCTCACCCTGCCGGAGGAAACCCGCGGGGTCTGCTGTATCGGCGCCCATGAGCCTATTTAACAAGTCTGCCCTCTTTTCGAAACCTTGACAGACTCTCCTCTCCTTCAGCCTACCAAGCCGCTCCACGATATTCATCTCTAAGAGCCTTTGACTCAACTTGACTTCGGTCGTCCATTCTTTCACAACAAACGCATCTACAAGCCCAGAGCTTCAGTCCGATCTTTAAATCAACCGTTCGAATTTCGAAACGAAATATTAAAATCCCCCAAAACAGTCAAAATGAAGTCTGCTATCTTCGCTGGTCTCCTGGCTACGGCCATCGCCACTGAGGTCCAATCCACCGTCTACCAGACGGAGGAGGTCACCATCACCTCGTGCGCCCCCACCGTCACGGACTGCCCTGCCCGCTCCACCGAGGTGTCCTCCACGGTCCACTCCTACACCCAGAGCACCGTCTACAGCACCGAGTACGAGACCATCACCAGCTGCGCTCCCGAGGTCACCAACTGCCCTGCCCGCTCCACCGTTGTGTCCTCGTCGAGCTACATCGTCAGCTCCACCCTGGTTTCCGTCCCCCCGGAGGCCACCTCGACCTCCGTGTCGCCGGTCGCCTCTTCTCCTCCTGGCGCCCAGCCTCCCCAGGGCACTGGTGTCCCTCCTCCGGCCTCCTCCGGCCTCGTTCCCGGCCCCTCCGGCACTGCTGGTGGCGTTCCTCCTACCTTCGTCTCCTCCAGCTCCCCTCTGACCACCGGTAACCCCGGTGCCCCCGGCGGTGGTGCCAGCGTCTGCGCCCCCACCTACTCCGTCAAGACCATCTCCACGACCACCGTCATCCCGACCGTGATCTACGAGACCGTCAACGTGCCTTGCGCCACCGGTGGCTCCCCTGCTCCTTCTTCCGGATTCGGCGTCCCTCCCCCATCCGGTGGTAACGGAACGTAAGTCGACAGCCCCCTCTGCCCTTCGGGGCCATAACTTGAGACTGAGAGAACCATTTGTACTGACTCTATCATCCAGCGTCACTGGCTCCACCCCTACCCCCACCGCCGTCGTCACTGCTGGCGCTGGCCGTACCTTCGGCGTCTCCGCCGCCCTGGCTGGTGTCGCCGGTCTCGTCGCCCTCCTGGCCTAAGTCAGTCCCGTCCAGATATAATGGCATCGGCATTTCTCATGGCTCGGGGGGCTTGGGTGGCCACGTCACGACGGGCTGTTCAGCATCTGTGGTGGACATGTTGCCGCGATGTGTACCTATGTTATCATTCTTGAAACGTACTGAGCCACCCTGGAAGAACCCATCCATGGGGAGATCCGGAGCTCTTGCTTGATACAAACAAACAGATTCTTCTATTTTTGATACCAAACCTTAATCTTCTTCGCCTGTACATAATTCAACGACGTTATGAACGTGCGTGTGCCCCAATGGAACGAGTGCCGTCCGCTGTCTTAATCCCCGCGTGATGTCCATGTATTGTGAGTCGTTAGGTGGTAGACCGCTCTTCAGCAACAGAGATCGTCCTTGGGCAGCGCGTGGTGTCTCATTTCCCAGACGATCAGTTGACGTCGAGCGCCAACGAGTCGGCCCTTGTGGCGGCAGGGCAGCACCCTGGTGTGCCGCCCTATTACCCAGGGCGGGAAATTAAGGAAAGACGGGATGGCAGATCGGCGGGCGGCGCCATTGGGTGAGAACAACTCACCTCACGGCCTACCCCGGCCTCTTTAGCTGTTTCATCTTTCCAACTTTAAAAGCAGGCAACCTTAGGGCTTGTTCGTTTCGGTCGCTGGGACATGCTTGTTCTTAGTGTGCCTTTTTATTTTTCCACTTTCTTTTTGTGCGGGCTGAGTGACTGACCCACTTGCCGGTGAAACGGTGACGAAGGACTGCTATTCATATTGCCGTTATATTTTGGCGAGAGTATCGAAGATCTTGTCATGAGTCGGGGCATCTCCCCCTCTGTAGTGCTCAGGCCTCCTGCTCAACCGGAAGTTTTGGGCGGGAGGGACCGTAGGGCGAGGTTCCAATCACGGGCCCGTGCAAGTGCACGAACGCCCACCGGCATCCCTATGACGTGCTGGCATCGAGGCACGACAGTGGTCGGCATTCTGGGTCGGGGTTGGTGTCCGGACCATCGTTCGAGGTTCCACCGTCTCGTCTCCGGGGATCGATCTGGAGGCGTGCGGGTACGACGCGTGTGATGCGGTCCTCCGTGCCACGGCGACGAGAACTCCTGTGTCTCGTCAGCCCAGCCTGTGCACCTGACCCCGTGGGCAGTGTAAGTTCTGCGTCGTGGTGGTGAGGAGATAGGGCATGGGTGCCAGCCGGTTCTGTTCCGCTGGCGAGGTGAGCAAGTGCTGCCTCTGGATGAACAGGTGGAGGTGGGGTCTCTGTGTGCGGCATTGACAAGTTCAATTACCTGACACCTCTCCCGAGCGCTCTTGGGTCGGCTCGGAGCTTGGACGCCGTGCTCGTTTGGTGAGAGGCGCCGGGGCATACTGCTCACTCGGGCATGTGCTATTTCCTGGGCGATGCGGGTGGTCAAGTGGCCACAGTGGTGGAGAAGCTTTGGTAAGGAGATGGGGGATGTACGAGATCCCAGCAGGGCGCGGCTCCCTCGACTGCGTCTGGTCTTGGACGGTGCTCACATCACACCGTGTCGTCTTTGATACATAGGCTCAATGTGTAGCCTTGTGTGGCGTATGGGCGTATCACGCAGGACAAGGCTACGCCATTGCGCTTCTGTATTTGCCTACTTCGATCACCGTCTTGTTCTCGTCATTCCGTGCACACATAGCTCCAAATCTCGTTCCATGGAGACACGCTTCCCTCGCACGGCTTCAGCATCTCGTCTGACGTGGGAAAGAACATACTCGTGTGATGCGACAAGAAATGCCTGCAGATCTGGTAGGCGCCCGCACCCACGATGGCACAACAGCTTGCCCGTCTCCCCTTGCGCCAGGAGTCCCTATTCACGGCAATGATGGTGCTGCTGCCCTAGCACTTGTGCATAAACTGTGTTGAAATGCTGGATTAGAGTATCTGGTGGCGTTTCATAGCTGTCTATAAGCAAAAACATATTCCGTGCTTTTGGGCACAATATGGTCAGTATGCTGTATGGACGAGGAAACCTCGAAGCGATGCATCCTATCAACCTACATGATGGGGATGGTGTTGAAAGCGTGTCAAATCATTGGCCGGCCGCGTGTATGTCTCATCACCGCACCGTCCTCAACAGACACAGAGTTGTGCCTGTGCAACGGAATTCGAACTCAGCCGTGAGGTCGACACAGGGCAGGTGCGTATCTACCTAGGAATGGGCCACAACATCATGACGACCACGAATTCCTATTCTGGCAGGACTGACTGAGGGAAGTGCCTCCTCTCTCGACCCACGGTAAAACTGCCCGTCCTGCTTTGGATCCTTTTCTTGTTTACTTGCCTGCTCCCTGGTTACTTTCGCCAGTCTGTTCGGCACACACTCACATATCTCAGCTTATGGTCAAATTACTCAACAGACTCACATTGTACCAGCAGATTTCTCATCGAAGCATTTCGTATTTGACTCCATTACCGCAACGGACGATCAATTCCTGCGCCGTCTCTGTGCCAATCTCCAGACCTGTCACAAGAGGCATCGTGCAATAATTTGGACGCGATCAAGGCTCGCGCGGTCCCGGCCCACGCAGACACGGTCCACGCCGTCACAGTCTTAAGAGCAGCCCGGCGAAACCTGGACGCTAAATCTCTCCAACGGGAAAACGACTAAACAACTGTACATGATAGCCTATTAAACATCCATTCAGTCTTGGTGGCTTTCAGCGTCCAAAACAGTCTCCGACAATTCAATCTCTCGCCCCCCTAGCCGAGCGAAACCGTGTCTGACAGTGACGCGACCAGCTGACGAAAATCATGGATGGTTTGGATAATCACACAATGCAGAGACCGCCCTGCAGGGCCCCTTGCATTCCCTTCGGTCCTGACGCAAATTGTACCCTCGAAATCTGCGGTCCTGATTTCAGCGTCTATGGCTACATCCCCGGGCTGAGCTCCAATGCCATCTTCCTAGCCATCTTCGCGGTAGCCATGCTCGCCCATGTCATCATTGGCCTGATATGGAAGCAGTGGTGGTTCATGTGTTGTATGGTCGCCGGCTGTGTCGACGAGATTTTAGGCTATGCCGGGCGTGTGTGGATGAACCAAGATCTCTGGAACTTCAAGGCCTTCATGATCCAAGTCGGTGAGTGAATACTCACCCTGTGTACCTGTGTTAACTGTGTCGCTTACATGTGTATTTGAAAGTCTGTGTCACAACTGCTCCGGTTTTCTTCTGTGCTGCCATCTACGTCCTGCTGGCTAAAACGTATGTGACACCCTCCGATTGATTATGCGCGTGAGACTACTCTGGCAGTATGGACTGACAAGCAATGTCGGTGATAGAATCCTAGCTTTCGGGCCCTCCTTCTCACGATTCAATCCCGCTCTGTTCTACTGGATCTTCATCCCATGTGATGTTGTTTCTCTGGTGCTTCAAGCCGCCGGCGGTGCCCTGTCGTCAACGTCGTCGGGCAAGAACCAGGCAGGCATCAATCTCGCCCTCGCAGGTCTCGCGCTGCAGGTCATCTTTCTCGTCATCTTCTGCGGCCTGTACGCCGACTACCTCTGGCGGTATTTCAAATCAGAGGAGTTCCTGGCCCGCGCCCACACGCAGAAGTCGTTTGCACGGCGGCTGAAGCTGTTCTACGCCTCAGAAGCATTGGCCGTTGCTATGATCTTGATGAGATGTGCCTTTAGGGTCCATGAGCTGAAGGATGGGTACACGCAGTCGAACCAAATGCTCCGTCATGAGGAACTGTTCATTGGTCTTGAGGGCGTGTAAGTCACGGAAGCATTGCTTTTCTGGGTTCCAATCTATATGGTGCTCTGCTGACGTTGTCACTGACCCAGTCCCATCGTTCTCGCCGCCTTCTTTCTAGCCGTTGGCCACCCCGGTCTGATTTTTGGCGATGGCACCCGGCGCAGGTCTCCATTGGCGTCGCCTAAGCAGTTTGATGCAGAAGGCAACAAAGAAAAGGCAGCCGAGACGCCAGCCGAAGCCCCGGCTAAGGAGCCGGCTGAAGAGGCGGTTGAAGAGGTGGCCGAAGGGGCACACGAGGAGTCTGTTTCAACTTGAGAGTTCAAGTCTCGATTGTACGGATAAGTACACTTGAGCTGTCACCTTGTAACGTGCCGGCTTCTGTGTGTTATTGATGTACTCGTACTGTTTTTCTGATGGGAATTTGGGTAGACTCGGTGTCGACGCCTCGAGGGCTGGTCTCCGAGGAGCATAGAGGTAGATTGTCATGAGGAGGCGAACAGTAGGATGCGCCTCTCAAATAGCAGGCGTTAAAAGACATGTTTCATTCTCTCGACCACAGTCAATTGAACAGCACTAGGTAAGTATTGATAGAACAGACATTCGCACAACCTTAGCGAAAACACCAAAAAGAGAGAGCTGGTTGAGGAGCACCCTCTTCACGCCCTGCCACCCCGCCAAGGTGCTACAGCGCGTCCCTCCTTTCGGTACTTCCTGTTTGCAGGAGCTTCGGGATATTTGTTGCAGTGCTTTGTTTTATCCACCTGCCTGTGTGTTTATTGACGTTGCGGTGGGCACTGTATCTGAACCCATGGCTTTCACTTAATTCTTTCCCACATACCTGTGTGTTTATTGGCTTTCGAAGTGGGTGATGTGTGTCTGGACTTAAAGGACTTTCGAGTTGCTCGTCTTGCTGACCATGCCAGATTGCCGTATCAGTTGTGAAAAGGCACATTCGACGAGCTTATGAGTGCTAGAACGTTGGGATGAAAGGTGAATTAGCTTGCGTTTTGAATCGAAAGGGGTGGCTTCTTTCGCCGTGGGTCTGTTGACTACGAGATTGCTCTTAATTGTACACAATGTAGGTAGTGTCCTTCTTTACTTCTATAAGTACACCACTCCAACCGTCGAAATTTCCTTCGACCATCTGTCCTCGCTGTCCTCACATGACTCCTCATCCGTCGCCAGGATCTCGTGCCTCAGCCCCGAGCCTCCGTGGTAGAAGTCCTCGGGACCCAAGCCGTGAACCGGCAGCGAATGGCTGGACCGGATAAACAGCCACCTGTTTATTGGACTCGACCACGGCTCCGGGTAAACGGGATATGGCGGGTCTTGTTCCATGAACGGCTTCCCCGGTGCTGGCTCCCGCCCTTCGTCGACGCCGTCGTCAAGCTCCTCGTGGAACTTGAACGTGGTGGCCAAGGTCGGGATCGGAAGGGAGGCGTCTGCCTCTGGCGCGTCTTCCTCAGCGTCTGAGCTGTCTGTAGAATGGGAGCTGCTAGAGGGGCAGGACGCCCATGACTCCTCGCTCGACGTCTGGGATTCCCCTTCTGGGTCCTCGAAGGCTGATACCCGCAGCTCTGGGCTGGAGTCCTTGTCCACGTCACTGGCCGCCTCAACGACCTCGCTCTCACCCTTGGTGAATGAATTAATGTCGAGGGACAGTTCTTCGAGTTCGGCGACCGCGAGGGCTACCTGCTGATCCAACGAGAGCGGCTCGACTGGTCCATCCATCTCCTCGGGCTGATCGTGTCTCTCTGCTTTTTGTTGCTGAATGTCTTGGGCTTTTGCGGAATCAGGGCAGCCTTCCTGGTCTGAGACACCACAGAATGCGCTATCTCCGCGTTCCATTCGTTGCTGCTGAATGTTCAGCCTAGCCCGGCGTCTTGACGAGGTAAACCTCGTCCACCGTCTGAGCATTATAGCAGAAAATGCTTCTCACCTTGTTTGAAAGGGTCTTGAGTTTGCCGATGTTGAGTTTCGGGGGATTTGCCATCGTGAGTCTTCAGATATTTAGAACCAAAATATTCAGCAATTCGAGCCCAACCAGTCGAAGCTTCTGTAAATGTAGAGCAGCACTTGCTGATTGGCAGTCATATCAGACAACGGATGACACACGCATATCGATCACATAATCCCGTCAATCGAAATGACTGCATTCTTACCACCTCCAGGGATTGCGTGTGTTGCCTAGTCACTCGACTCGGCGTTTCAATGCCACTCTGGGCAGAAGGGCGAGGCAAGCGTCCATCACCGGTGACACAACGCCTGGGGCGCGGGCTGGCGCAACGTTGCTGCGTGGGATTGAGGAAGAGACACTGGGCGCATTGCCTCAAACAGCCCGACGTAGGTCCCGTGCCGTCCAACATCTCAGGAGACCCCGTCTCATAGGCAGCCTCGTCCGAACGAGCCTGCCAAAACTGCCCACCCGGGCCTTCTTTTCAGGCCAGAGCTCCACCTGAGGGCCGAAAACCAAGACCCTGACCCAGGTGGGCGACAAGGCATCAGGGCCCGAATCGACGGCCCCTGACCGCTCGGCCCGGGCCCCCCACTCCAAGGCAGAGAGACAGAGTCTCTGCTTTTTCTTTACCCTTCCAAATATGGCTCCGTATCTCGAGTCTCAGATCTCTCTGGCTGCCGTCAGACGGCAATACCGTCTCATAATCAAGAATCGAGACACGGTGATCACTGCTGGTTATTGTGGCGCTGACGCGGGTTTCAGTCCTGCTTAGACGAGCACGTCAGCATCGACCTGTCCAGAGAGAGCCATCTGGTGGACGATCATTTGGGAAGCCGCAGGGCAACTGTTGGATGGGGGGAGAGAGAGGAAGAAAGAGGTGTGTGGCAGCGTTGGCGCACATTGATACTGAGCTGGATTAGTTAGTCATCGGAGGTTTTCGACCGCCCATGGGCGGCAGACACAAACAATGGAGCTTCTAGTACAAGACGGAAGGGAAATTCGCAAGGTAACTCAAGAATTTGCTCGGGTATAGACATACAGAATTATTATTCAATATGCGCTGGGCAAAGCCCAGGCATTCTCGCCCGTTGGCATTATTCTAAGGACAACGGCCGGTCTGCTCGCGGAATACATCCCCGTAAGAGGCTTCCGCACGTCATCACCCTATTCGCAACGCATACAGCTCGTTCATACGTAAGACGTCGAAGTGAACTCTGTTGGTTTGCTCTAAGCTGTCCAGCTATTAGAAGAATGCCATCCGGGACGCCCTATCCGGATTTCGTCCATCCAATTGACCTGAACCCCCTCCGTGTCCGCCCGTCCAGAAACAAAGCCTTTTCATTATCACATAGGGAAAATGGACACACGAAGCCAACAACAGTTTTGTATCAGCCAACTGTACCCCGGCCCAACACAGACAAGTAACGCCTCTGACAGTAATAAAAAATCAATCCCATATAATATTGCAACCGTTCCCGTGACCCATTATTCCGAGGGGTTCGCCAAGGACGGTGGTGGTCGAGTTGTCGAGAATCGAAGCTGAAGACGCTAGGAGAAGGTAGTTGTCGAGGGAGAGTATTGAAAAGTAGAGAAGTATTTGGTTGTATAAATGAAAGTCCCATCTCGTGCAGAAGCCCCGTGTGACGGGTCCTATACTGGTATCTTTGGTGCCCATGTCGATCGATTCCTGGAAGCCGCCGCGCCCCCCCTTCCCGAGCCTGAGGTGTACACACACAAGACATTATTGTATCCCATTTCCCATTCCCAACCTATTCTCCATATTCTGACGGAGACCCGTTTCTCACTGGCTCTCCCGGATTACAAGGATTTTTCGATCTCTTTGGTTGGAAAAGGCCGATGATGCTGCGAAATGTACACACGACTGTTGTCACACGCATATCGATGTATGCGAACATGCGCAATCTTTCTTTTGTTCCCTGAACGGGAAAATCAGGGGTGTCGTAGACGTCAATCAGGAGTGGAAGAGATCCCAAGCTCTCTCACAAATCCTCAGGAACTCCTCCCTCTTGGCACGTTGTGTTTCGGGGCTGTCCCGTCCTTCGCCGAAGGGACCTCGTCTGACCGATGGCCGGCCGTTGCCCAATGGAGGCGAGACCCCGGCCTCGTACTCATCCCGGCGTCGCTTCGTCGTGCTGGTGCTTCGGCTGGCGTCAACTCTATGCGCGCCTGGAAGGGGCGATGGCGGGGTTGGTGGCTGGTGGCCGCCGTAGTGGACTAACTTTGGCAGGAGTTCGGGACGTCCTCCAGCAAGCTCATGCTGGGCTTCCTCAGCCGACTTGTATTCTCTCGGCCGGGTAGCGGTGGGTGGCGGGTGTGGGTTGTGGGTATGGCCGGGCGAGCGAGCCGGCTGAGGGCCGTTCTGGTGCTGCGCGTACATGGCATGGCCAGTTGACTCGGGGTGCCCTGAGTGGAGATTGTGTCCGAAGACATCGGAGATTGGTGGTAGTCTGTTGTTTGTTTGTGTGGCGGGCACGTGGTGGATGTGTGATGTGTTTGAGAGCTTGGAAGGGCGATTCTCGATGTGCCGAGTAAGAGGGTGCGGGTTGTTCATGCCAGTAAATGTTTGACCGAGGGGCGCAGACTGGATCACCCTCTCATTGGCGAAGTTCTCGTGCGATGGAGCGACGATAGACAGTCCCGGAGGAGCCTTGTTCCTGCGAGACATGCCTGGTGTTTTGGCGGCGAATCCGCTTGTTGGCTCCTTGTCCTTGTCTGTTGGGCCGTCTCCCTTTGCCGACTGTTGTTGCAGTCGTGCCTCGATGAGGTGTCTCTGCTGCTCGCGAACTGACAGACTCCGCTGAACCTGCTCCTTCATAACTGGATCTTGAGTGATGAAGCCCGGGGACAGGCAGGCCAATCCCATCTCCTGGATACCCAAGCCACCACTCTCCCGAGACGTCAGAGGCCGAGCAGTCGCAGCGCCAGAGCCAACGTTCATGCCCCGGGACAGGTCTAGTCTACGAGGGCGGTGGCGAGCTGTCGCAAGGTCTGGCGAGCCAGGCTCCTTCTTAACGATGATTCTGGGTGGGCCTCCACCGGTTCGAGAACTGTAGTGATTGAGAAGTGGTCAGCAATCGGCTGCTCCGTGTACGGCCAAGCCGCGAAGGGCGCTTGAAGGGGGGGGGAGGGTAAACTCACGCGCTGGGAGGGGACGACTTTCCGGCTCCTTGAGCTTGACCCCTTGGGCTGCCACTGCCAGACCGATTTGACTGTTGTTGAGGTGCAGGTGGTGCAGGTGCGCTGGGTGTTGCCGATACGGCTGTTCGCTGGGCGGATGGTGAGGCAGAGGATGCAGGGGCGGGGCCCGCGGCATTTGAGGAAGTCATGGCTGGCGGAGAGCCGCCGAAGCTTGTCCGGTCGTGAGGAGCTGGCGAAGGAGCCATTGCAATGGCTGCGCTCATGGTGAGATGAGACTGTGCTGAGCGACGAAAAATAAGGGACTGATTGAAACTATTGACAGAGAGCGAGGGAAGTCGGCACCACGAGGTCGTCCGAGAGAGAGACAACCTAAGAAGCGACTTGTTCGCGTAAGATAAGCCAAAGCGACTGTGCGGCACCAATGGCTGCTACCCGTGAGGAGCACTGCAGTGTGGTCGTTTTTTCCCGCTTGGCTGGCTGGTTTGCCGGCTTTCTCCAGACCACCCCGAGATTCGGTTCGAGAGCCTCCAAGGGTCGAGAACGGTCCAGATAATCTGGAGCGGCAAGTCGATTATGCACAAGAGGTTGGTGTGTGTGCGTGTGTGTGATGTGTTTGGTTGTGGAGCAGTGATTCCGGCGAGGAGAGCTGGAAGAAGTCGATGCTGATCCTCAACTGGAAAAAGAACAGGGCAGGGCAGGGCAGGAAAAGTGCCGTCGGCGGGTCCGCGGGCAGAGGGTGGTCGAGTCCCTCGAGTTGTACCTTTTTCGCCCTCTCGTGTCCCTCTGTTCGGTTTAGGGTTTCAAGCCGCCGCGTTTGGGTGAGACCTGTGCTGAAATGGCTCTGATTCGGCGGGATTGGGCCCCAAGGAGCAAACTTAGCTGTCAGCCGATGCAACCCCTAGGAAGTAGCAGGTGTGCGAGCTGCAGCTTTTCTTGGCTTCCCCCTTTTTTTGTTCCTTTCTCGAAGGATGCCGAGTTCTGGCGCGTGAGAGAGAGGTGGAGTAGCCGAGAGCGTGAGCGTAAGCGTGAGAGAGAGAAAAGAGACACTCTTTGGTTTGTTTCTCCAACGGAAGCCTCCTTTCAGAAAAAAAAGAAAAGAAAAAAGAGATAGCCGTGGATGCTATCTCCTGTAGATCGCCTAATAATCTCGGTCGATAGATTTTCTTGCGCGTTCGTTACTGCTGACGAATGCGTCCCAGCTGAAAAAGTCGTATTTCGCAAATCGATCAATCAAAGCCGTTTTGTATTGTATTGGTGGGTGGGGTGGGATAGTAAAGGTGGACTTGACCCGACTTCTGACAAAACCCGTCGCAGCGGCAGAACACTCACGATCATGCACGGGGCTGAGCAGGCAGGCAGACAGGCAGACAACAATATTTGAGGATGAAGCGAGAGACTGCAGCCGTAACGTAACGTGCGTTCGCAGAGGGGAGAGGAGGGGAATCAGAAGGAGCTGTCGCAGCATCCGTGGGCAGGGAGAGGGGCCTTTTTAGGAGACGATGCGCTGCTTCAGAATGCCCCGAGTTCCAAGGTTGGCTCCAAGATACTCCATAGCTGCTACGAAGCGAACAACACCGGCTGCTGGATCATGATACGGCCACGACAGGCCGCGACAGGGTAGGCCTGTTGGTCTATGAAAGGGGTGAGGGGCTGCACTGTCAGTGATACAGTGAGGGTGAGAGATCTGTGGCCATTCCCTGTCGGTTGGGAGAGCTCTCTGGCTGTCTGGCAATCCTTCTGGAGCCGGTCCAGTCGAGCCAGGTGAGCAGCAGCCAGTCGCCGCAGACTCCCGGCCTGGCCCTGCGACTGGCTCCCACGCAACGCCGCACCAGATCTAGGAGGGGGGCCCACGCTGCCACGGAGTTGCTCCCAAGACATCTCAGGACCATTCATGGGGACGGGGCCTAGCGGGGCTCACGCTACCTTAAGCTCCGTCGTTGTTTCATTAATGCTGGCTTACCCACACTCGTCCGCATTAGACCCCTGCTCGTCCCGTTTCCTCTTGGATTGCGACTTGTTGCCAAGTCACGGCGGGCCGCAACTCACCACACTGCCTGTTTCTCTCCCTCTCTCTCCTCCTCGACCACGATGAATTGGCTGGCTGGCTGGCCATTGGATCGCGTGCTCGGCCGGGACACATGCCGCGATACCTGCCGCGATGTACATACATATATCCTCCTCGGATAAACGAGTGAGCGAGTGCTTTGGCCCTCGGACGGACTGCGATTCAGTGCAAGCTTTCCCCTCGGTACTTGGCTCATAATGTGGCTGCCATTAGGTTGGCGGCGTCCAAGTCCCGTGAATCTTGGGATCAAATTTTGGACACGGACCGAAATAACCTCTATAGAACCTGGGGCGGTGGCTGGGCTTCTTCCGGCTCAGGAGTTTCTCCAGGGTGGCAGGTGGGCTGCGCAGCCTTGCTCGGTTTTACTTGGCTCAAGTATCAACCAGGTAACCTGGCATTGTTTTTGTTGTCCAGCAGCGTCAGATGCGTACGCAGCGTCACCCAGAAAACCACGAGGCTGTGCTGTTTGAATAGGACCCCTTTCATGCTCTTCCCCTTAATTTGATATCTTCTCCCTTCTCCTGAGGCCGCCCAGCAGTTGCAGCGGCCGGTCTTTGCATTCCCATGGGAGGCGCCTACACCCAGTACCGCAAATCAATACCAGACTTGATGTCGATCTCTCTGGCCGACAAGGCGGCGAAGCCGTGCCGCATGTCTCGCGAGCTTTGACCATGCATGGGGATTTTGCGTGCAGTGGCCGAATTAGGCCTATGTACGTTGCTCTCGCAGCCCTGTTGTCGGGTTCTCCAGGGGTCGCATCGATGCGGCTGTCAGCTTTCTTTCTTCATCCACTCGAGCCCAGTCCCATCTTATCGTGATCCTTGTCGTCCCATGGCACAATATGTCAGAAATTGCTGTTCTGGCGGCCAATGACTTACTTTGGTCGTGGCAGTTGCCGTATGACGAGCAATGCACAGCATTGCTGTATTCGAGGAATACGAGTTTTTATAATTGGGGTCCCCTGGAAGAGCACCGCTGCGATCAATACTTCGTGCAACATTGATTGCGGCCTGTTCAGGAACACAACGATCGTCACTAGCGGCGCCTGCATTTTCGAATGCCCTGACAGCTCAGTAGTATCGGCGGGTTCGCTGTGCTCCCCAGGAGTCAGGGTGCGGCCGCCTAGACCGCCTTGAACTGGCAACTCCGGATTGTCCACATGAAGGCCCGTACTTGTTCGCGTATCGAACATTGGACCCAAAAGAACCCTCCTGTCGGTACATGCCCGAAAGGGTCGAAATGGAATCTGGAGATGGACATTGCCTATGTCGAGAGCTGGGGCACTTCGATAATGATTGGCGCCACATCGACCCGCCATATATTTGTTTGCTGCAAGTGCATCAGATGGGGTCACATTAATACAGACTATTGATGGGCGGCGGGCCAGTCAATAATCTCCTTTCTCGTGAACGCGCAGGTTCTGGGCCGACGTGCCGTGGTGCGTTCAGCGTTGTGGGTGACCTCTCCCATAAGTCACTGTCAGTTCGGAGGATTTCACGCACAGAGCTGGGCTCCCTGGCCGATCTTCGCCCCCATGGAAGTGCTTAGGTGGGCCACAACCTTGCCCGTCCTGCACGAACCAGTGCATCTCTGGGCACCGTTGCCTCAGGTGGCTCTCCACCAATTAAACTGACAGCGCTCTGAAACGAGCGCGATCCAATCACGGGGCCCGAGAAGAGAAACTCTGCCCATCCCGTCCACCTCGCCTGCCTTTTCGGTCACTGACAAGCGGTGGACGGTGAGTATCATCAGCATGGTGCACGGCGGCGACTGTGGCCTCGGACCCCCTCTCTGATGACTCCCCATCTCCCCCAGGTTTGCGAATCCGCCTCGCTGATAACAAGGCCGACAGCCTTTGATACTGTTTCACTTTGAGGGGAAATAGTGGTCATGCTCGAGTTCTTGACGGCAGATATAGTGCCCCCGGACATAGACGCACAATACGCTTGCGCGGAAAAGAAGGAGCCGCGGTGTGGGCTGCGATAGTGGCCCCGACCGGCTCCTTCGCGGTATCATGCTGAGTTAGCACCGGTTCAGACGACAAAAATGCGGTCTACAAGGAAATCTTTGTCATCGAGGTTTCGGCTATCCGTTTGTTGGTTGCACACGAATACAACATCTTCCAGGACAAGCAAGTAGCTGGACACGCTGGAGTGATGCCGCCTTATGCAGCTTGCCGCGCGCCAGGCAAAGCATTGTGTCTTTGTCTGTCTCCTGCGTTGCTCGAGATCACCATGCGCCACCGTTAATAATAAGCTGAGTTGGTCGTTGTCAAAGGGTTGCCAGCGCATGCGGTTCGTCACATGCTGTTGGTTTGGTACTACTGTCAAGGCTGCTGACAACGGTCGCGGCGAGGCCACGGCCAAGGCCACCTCGTGTCCACACCTGCCGGCCCGTAGGACGTCATATCGAGTTTCATCTCATCCCACGACGATTACAGTCAAGTAGCGATCGTAATAGTAATCTTGGTGATCAGCAGAACGATGATGTTACTATTGTTTCCGCTGATGTACCCGCTGTTCCGCTGAATATCTTTGCTGGGCCGTGATAAGGTTTTCTCAACCGTGATATTATTCGCGTTCGCGAGGCTGCATTGCTACTCTGCTGCAGGATGTTGGGAGGCAGCAAGTGAACACCCTACTGAGTAATTGATGACCCAGACCGTTCCATGCGATCGATTGAGACCCGCGGCGGGAATCGAGGATCAAACTCCTGTTCCGACTCATGAGCCAGGCGTCACGGTCAATGCCGATGGCGCAGAATGATGTTCTCGAACATGTGGATGTGATGGGCTCCGCATCGCCTCGAGCGGTGAGTTTTACATACGACCGAAGGTACCTGCCAGGCCTGCCTACTTCTGGTCCAGGTAGTCTCTGCTGTGACTCGGGAGTTGGATGGATTTCAGAGACTCGCAAGTTTTCCGAATCCGGTCGGAACTGCATGTCTCAAGTAACGAGGCTGGTCCAACGTCTCTTTCAAGACGCGACTGCTCTTGTGCCAGACAAGAACAGAATACTGCATGGGGCATCACCGACCAAGACATACCAAACATGCGCCAATGTGATTGACTGTAGTACATTCGAGTACGGTCAAGAGCTAGTAAACCTTGGGACGAGATGAAGTTTTTGGCGGGGTTGGGGGCGTGGCGCTGGGAATCCGGGGCAATGGCAGGCCCTGGTGGGGCTTTGCTTTGGCGGCGTGTTGCGATAAGGTTGAGCCTCTTATCGAAAATTCTGCTGAGTCTCACTGCCGTAGCTTGTGATTCAAACGCACCCAGGCATATTGGTCCATTGCGGTACACAGAAGAATACTGCACCATTGATATACGCTCGTGACCGCATTCACAGCATTTCTGCGTCACCACAGCAAATATGTCGAATGAGAACGGAGACGACACCGTCATGGACGACGCGCAAGAATCTCAGAATGGCGACCAGGTCGCGGATGAGCTTGAGCTCGAGGAAACCAAATTATTCCTGGTATGAGCGGCAGATCCGGAGTGACAGGTGAAAAAGCGGAAAGTCTAACATAGCATTGTTACAGCTTCCGGGCTCCACGCCGACAGCAGCCTCCTTTGAATTCCGTGACGAGGGCCATACCCTGGGCAACGCCCTGAGGTACATCATCATGAAGAAGTGAGTTGCTTCACTGCGTGCCCCTACCCTTTCAGCTAGGATTGACATCAAAACAGCCCTGATGTTGAGTTCTGTGCCTACGCCATCCCTCATCCTTCGGAGGCCAAGATGAACATGAGAATCCAAACCTACGGTATGTGTACAACTGGGTGTTGCGGTAGAGCAGATTGTGACTGATATCGCCTTGCAGAGGGCACCACTGCTATCGACGCCCTCAAGAAGGGACTCAAGGACCTCCAAGACATGTGTGATGTTGTCGCCGAGAAGTTCTGGGAAGCAAGGGAATCTGTTTCTCAAATCCCAGCACCCTCTAAGAAGCAGTTGCAGCCCAACGGCGAGCCACGGCTCTTCGACTAGTCTCAACCGTCTCTGGGGCTCGTCTCTTTCGAGAGTCTTCTGAAAATTGGCATGGATTGGCGTTAATGGCGTGCAGGTAGAAATGGCACATCGAGAGAAAAGGAACGGTCTTGGATGGCGGCTCAGGAAATTCTATTTGGTATCTACGGGGAATTCTTTCTTGATATCCCATCTTTAGTTGCGACCCTGGCAGGATGTCAGCGAATATCCCTTTGTGAAGAGGGCAGTAGAGCATAGATCTTACCTCCAAGAACCCTGACATGAAGCTCGACGGTAACCTCTTGTCTCCCCTGAAGTTCTCCTCCTTGAAATATGACATGACGTGGTTCGACTGCTTCCAGAAGTTCATGGTTTCCTATTGCCGCTGGTCAGCCCGATTGTCCTCGTTCTCGCCCACCCCGCACCATTGAGGGCCTTGTACCTGGTATTCTGCGTTGCTCTTGAAGAGTAGAATATCGACGGTCGGTAGCTTGTTGACGAATCGGTGTCGCTCGAACTCCTCCCTCATTCTCGTCCGGATCACCGACACCGGGAAGGGGACATTGTACATGGTCTGGATCTCCGGCGCCTGCCATTCGATACCGTCAGCCCGTTAAACATTGAGGTCATTGGTGCCGCTGTGATTCAGTAGCAGCAAGGTGAAGGAGTTGCATTGACGTACAGCGCGAATCCACTGCCGGTATGTCGCCAACACTCGATTCTGCGCATCCGCCCAGTTGATAGCTACTTCATGGTCAGTGGTAGCTGCCGGAAGATCGGTCTTGATTATACTGACACTGGCGCGTCTTGCGTGCGAATTGAGTTGGCGAGATGTGGGCCATGACGGCTGGAGGATTGCTCGTGAAATGTTGTCGTGCTCGTCGTTCTTCGTTCGGGTCCAAAGTGCTCTGACGTCCGGTTCCTAGTGAACGCAAGGGGAAGCTGTCGCAGATTGGCCATTCACAGGCGGCGATTAGATAATCAGCCAGCCCATCTCACTCTTGCCTGCCCCAGGCAACATCCCGCCTTTTCAGCCTGGAATTAATATCATTCGCATCTTGCCATCGACTCTTCATGCGACGCTTTCTGCTCTGTATTTATTCGAAACTCGACAATCTCTCCTCTATCGCACAAGCTGGCACTCAAGTGTCCGTCCGACTGAGAACAACACTTCCCGATCAGTTTACCACCGAAACAGCCCGACATGCCAGCCATCAGGCACGCCTCGAAGCGCAAGCCGCCACCTGAAGGCTTCAGCGACATCGAGGATGATTTACTCATTTTCAGCAACAAGATGAAGGACGCGCAGAACACCCCGACCGACAACATTCCCAAGCACCAGGCGCAGTGGCCAATATTCGAGATCTCCCACCAGCGGAGCCGGTATATCTACGAGCTCTACTATGAGAAGGAGGCGATCAGCAAGAAGCTCTACGACTGGCTGCTGAAGAACGGCTACGCCGACGCGATGCTAATCGCGAAGTGGAAGAAGCAAGGCTATGAGAAGGTGCGTGGCCAACTTATATCGCGAAAACCTTCGGGCTGTACCATTCTAACGTTCACATAGCTGTGCTGCTTGCGATGCGTCCAGACAAAGGAGACCAATTTTCAGTCAACTTGCATTTGTCGAGTGCCACGGGCACAGCTCAAGGAGGACCAAGACATTCAGTGTGTTAGTTGCGGGTGCAGAGGGTGTGCCTCGAGCGACTGATCGCGACATCGAACACAAGAGAATGGGTACATCGCACATAGCGTGAATAGGGACGGGCTGGAGTTCAAGTCTTTTACTGAGCAGGTATGGCATCACTTTTTGAGGACCAAATTTCCTGGGCAGACCAATAAATATTCATTTTGTGAGAGCAGATCCGCTTCCCTGGGTATATTCTATGCCCCGAACGCCAAGTGATGCAAGGACGTCGAATCAGCCAACTTTCACCAGATCCATTACCGAAGCTCTACCGATGAGACAAGTTGGACTTCTTCGAGCCAAGTCGAATATTTCTGGGGACGAATCTCAGTGACGACATGGCCCCTGTTAAGTTCTCCATGTCCGTATCCTGAAGAAACGACGCCTCGCGGTCGTCGCCAGCCTGTTGACCTGACTGGCTTATCGATGCACGCCGTGGCGGCTCCTCATCGTCACCCTTGGAAATACCTATGGTGTTGCCGCTGCTAGTGTCTGCGTAGCCTGTCTGGTCTTGAGGGCCTGGATCGTCTGATCCGCCCATCGGGACATCCGCAGGCTGTGCTACGCTGTCGTTCACGCCATCGTCGTTGGACGCTGTGCTTTGGACGTCGCTGCCCCCTATCGTCTTCGGTGCGGCGTTTTTAGTGTGCTTCTTGCCCTCCTTCTGTCCCTGGTGACGCGGGTTGTTGCGCTGGTTTGCTCGTGGCTTGCTTTCACTACGATGAACCAGCATGGACTGGCGGTGATCGACTCCAGCCTTTGTCACTGCGAAGAAGTAGTTGGTGGGGTATTTATGCGTCTCGATGAGATGGGCTCGCCTCTCGGCCGGCGTTTTCCGCTTTTCGACGCATGTTTCAACGAAGCAGGAGTACTAGGTGTCCGTCAGCATCCCGATGTATGCCCGTGCGGAGAACAGCAGCTCACAACGTGGTCTCCCTTCTCCTTTCGCAGCTCGGTCAGGGCATCGTGAAACTCTTTGATGTGTAGGTTGAGGATGTGCGAAGAAGGGAAGTTCTTTCTGCAGTCGATGCAACGATTTGTGTGCGCCTTGTGGTAATGTGATTCGTAGTCTTGATATGTGTCGAAGCTCAGGCCGGGGCCGTGACCAGGTAGGGAGCACTTTATATCGGGTGTGGGATCGTGATGCGTGTTGTCGATGTCGAGGCCAACGAACTTGGAGACAGGGACGATTGCGACGTCTTGATCAGTGGTGGAGGACGGTTCGTCGTCCTCTTCGGGCTCGCGTGAGCGTTTCATTCTGCTTGGCATAGAGAATGGGGATAATTACTTCTGTGTCACCGCTCTCGCTTCTCTATGGCTTCGAAGGAGTTGAGTCCCATCTGAACCCGCTGGGGGCTGGCACGTTTGCGTCGTGGGAAGTAGGATTGTGGTTTGGATCGCAAACTTCCATTTGCAGTGACGTGACTTCACTGTGGTGCTAATAGGGCCCACCGTTGCTACAGTACCTACCTGGCGTGCCTGGGTACATAAATAGATACCCAACTTACAGTTCACAGGGATCACACAGCGGTCCTGTTAGCTTGACCCTGCCTTTAGATGTCCTCCGTAAGACAGCCTTCCTACGATAATCTCTCATGGAGTAAACTTCTATGAGATGTTCTCTTTAATGCTGTAGAATGATCTCCATGGTATGAATTCCTGTATTTGCTCCCGTAGTCTGTGTGATCCTCTCAATTTTGTCCTGAGCTGTTGAGTGACTGGGTGTGGTATGTCAGGTACCTGAACTGGTACATGGTACTGCCTCGTTATCTACCTAGGTACCTAGGTAGGTACCTGACCCTTGGGCAGCTGCTAGAGATGCGGCGGGCGCAGCGCACGGTCCAGTCGACCTGTAGCCGATCTGCGACTACACTGAACGCGGCTTACACCAAGAGTCAATTGACTTCTTTCATGCCTTTTCGTTTTCGCGATCGCCAACATCGTTTCCACCAACACACAGGATTGCAGAGTTCCTCGTTACGCCACAATTAACCGGGCCAGAGAGCACCTTGGTGACCGATGTTGCCTACGCCAGCGACCTCAACCTCCACAAAGCAAACCAACCAGGTTCCGCGCTCAAAACATCCCACCAAGGCCCGCTCCCCGTCAGTGATGGATCGCCAATCCTGCGCTGTGTCGACCCCGTCTTCGTATGAGCGCGGTCTCTAACTATGGGCTTGTTTTGATGTTTGGAACAACTTTCGTTACTTTGCAAATACACGTCGAATCTTTACCACCCAAATTTTCTGTTTACCGCAGCCCCCGCTTGCTTGCTGCCCGGCATGCCCGACAACATGGACTCGTCGCCGACTCCAGCAGCTCGGGCGGAAGCCTACTGGCAGTACGTCATACTGTTTCGCGCCTCTTTTGAATGCTTGCTCAGGAAGTTCGCAACACGCTTGCTAGCCATGACTCCGAGCTGGGCCCGATCACCTCTGCGCCACGAGCATACGCCTTGACGTTCGAGTAGGCTGACAATGCATGTACATTCAGGGAGGCCAAGAAAATCCGAATCAAGATCATCCGTGACATCGAGCAGCTGAAGAAGGGGTCTAGCGGCAAGACTGAAGAGGAGCAGCTTAAATCGCTGGAGGAGAGCATGGCCCAGTACGTCAGGTCGTTGTTGGCACATCGACAAAAGATGTCACACGTGAATGGAGCAAGGAAGGACAAATCTGCAGACAGTGTACATTCCAGGAAAATGGACTGGCATACTCCTGCATGAGATATTGGATCTCTCCACGGGCTGGCCTACTGAAGCGAGTGCTGTTTGGTCAGACTAGACAGTGGGAGGTCGGATTTGCGTGTGGCATCTGTTGTTGATAGTGTCGTTGACTTTCGCCTTTATTCCTGACAAAGTCTTAGATTTCGGCTACGTTTTGTTTGCACGCTCGCCGAGGACCCCAAGTACATCTACCAGTTAGATGCAGAGGAAGTGATGTGGCAGTTACACATATACATCAACAAGGCCTACCGAGATTTATTCAACGAGCGCCTCCGAGGCCAACCCCATGTCGTGACCAAGCGCAAGGTGGAGAAGCTTTACATTAACTATCTGAAGACGGCTCACGACTTCTACAAGATCTACTTCCAACGCCTTCAAGCGCTCCATGGCATGCCACAGATTCCTAGGATAAACAGCGTCCTGAAACTTCAAGCTCCGGATGTCGATGAGCGCCAGGGCCAAATTGTGGCGGCCGAAGCCGTTCAGAAGTCGTTTCACTCGACCCTACTTCATCTAGGTGATCTTTCTCGCTGGAGACACAAAGCCCGGCCGAAACAAGATGGCTCAAAGATGGCTTTGCTGTATTATGCTCTCGCGCATGACCTCAAGCCAACCGCTGGAGATGCTCATCATCAGATGGGAATGATCTACACAGAGGAGCACAACCACTTACTTGTTGTCTACCACCTCTATCGCTCCCTCGCTATAGAGCATCCACACGGGAACTCAACGCGCAATCTAGAGATCGAGTTCAAGCAGATTCTTCAGTCCTCTACGCCTGCCAGAAGGACAGGCACTCCCGACCCCAACGAGGCCTTTTCCAACTGGTTCGTGAGGCTTCATGCTCACTTCTACAAAGGCGAACCGTTTTCCCAACAGTCCGAACTGGAAGAGACTGTGCTCCACCGACTTGAGACATTGCTGAGAAAGCCGGACACTCTACCTCTTATTTTGAAGATGGTGCTTATCAACATTGCAGGCTACTACGTCGCACGTTCTAGGGTCGAGAGTAAGCGCTGCCTTCTTCGCTTATATCTTCTTTTCTCTTTGTGAAATTTGCCTTCTCAACCTTTGTTCGCGTGCGCCTCTCTTTTGAGTCTCAAAGCTGACCGTTGTTCAGAGAAATGGAGTTTAGGTGCTTCCAACTCGTGCCAGTTCATCTTAGGGATGAACGTCAGGTGGATTGTATCCCTGGGGCGTCTTCTTCAATCGGAACTGTCAGAGTTCTCAAAGGCTGCGGCGCCTGCAAAAGACACTGTCGATGTCAAGGACGGCGAAACGCACAAGAGCCATGAGAAGTTCAGCCCTTTCACGGACAATCTTCTTCCTCTGATGCGTATCTACCTGGCCTGGCTATACATTTACCGAGCCGACATTGTGAAGTATCAAGAGCATTTGGGCGGCCACGTCTTTGATATGTACCGGATTCTTGCCCAAGCCTTGACGACCATAACCAAGGAATTCCAAGGAAAGCAAATCGCAGCATCGCCCTATCTGCTTCCTGAGGACGTTGTGGCCCTGGGTACGAAGCCCTTCGATGAGCCTGGCTTGGCTTCAGTCTGCCGACTCCACCTCGCATTCGGCAAGGATACGTTCAAGCCGCAATGGGAGGATACTGGGCTTCCCAGAAACGATTCCGATGTGGAAATGAGGGCTCGCGTCTACGACTTGGTGAACTGCGGATTCTCCCTGTCTCTTGACGATACCTTTCCGCTCGCTGCGAATCCACCTGTGGAAGGCTCGGATGGAATAATCACGATCTCTTACGTCGAGGGAGGTAAGGCCTCGCAATCTGCCCAAGGAGACTCCGTCAGCTCCCAGCCCGTGCAACCCGACTCTCAGGTTGATCAACTGGAAGAAAATCTTCGCAATCTTCGCCCGGCAAGCGGGGCTGGCATTACTGGACGAAAAGGTCCGCAGGCGGCGGATAATCTCGGCCGCGAGCACACGAGACTCCCGTCTGGCTCTGCTGCGATTGAAGGGAGTCACCAATTTTCGACTGATAGCATTGACCCTTTGGAGACAGAATCAGATCTTAGTCTCGATGCACAGATGCACAACATGGTTGATGATCTCCTCGAGGATGACGGCTCGGACCTAGTTCGTCCTGGACCGGGGCCTGCCGCTCAGCCCAAGACATCGTCCTACGGTATGCACTCAGCGACAGCTGAGCAAGTTTTCGGTGGGATACAGACGCCTGGCCGCAACTCTGGTGTTGTCTTTGGAAAGCCAAATCCTTGGGGAAGCTTTGTGAGCCCGCCACAGACAGTCTCAACGCGGGGTGAGCTTGCTCCTCAGTATAATGAGAGGGCCCATATCAGCAGTGGCTCCCCGATCCAGGCGCAAAGAGCTTCAAGCACGTCGTCGTTGCAACCGACCGTCCCAGATTTCACTCCTGGCCCAGGACTGCAACGAGGCTCGGATATTTCTGCCTTGTTTCCTGCGAGCAACACTCAAGCACCCGGTAGCCAGTTTGGCCAATCAAGTTTTGGATTTTCCGGCCGCCCTTCATCTGGTCTGTCTGGCACACTGCAAGGCAGTCACGGTGGTTTTGGACATGCCAGACAGAGACTCGGCGGATCTACGGGGAGCAGCGGAGCCTCATCATTCTTCTCACCCAAGGAAAGTTCCGGTGCCTACGAGATCGCATCTGGGGCTCACGCAACAGGTCAAATCAACAACACTCGGACTAAGGCAGTGTCGTCTCCCCTGGGATTCGGCATGGGCAGCAATCCATTCTCCACCGACTTCTCGCAGACTTCGTCTGGTCTTCCTCCTGTGAACAGCCCTTTCGGCTTGCCCGCAGGACAGCTCAATGGGGGTTTCGCCCAGGGGGACATATACTCGTACAACCAGCAGTTCCCGGGCTCATTCCCTGCTTACACGCAGCCCAACGAACTGACCACGGTCTGCAATGGAAACGTCTACAACGCCACTACCGCGTATGGCCGGGGCGTCATAGCTGCCAAGGATGATCCTTCTCACTTCAGGAATGCTGTGAAGAAGACACACATGGCAAAGGCTGTTGCCGAAGCTGACGCCTACGATCGGGCCATTTTGGAGAGCGCTCTGGCGGAGGACCGTCCGAAGCCGAAGGGATGAAAGGGGTGTTTGTGATTTTGTTCTACAATTCTTGGACAAGGGCGTATGCTCTTGGAAACCCTCCTTTCCAAGCCTGCCTTGATCTACAAAGGCGACTCGATCCTCAAGCGGTTTTGTCATACCCGGCAACCCTTCACGATGATCACACTTATGTGGGCTCCGAAATAGTCCCGTCCGCTTCACAGCCTGACGATGGACAGATTTATGTTGGAAAAACTGGACTCTATTCCGGAGGCATCGCCAGGAACCGGTCACTTCCGAATCGATTGTTTTCCTATCTGAAAAAGGAGATGGAGCGTTCTACTTCTAGATCATCGTTATGATCTGGCAGATGGGGAATCATAAGTTGAATTCTGAGACAAAGCGAATCCTTTTTTGTTGTCGCTTCCTGCCCATGGATGCAAATCACCGTTGTTGAAACCAGGCTTTTCTACCCGTCGAATGCCCTGAGACGCCAAAAAACCGAAATGGGGAAGAACGGAAAATTAATTTCGAGTTCTCAGTCACTCGTTTCAGGCTTAAGCTGAGTAAGTCTGCTTGGGGAAGGGGTACCTGTGGGTGGAAAACGAGGTCAGAACATGGAGCTGAAGCGCGTATAATTCGAGGTGGGGAGATCAAGCAACGTGTTTGGGGAACTCTGCGGAGCGCTCGGTCTTCTGAGAGCGGTAGTTGAAGCAATCGATATGAGAGTATGAATAGGAAAACTTTTTGCAGTTGCACTTACGAAGGACCCAGCTCCTGGATGCTGAGCTTGGCCAGCCACTGGCCCAGCTGGATGGACTCCTCGAGGGACTTGCCCTCGACGATTCCTGCAGTGAGACCGCCTGCGAATGCGTCACCGGCGCCGTTGGTGTCGACGATCTGCTCCTTGTTGATCGGGTGCACAGGGTACTCCTTGACGCTGTCCTCGCCCTGGGTAGCCACGACGGTGGGCTCGGTGCCGTGGGTGATGATGGCGACACGCTTACGCTTGGAGTTCTCCTTGGGCAGGTTCGCCATCAGCTTGGCGATCTCCTTGAGGTCCTTTGTGTCGTGGCCATGCACCTCGGCCCAGGTGGCCGCCTCGGTCTCGTTGCCAATCACGTAGTCCCAGTAGGGAGCGCTGGCGTCGACGGGGTCCTTGAAGAATTGCGGGATGAAAGGCGCGGACAGGGACACGATGAAGATCTTGTTCTTGGCCGCGGCCTCTTTGGCGAGCTCCATGATGGCCGGGGGTGAGACTGTGAAAAGCATAACGAGTCAGCACACCCAGTCGGTGAGAAAGCTCTCGGGGGAGCAAATGCTTACCGGTGAAGTGGTAACCACCAACATAGTACACCTCGGCGCCCTCAACAAGGCTCCAGATCTCGGGCTTCTTCAGGTGGTCCAGGTCGTAGTGGTTGGCGGCGCCCAGGTCGGTGCAGAGACTCCTGTTGTGGCCGGTGATAACGACACCGCAGCGGCCGGTGGGCTGGGTGGGCTCGACGCGGTACTCGACACGGAGGCCGGCCTGCTTGACGGCGTCCTTAAGGATAGCGGCGTACTTGTCGTCGCCGACACCACCGAGATAGACGACGCTGTTGTCAGGGAGGATGTACTGGGCGCCACGGGCGGTGTTCTGGGCGGCACCACCGGCGATGAGCTTGGCCTCGAAGTTGTTCAGCAGGTCCTCGTAGATGGCCTTGTGCTTGTCCTCAGCCAGGATGGCATCGTTAGCCTTGAGGTCATACTTGGCAAGGAGCTCGTCGTTGCCATAGGCCTGGATATCTGTTGATGTGGAATGTTGCGTCAGCGAAAAGGCTCTCTCAGCCCGAAGCCATGCCCGAGAGCTGACGGCGATGGTAGGCCATAGGAGGGGCACGGGAGCTCAATGCTCGCGCGGAACAGCCCAGTAATGCTTACCGAGGAGAGGGTTCTCCAGGCACAAGAGACGGTATTGCTTGGAGGCAGCCATTCTGTTCAATTGACTTGCTGTAGCGGTGGATGCGTGGAAGTGTCTTGGTCTCTGTGCTGGGAGAACGGCGGGGTTACGGTTGAAGAAGTGCTTAGAGGATGTACAACGCAAGTGGGGTGAAAAGATCCCCCTGCCGGCAGTGTAAGCTCGGGCGCCGAATCGGGGTAGCACCTGGGCAAATGGCGCGCCAGACATGTTGAATCCTCCGAGTTGGCGGGCCAATTTCTACGAACAGAACATTTAGATGCCCGTGGCTGACGGTTGAAAGCTCGTCGAAGCTAGCTGTGTGGCTCTTATATTGATTTTTTGACTGTCCCGCTGGCTTTACAGGGCGGTGGCGTGGGGAGAGGCTGGTTGGGTGATCACCGTATTACTAGCTTGTCATATGATTCCACTCTGCGCTCATACTGTCGGAGCCAGACAGAATTGCCTGATACGCTCGTTCCTCCCACATATCTACCTCCCCAGCATCGTGATGCTATTTTCTTTCGTCGGCCTTGAAGAACGAGACCCATGCACCGCCAGGACGACAGATGGCCAATTCTGGTATTGGAATCATTTTTCTTTTGTATTCCGTGAATGCCGAGGTACTACCCATAAGCGGTGGTTTCATCATGACCGCCCTTAGTACCAGAACACGCAAGACCGAAGATATCAAAGCAATCCGTAAACCCCAACCCATGAAATCAGTGACAGCCTTAGTCCTTCGTCTTCTGGGTACCACGCAGCAGACCAGTCCGTCTGGCAGCGATGAGACCAGCCTTTTGACCAGCGACGGCGTAACGGTTGATGGTGGAGGCTTTACCGATATGTTGGTGGTTACCCTATGGCGGTGTGTCAGATGCAAGTCTTGCAAACGGAATTCGAGTTTACTTACACCACCGTGAGGGTGGTCCACGGGGTTCATGGCAACACCACGAGTCTTGGGCCACGAGTTACGCTTAACAGCGAACTTGTGCTTGGCACGAGAAGCCTCTGTTCGACTGGTTAGCATCCGATTCACAAAGCATCAATTGTCCCCATGAGAACAGAGAGCGGCGCCCAGCGCGGTACTTCAGGCCGGTCGCGTGCTTCAATCCTCACAGGTCCACAGCCACAGGGTTGACCTACTCAGCAGAGGCTTGTCCGTTCGGCCACCACCGGCAACGATTCCGATCATGCCACGGGAGGTGCTGTGGACAATCTTCTTGGCACCAGAGGGCAGCTTGACACGGGTCTTGCCCTCGTCGGGGTTGTGGCCGATGATGGTGATGTAGTTGCCGGAGGTACGGCCCAGAGAGCCACGGTCGCCAATCTTCTCCTCGACGTTGGAGACGACGGTACCCTCAGGCATGGAGCCCAGAGGCAGGACGTTGCCGACGGTCAGAGCGGCGTTCTTGCCGGCGTAGATGAACTGGCCAGTGTACATGCCCTCGTTGGCGATGAAGGTCTCGGTGTGCAGCTTGAACTTGTAGGGGTCGCGGAAGACAACCTTGGCCAGGGGAGCGCCACGACCGGCGTCGTGGACGATCTGCTTCACGACACCTCGGACGTATCCATGTCGCTCGGCGTAGTCGAGGACCCTGAACTTTGCGGGGGCCTTGTTCAATCGGGTAATCGCCTTGAAGATGGTCGACGAACCCTTTCGCTGGTTCCTGATAACTCGTCCCATCTTGGCTGCTGGCTCGAGGCGTCACCTACGTGAGGACGAAATGTAAGTTTTTCTAGTCGGGCCTAGGTGTTTGCACTAGAGAGCGAGAGACGGGGGTGCGCAGATCCGTCAGGCTTTGTTGACCATTCGAAGACCGCTTCCCTCTCAATCGAGTGAGAGAATCAAGGTGGGTGGTTGAGTGGTGGACTTACGGGCAGTTTGATGGGGTTGTTGTGGTGGTTTGTCGATGAGGCCGAATTCCTCCCGCTGAATTTTAGAAGGCAGAGAAAGGCAGGAACGACTTCTTGATTTTGTGGCCGCGCTAAGCCGACTTTGGAATGGGGCGGATTTTTCCTTGTGGGCCCGTGCGCAGCTCAGCATGTCAGCCTTCCGGAAGGAACCTCACACCTCGGCCTAAAACTATGACAAACCATCATCACCACCAGCTTCATCAACAGGCGGGTCTTCACAATCTCCCAAGCTTGTCATTTATCGAGTGCTAACCCTTCGAACAGACCTTGCGTCTATAATGTCGTAATTGACGACATAGAGGCCTTGACTGCTCTGGCAAGGTGCATCGCTGTTGCGGCCTATTTCTGATGGGTCGACTCGGAATCCTGTGAGAAAGCTCTCATACATGATCGGTTTTCGATCGGCGTGGAGTGGATTCAAGTTGGCTCGATGGGCCGGCCCCCAGAAATTAGGTGCGCAGTTGGGAGTGTGAAACTCACACTGCAGCCGGCTACCTGGCCCTAAAGACACCGCAACATCGCCAGATAAGATTGGAAAGCCATTGAAGCATGATTTCCATCCTATTTGACACGAAGCTGCAAGTGCAGTCCTTTGCAGGCACCTTGCACGAAGCATGTGCCTCAATACGCACCTTGTTTGACGCATCTGCTACTACCCCAGCTGCTACCAGCTACTTCAAGTCATCAATATTCTCGGGTCGAGGAAGTGGCTGGTGCTGATCTTTCACGATGCCTTCATTTGCGCTTCTTTTGAGCGGTGTGTGATGCTGGTCGAGTGCGCGATTTTCGTGGGGACCCCTTGGGGCCCAATGCAGCACAAGGCAAGACTTTTCACCTGAATCAGCGCTATATTGAAAGTCTAACGCGACTGTCTGAGCCATGGTCGCCATTCCCTCCCATCCAAGAAATATGAGTTATACATTGGTAATGCTAGGACCTAGTGGCTCTCATCCGCGATTTCTACCTCACTGTCGATCGATAGTTGGGATGCACTGGGGCTCAAAATGACAGCGTGTCAAAGTTGGCCTTGCGCTGGTTGTGATTTGGCAATCCAGGAAACACCAAAAGTGCGGGATTCGCGTGCTTATCAATGACGGGGGCTTGGTTGCGGCCAAGATTTCTGAATGGTTGCAAGTTGTCGCGGTGCGGGCAGTAGCCGTCATGCGCTGATCTGCCGTTTGCCCGGCAGCAGTTGGCTTGGGAAGGGAGCATCTCCACACTTCACACCCTGGGGGTTTTTCTTTATCAGAAATCGCGTTACTCAGATGCACTTCCATTCTTGCAATGCGTCGGCGTCTCGCTAACTGATCTATCTCATGTGTGCCGAACTGGGGATAAAATTTGTTGAGCGCTTGTCGTGGAGGTAATCATGAAGCAAGAGTTGGGAGCAGGCCATAGGGGAGAGTTTCGAACGGTTGAGCAAGAACGGAAACGCAAGGCAGAAGGATAGATACCAGCAGCGAAGGTTCACTGGCCACTACGACATTCGTGATCCAAGGGGAGATAGTTCAAGAGAAGGTCATGCGAGATGAGGTTATCCCAGAGAGCGGTTATCCCGGGGGAGGCTATCCATGGGGAGATAAAACATGGGGAGGTCGTCCAAGGGAGTTTATCCTACTGCCTACATGCAGCTGGCTGGTGACCTCCAGTCCTTGATGGAGGAAAGCTGGAGACAAGGACGATGGATCAGGCAGCGGAAAGCAGGTGAATGTCATATAGACGGCTGATGTTGGCGGGTGGACATAATGGAAGCGTTGATATGCCTATGTTAATCCGATCCCGCGAATCATATTGCCTGGGTGGTCGTCGTGCGGCTCTCCTCGATCTTTAGCGGGACTGCCTGCTCCCTTCCATTCCGTCACCGAACCTTACTCATGGGAACTTTCCTCCGCCCACCACAACCACAACCACCGACTGCAACGAGTTGCCAGCAGCCACACCAACTACGGTAAGAATGGCCGACGACTCGTCTGATTTGTCCTCAATCTCTTCTCTGTCCCCTGCTCCGTCAGGCGACGAGTCGGAAATCGAATTGAAGCCCCAGAATGGCATCCTGAAGTTCTTCCACCGCGTCTCCAAGGACGAGGTCACCGAGACACAGAAGAAGGAGATGTCGCCTCCACCGCGCAAGAGGGAGCCCTCCCCACCCCACGAGTACATTTTTGCAGACAATCCAGACATCGCAGTAAGTGGAGAGGCTGATTTGTCGCGTCACATCTGCGAAAAGACGCGAAAATGCGCGGTCGCGTCGCCGTACCCGGCTCACCAATTCTCACACAGTTCATTGTCATGTTCCGCAAGCGATTCGACAGTGTCATGCCCAGATCTCTGGCGCATTTCGGCCCCCTCGAGCTGGAGCAGGACATCCAGCAAGATCCCCCAGCCGAACGAGTCGAGCAATTCCTGTGTGTCGTTCTGGGCCTGCTCCTAAATCGCAAGCAGGACATCAAGTACGCGACCCTCCCACCTGCCCCACTACACGCGCACCTGGCTTACACTGGGACTAGGATCGGACACTACCAAAAGGCATTGAATGAAGATGCTATCAATGGAAAAGACTTCAAGCCTCAATGGCCCCGTGAGTGGAACGAGCGAAGCCCTCTTGCAGGCGGCGCAACCTTCCAGACAATCTCACCCGAGCAGCGAGTAGGTGGCACACATTTCCACCCCGCTTCTCGAAAACAATACTGATGCATGGCATGATGATTACAGGTCCTTCTACTCAAGACCTTGGTGCTATGGGCCCTGGGATACTCCGATGCCGTCAAGGCCGTGATCAACACTAGCTACAACCAGAAACGCGCAGCCGACGACCTTAACCAACCCCTATCCGTCCAGCCTTGGGGCCATGACAGCGACAAGCGTCGGTATTACCTGATCGAAGGAGACGATAATTGTTCGTTCCGGATATACAGGGAGGGCAACCCAGCCGCTTTATACAATAGACAGTGGATCAGTGTTGCTGGCAGCATCGACGAGGCCAAAGCTCTTGCGGAGAAGCTGGGGAGAGACAACGGTCAGAACGCACGCAAGCTTAGTAGGAGTATCCTGAACAATATTGTGAACTTCGAGGAGAAGGAAGAGGTATGCACATCCTCGCGATGCTCTCCCAGGCCGACTTCCTACGTGCAGCCCTTTCGCTCCGGCGGTTCCTCCCATCGCATGCGCACTCTCGAGAACGATGAGCTAATGCGCATGATAACAGAAACGCAAGCGACGCGAGTACAGACGCACGCAGAAGGAACGCTTCCGCCGACCTGAGCCAGGCTTTTCCCTCTATGAGGGTCGAACAAGGGGAAAGCGCGTCAAGTATACCTACTCCGATGACGAAGACTTCTACACCGATTCAACCAATAACCGCCGATCAACGCGAAACACACGAAACCACACACCCGTTGAGGCTGGCCCTGTTATCACAGCTAGCGGTCGGCAGTCGCGGCCCCCTCCTCGGCTCACTGCTGACAACCTGAGCAACGGTGATGCCAGCGCTGCGCCTAGCGTTCAAGGCGACGACGCGTTTGGTGGCAACGCGGATACTGAGATGAGCGAAGCACCAGAGATTGGACCAACAGGCCGACCCAGACGAACTGCGGCCGCACAACATGCCACGAATGGCTGGCCCAACTCTCGCAAGCGAAACAGACCATACGTGTCTGATGATGAGGATGACGACGAGTCTGAGCCTGATTTTGGTGACGAGGGTGACGAACATGTCCCACAAGATGAGTCAGAAGATGAGGAAGAGTTTGAGAACGATGCTGTCGATGAAGACGATGATGAGATCGCTCCCGACAGCCCAGACTCGACCGATAGTCGTGTCGTGAAGTTGCACATCAAAGTCAATTTCGACAAGGACGGCAAAGCGAAGCGTCTACCAAAGAAACGCGGCTCCACAGAGTCACTCTCGACACCCTCGAACATCGCGTCCTCGCCCGAGGCGGCCGAGTCCGCTTCTGAGGGCAGCCCTAGCGACATCCCCGAGCATGAGCCCGAGCATACCGGAGACGTCATTCAAGCCGCACCACTAAAGCGGGCAGAGCCAGGTGCTGGCATGGCCTCTACGCCTGAAGCACTCAGTGCTGCCCCAACCCATGCTTCTGGCGCCCTCCCAACGGCTGCTACCGTGGATTCAGACACAACGAGCGCTGCCAGGCCGCCCAAGGACTCAGACAACGTCGTGCCGAGGCCAGAGGTGACGGCCGCTGACCGCATTGCAGCTGCTAACGGTAGCTTGAAGCTACAGGCAGGTGCTGCGCCGGCCTCGCTGGCCCTCAGAGGCAGCCCTGAGAAGCCTCGTGCAGTCATGGCCTCAGCGAACCAGGACTAGGAGTCCGGCCGCCTCGCCAACATGACTTTCGACGCACCAAAAGTCTTGTTCTGATTTGGGAGTTTAAGGGGTAAGCGGGGGAAAAAAGACATGGCTTTTTACAAGGGTCTGCGCAAGGCGTCATCTCATTTAGATGGATATTGTTACAGCGGGCAGTTTGCGTGACAGGAGGTGCGGCGATTCATAGAAGGGAAAGAGAGTCCGCGTCTTGGGTGGCTCGAAAGAGGGTGTGTGTGACCACAGTACTACCGCTAGTACAGAGCTTGTCGACGAGCTTCGTAGGTCATATCTACAACACAATTTTGCTCGATGCTCATGAATTGACGTGACCTATGATGTGACACGCGTCTCTACCGCTGGTTTTCCCAGCTGCCTAACCACCTCCAACTCTCAGCCACTTTGGCGACCTCGTCCAATGCAGCCTCCACCTTGCCCTCCGGGTCATGATACCTGCTGCCGTCGAACTCCACGAGGAACAGGTACTGGAACGGCTGGATCAGGCTGGGCAGGCTGTTGATGCTCGTCAGGTTCAGCCCGACCTTCCTGAACACGTCCAGCACCGCGGCCAGCGCACCAGGGGACCGGTGCGGCACCGTGAACGAGACGAGGCTCTTGTGGCCCCTGGGCGCCGGCACCGGCGCCTCCCCCTTGGCCTTCTCCCCCTCCTCTTTCTCCCTCTCCCCCTCATCACTGGCCCTGCGCCGCCGCAGCACAAAGAACCGCGTCGTGTTGTCGTCGCGGTCCTCGATGCACCGCGCCAGCACGTCGAGCCCGAACGCGGCGGCCGCGCTCTCGTTGGAGATGGCGGCCGTCGCGCCCGACGCGTCGCCGCTCGCCATCTCGGCCGCCTTGCTGGTCGAGCTGACGTCGATGGCCTCGACGCCGGGCAGGTGCGCCGACAGGAAGGCCTGCGTCTGGCCGAACGCCTGCGGGTGGCTGTACACCCGCTGCACGTGGGACAGGTCGTGCTGCGGCGTGCCTCTCGCTGCTGACGTTTGTGCTGCTGCTGCTGCTCCGGGCCGCGCGTGGCCCAGCAGGAAGTGGTGCACGTCGATATACACCTCGCCGCACACGGTCAGATCCCCGTAGATGTCGTCCCGGTCTGCCAGGTAGCCCAGCGTGAAGGTCACGACGCCGTGGGTGGAGTTTTCGAACGGCACGACGCCGTAATCGGCGCCGCCGGCCGCCACGGCGTCGAAGACGTCCTTTATTGTGGCCACTGGGGTGAGGGTGTGGTCATCTTCTGAGAAGGCGGACTTGGTTGCCTTTTGAGCAAAGGTTGAACGGCCGTGTTAGCCGGATTGCGGGCCGGAAGGGGGGGGGGGCAATGGAGTAAGGGAGGACTCACCTGGTGTGTGAAGGAAGATGGAGGACCTAGGAAGGCAACCAGTGGTCTTTTAGGGGTTGTCTCCTCCCCTCTTTGCTCTTTCATTTGAACCATGTCTGCTACGCCTATTGTATATTGTATCTTGTTTCTGTTGAGAGCCTTGGTTCGATGAGATTCAGTTACGAGTCCTGAATGGTGAAATTTTCTTGAAGCGTCAGGATCATCCGTGTGAATCGCTTTACATGATCACTACCAAGTTGGACAGAGTCGACTTCTTAATTGATGCGAGCAAGCCGGATAGTTAAATGAGGCCCATTCTTCAATCTGCGAGATATTTATGTACGTGGTTTGTCCTTTGCTGGTGGACGCTGAGCTAGGATCCGTGATGGTGCGCATGTGCGGGATCCGGCTGAACTGGCCCCCGCCGAGTCCTAGAACCGCATTCACCGGTCCCCAAGATAATGCATTCAAACGAGGCTGGAACCCCTCAAGAGCAGCTTTGCGGTTGGTTGGATTCATTTCTACAAGCAAGATCACGTCACCCAATGCAGTGTCCCGAACATAAACTTGCCCGTCTTGCCCGTCAGCTTTGCACCGCACGTGTGGTGACTGAACCCTATTGTACGACGCGAGATATTTGTTGAAAGAGCGTATCAAGTTGGATTTTGTGCAGCACTACCAATTGAAAAGAGCAACTCCGAGCAAGTAGCAAGAAGAACTATAACTGTGTGCCCTCTGATTTGGACAAATCATTTGTCTTGCTCTGGGCCTTCCCCGACGATAGAGCACTAGGTCTATGGCCATACCAATGTCAATCTACCTCGCCTTCAACCTTCCCATCTGCCCTGCTTTGGCAGCCCTGCGATGAAAGAGTCTTTTGAACTCTTAACTTCTTGGCGCACAGGACACCACAGGCAACGGTTCTCTAGCGGATGACTTAGCGACTACGGGGTCACTGCTTGGAAAGGAGGAGGATCGGACGTACCACCGTGTTTCTCAACTCAAGGAGCCGTCATTGTCGTCATGACAGAGCGGAGCGGTGATGGCCGCACAGCCTGGTGAGGCACCTGGCCGGGAGTGCCATCGAAGCCCTTCATCAAGCGTCGCTGCGCAGGTGAGACTTTGCCGGACGCTGGTTTGGGCGCCGGCTTCTGAGAATCGGCAGGCGTCGTCGGCTCGGACGGTATTGCTTGAGTTGAAGAGCCCTCGCTATTCACGAGGGATTCAAACTGTCAATCATCGTAGTAGTCGTCGTCGTCGTCGATATCTTGCAACTGCTCAAAGTTGACCTTGTAGCGGAGAAGACCACCGATTCCACCGAAGCCCTTGACAAACTGGTTGCCCTCGGTTGATCGGTCAGACACAAACTCCAGGGTCGTACCGAAATCCTTGTAGTGCTCGGCAATCCACTCGAGGAAGGACTCCTGGTTCACCACTTCCATCTCCTGGCCAGTGGACGATGGTGACTTATCCTGGAACATGGAGCGGTCACCCGATGTCTCCTGCTGCTTGGTGGTGTGGACCAGATACTCGGCCCCTTCGGCGTCCTTGAGGGTCCATCGGGTGATTTCGAGGTTCTCAAAGACGATCAGGATCTCAACAGCTCCGAGCTCAAGCGCCTTGAGCGTGTCTTCGATACCGTAGCAAACTCGGCCCGTATCCTGGCTAATCTCCTCGAAGTACTTTCCAATCAGCTTCTTCTCCTGGATGAACTTGACGTTGCCAAGGGTCTCGGAAGCCAACTCAATGGCTTGGTTGAACCCGTTCTCTCCACCATACGACACGTCGACGACCTTGATGACCTTGGATGCGAGACGGTTATCGAACATGTCGGACGCGTTAAGGTCGTTCTTGAAATCGGCGGAACCGGCCAGAATAAGTCCAGCGACGTTGACCTTGTCGTTGGTGATGAAGTTCTGGACTGCCAACTCGGCGACCTTGCGGACGTAATTGTGACGCTTCTCCTCTCGCAGACGGGCGAAACGAAGAGCGGACTGACCACCACGACCGTGCTTCTTGGGCAAGTCGACCGAGAACTTGTGGACGATTTCTCGGGTGTTGCCGCTGAGAGTGCCGAAGAGCGCGCCGTTGCCGTCCATGATGATGAAGCCGAACTTCTGGTCGGACTCGAGGAGTTCGGCGAGAGCCTCGGTGTGGAACTTGTTGTCACAGAGGTAAAGCGAGGTGTTAATGGGCTTGAAGGGCTCGAAGTCGATGTTGACCTTGCGCTCCTTTCCTTCGGAAGTCAAGATTTCACCACAATAGACGACCAGGCCATTGGGGGGAACCTTGTTGTACAGCTTGAGACGCTGCTGAGTGGAGGTAATAGCGGACAGGACAGACTGCCGGTTGACACGGGATTTAATATTGGACGCCGTGCCCTGTTTGGTGTATGTCAGCGCGCCAACTCGGTACTCAGGAACGCGCCATGCGGATTGTACGTACGTATTCTTCAGCCAACATCTTTGCAGCACGAGAGACTTGATCCTTGGGGGCTATGTGACAACAGTCAGCTGCGTTGGTCCTGGGCGCGTCTCGACAGGGGCGATACGTACGGATAATGAGCGAGATCATGGACGTGCCGTTACCACGAGCGGCCTCGAGCCTCTTGATGAGCTTCTTGACCTTCCATATCTCGATCTGAGGCGTTCAGTCAGCGTGGATGCGCAAGACATGCACTATTCGGGCCGTGCAGCCTGCATAATCGGCGGTGGGGAGGGAGAGAACCAACATTCTTCTCGGCTTCCTATATGTATGAGTCTTTTGTTAGCAAATGCATTAGAAGGCCCACGGTAGGTAGTAGTGCCCAGCCCTGAGGCAGCTGTGGTGGGCAGAAGACGCGAAGTAATGCCGGGAGAGGGAATTAACGACGGATGCAGCAGCAACATACATTAGCCTGTGCGTCACTCATTTTGAGAATAGGGTAGACGCCGGAGCGACTTTCTCGATCTGTATGGGGAACGGCAGTCGAGCAATGTCCCAAGGGTGCAGGTCGTGCAGTCGGTCCCTCTCGAAGACAAAGGAAAAAGAGAGCTCGTGGAAGATGTGTGGTGTCTTCACGGCGGGGTTTCGTGAGATTTTATGGAGGGGGATGGATGGACCGATCAAAAGTGGCTGATGGGCAAATGGACCTTTTCTCTTTTCTTTGGTGTCAAGTTGGAGGCTGCCGAGTCAAATGCCCCACTAGAGCCGTGCACGCCATTGGCCACAGCCCGCTGCTTAGGCCCCCAAGCTGCAACTTATTGAACCGCCTGCAGTACACTAGATACACTATAGCAGGTAGACTGAGTAGGCACGGTAGGTACCTTGACAAAGTGAGGCAGACGGCAAGGGCAAGCTATAGACCCTCGCGCATGATTCACACTTCAACATTGATCCTCCTCAAGGCACCATTGCCACAAGACAACACTCCTGGGCTTCAGAGGGCGACTCCTTCACTGACCCACAGTCATCATCCCTTTCAGCACAGTCATATTGGGGCAGCCATCAGGCAGAGTCGACTCGATACCCAAGCCCACCTGACGTCACGCCCACCTTGAGGAGACTCCAGAGAGGGCCCAAAGCAAAGTGGATCTCTTCCTCAGGCGTCACAGACCATCCCCATAAAGCAGCCCCAGTCACCCTCGCCTACACGGCCGCTTCTCTCAGCCCAGCATGGCAACATCCGATATCCCAATGCAGGTGGCAGAGACGATCCAGACAGCGCACATCAACCGGGCGCCATCGGCCCAGCACGACCTCAACCCGTCCACGGCCGCCGACACGAGGGAGCCCGTCCACCTCGACAAGGAGGAGCTCGGCGCCGCCCACGAGGACGAGGACGAGGATGACATCCCCGTCAGCGTGCTGAGGCCCGCCAGGCGCTTCTCGCACCTGCCGCCCATCCCCGACCTGCGCTTCGAGCAGAGCTATCTGCACAGCATACAGGATGCCAAGTCGTGGTGGATGGTCGCCTGGATCACCTCGCGGGACCAGGTGCGTTCTGATGACCCCTAGCCCTCGTTCTTGAGACAATGAGCGGGAGAAGCTGATATCCCGTCGCCCTCGCAGATCATGATGCCCATGTTACAAGGCGTTGTCTACAACCTTGCCTGGTGTGGCTGGCAGTATTGGAACAAGAACGCCCAGATGAGCGGGAACTCAATAGGTGCTCAGGTCCGGAGGTGGTGGTGGGGCGTCAACAACTGGCCGATTCCTTCAGAGCCGGTGAAGAGGGAGAAAAACTGGTTCCGTCGATGAGTGGCTTTTATCAAACCGGAGCGAATATACACACTGCAGAAGACTTCAAGCACATATGTTTGAGCCCCTTGGGCCGTGGGCCGCCACTTGATCTCCCAGATGCGTGCTCTCTACGTGTCATGTCTATGGGCATATTAACGCACCTTATGGGAAAGCATCATGCTGTTCTTCGGTCTCACTATAAGCACTCCGGACGCCAATGCGTTTCCACGCTGATCTTCGACGCGTAACAGGCAGAGCGAGTGTCAGTGCCGTAAGCCTGAAGATCACTAACTCTAGATAGATCATGCAGATAGCATCAATGAACATGCATAATCATGAACTCGAGGACGCTCAGAAGTGCAGAACCAACGGGCCGTATTCAACTATGCTTCCAGTCAAGTATACAATCAAGGGCCACCATTCACATAGCCGTTACAGGCTCGGCCCCTCTCAAACAGGTACAAGTGCGCCTCCCAAGGCCTCAACACAACGCTACCTTCACTAGCCCGTGGGTCCTCGTCCTCACCATAGTTACCAAACTGGAACGCCCAGCGTCCCCCTTCGTACGAAGGGAACCCAGCCTTCTGGTCCTCACCCGAGAAGTTGAGCGCCACGAGCGCCATCTCCTCTTCCCGGCCGCCCCGCTTCTTGACAAACACAAACGTCTTCTCGTCGTCCGCGCCGACGACCTCGAACGTGCCGTGGACGAGAAGGTCTGCATGCGCCTTGCGGAAGCGGATCATGCTCTTCCAAAAGCCCAGCACCGAGCCGGGCCGCGCCAGCTGGTCGGCGACATTGATCTGGGTGTACGAGTCGTTGACGCGCATCCAAGGGCCGTCTGCCGCATCCGTGAAGCCGCCGTGCTGCGAGCCGTCCCACTGCATGGGCGTGCGGGCGTTGTCGCGGCCCAGGATGGACATGTTCTCGAGCACCGCGTCGAGCGCCGCCTTGTCGTTGCCCGTCGCCCTCTTCACCTCGTCGTAGTACCCCAGCGCCTCGATGTCCTTGTACTCGTCGATGGGCCACGACCTCGGGATGTTGACCATGCCGATCTCCTGGCCCTGGTAGACGAACAGCGTGCCCGTGAGCGACGACATCATCAGCGCCAGCAGCTTGGCCGACTTTTCCCTGTGCGCCGGGTCGTCGGACGCGAAGCGCGACACGGACCGGCCCTGGTCGTGGTTCTCGCAGAACGCCGTCGTCCACCCGTCCGTGCCCTCGATGAACTGCTGCCACTTGGCCACGATCGACTTGAGCTGCGGCAGCGTCCACTGCTGAAACTGGTACTTGTAGGGCGACCCCTGGCCTAGGTCGACGATATCGAATTGGAATACCATGCTTAGCTGCCTATCGTTCAGACCAACATATTCCAGCACCCGCTTCGGATCCGGCGTGTGTGGCAATTCGCCCACAGTCATCGTATCATACTTAGCGAGGACCTCGCGGTTCATCTCCCGCAAGAACTCGTGCATCCTGGGCCCGTTGGCGTAGAGGCACCAGGCCGGCTGGTCGAACGTCTTGGGGTTGACGACGGGGGCGTCCTTGAGCTCGGACACGGGGCCCTTGGACCACATGTTGACTGTGTCGATGCGGAAGCCGTCGACGCCCTTGTCCAGCCAGAAGCGCATCGCGCTGTCGTGGATGGCCTTGCGACACTCGTCGTTCTCCCAGTTCAGGTCGGGCTGTTCCTTGGCGAACAGGTGAAGGAAGTACTCTTGCGTGTGCTCATCCCACTCCCACGCCGTGCCGCTGAAGTAGCTGCGCCAGTTGGTCGGGGCCATCCGTGTCCCGTCCTCGGAATACCGGGGTGGTCTCCAGATGTACCAGTCCCGCTTGGGGTTGTCTTTGGACGAACGGGACTCTTTGAACCATTGGTGTTGATCAGATGTGTGGTTTACGACGAGGTCCAAGATGAGGCGCATGCCTCTCTTGTGGCACTCGTCGATGAGGACTTCCATGTCCCGAACTGTTCCGTAGGGCTCGTAGACAGCCTCGTAATTCGATATGTCGTATCCCTTTACGCAGTCAGAAATGCTCCGCGACCATTAAACCTCCAGAAGTTCCCTGCGACGGCATCTTACCATATCGATCTGTGGGCTGCACAACGTCAGCATCATCATAACGCTCGGCCATTGATCTCGACAGTACTCACCTTTCGAACATCGGAGACACCCAGACGATGTCAATGCCCAAGTCCTTCAAATAGTCCACCTTGCTGATGATACCGGGGATATCCCCCAGGCCATCTCCGTTGCTATCCTTGAAGCTAGCTGGATATATTTGGCTGTTTCCGGGCACGATGGTGCCAGTAGTCAGTACATTGTTTCGATATTGATGCAAGAAGGGATGCTTCCACCCAGGCGAGGCGCAAGTCCTCTGAGGCTAACTCACTATGCCACGCCTTCCTTCCACCAGAGCTTCTCTTCCGTTAAGTTCGTGCTATTCATTTTGTATAAGGTTTCACGACAATGGCTGAATAAGAACGTCAAATTTTGATGAGACCATTACGTCTTCTTCTCCCCGCGAAATGTAGAAAGAGGTCTCGCAGGGTCGTCGGAGTTTTTATTTTGATAATCCCACAAGGTGGTGAACCACAAAGCCAGAATGAAGCGAGCAAGGAGAGCGGCAAAACAAATGCGCCTTTATGAGTGACTGATGCCGTGCCTGTCTATGTATGCGTTGCTGTTGGCATCGTGACCTGCTTTAATACTTCCCGGGTTGCCTCGCACGCCCGCACGCGACCAGCGAACAATGACGTTCCATGTAGCGGACGATCGTGAGGAGTGGTGAGTCGCGAAAACGCTCGCTGCAACTCTTTCATCCGCAACCTGGGGTAATTCCCTGGGGATGGACCATAGCTTCTTAGCTAGTCCCCCGGCAAACAGGTAGCCAAGGTTGTTGCGTCTCACAGGTGATCGTCGGACCGACGAGACTACTGCAGGATAGCGCAGGATTGGCCGGGATAACGGATAACTCACACCCGTTTGGGGCGGCGGTCCTCGGCGTAGCACGGACTACATAGACTAGACTACTCCCTCATGATAACTTATCACATACGCCAATGGCTACGGCTTAGCTGCACGATGCTGATTTTACTGTCTTTCTTTTTCCTTATATTTGCAGCGCTCAATCGAGCGCGAGGTCGCTGCTAACTTGGGGGTGTTTGGGGTGGGGGGCCTTCTCTCCCGCCGGTTGTAGTCAAGGTACCACCTCTCCCTCGCCTCAATATTTGTAGTCCAACTTTTCTTTACATGTACACCGCGCCACCACATAAGTCTACTTTTGACCCAAGGCATAGTACGGGCTGTTTCTCGGCTCTTCTCATCTCACTGCTCGCTCCGCCGATCGCCAACAGCCCGCTTGTCCCCGTGAGCCGTGAGGTCTTGGCTGCCTTTCTTTGATATTCATTCTACCCTTTTGTGTTGCGAGGAATGTTCTCGCGATGTACCCAGTAAATGTGGCTGGGCTTGAGGCAGACGTTTCAGCTTCTCCAATGCGAGTCTCCCATGATTCTTGCCATACTGTCGCACATTCAGCGGTCTCGTGGGCCGGGCTAAGGCAACTGATATCACGGAACGGATGAATCCCTCTCAACTTCCCCGGGACTGGAATCCTATCTACCTGCCATTGGAGTTGCACTTCCGCTGGGCTGGCGCTGGTGCTGTTGCTGGCCGGCTTGATTCGCCTGGGCTGCCTGGGCCGCCTGCTGCTGTTGGTGCTGTCTAAGCATTTGTGCATACTGGTGAGGGCTCGCGGCGGCTGGCATTCCGTTGACCATGCCCTGCTGCTGATGGGGGCTACCAGCCGCGGCGTCCATCGCACTCTGGGTGACGTTGTTTCTGGCCACTTGATTCTGCATCAAGCGCTGCTGCATGATGTGGAGTGCCTGCCCGTGAGCCTGTTGCTGGGTTATGTTTGGGTATTTGGCTCTGAGTGTGTTTTCAATTTCCATGATCTGCGCTTGTATTTGTGGAGGTAACTGCTGCTGCTGCCGGTTGAAATTAGGTGCAGGTGGCGACCCAGCTGCCACGTTCTGCATGCCCATCCCGACTGCCCCAGGTGAGGTGGCCATGCCCATGCCATTAGGAGTGTACGGAGCCATTGAGTTGATCATGTAGTTGTTCTGGTTGATGCCATTCATCGAATTGCGAATGATGGGAGAGCCCTGCTGCGCTACCGAGCCGTTTGGCATGGGGTGGGGTTGCTGGCCTTGCTGAGGCTGTTGAGCCGGCTGAGCCTGAGCTGGTGGCGGAGAGTGCTGCGGTGGCATCTGGTGCGGCTGCTGCTGACCTTGTTGTTGCGGCTGCTGTGGCTGCTGCGGCTGTTGTTGCTGCTGAGGCTGAGGAGTGTGGCCTTGGGCCTGCGCCTGCATCTGACCCTGAGTCTGAGCCTGATTAGCCATCTGTTGCCGTCGCTGCTGGTCCTGAATTCTTCTGGCCTCCATCGCCGCCCTCTGGATCTGTTGTTGTGCCTGAAATGCGGCTATTTGAGCCTGTGTGGGCTGGTTCATGCCATTGACAGGCACCTGAGGTACAAGACCACCTGTTGCCGCCATTTGTGCGGCAATCGCAGTCTGTTGTGGCATTGGCATCCCCGGTCGTTGTTGTGCGACCCCGAGCGTGCGAGCCAACAGAGGATTCGCTGCGACAGCGGCAGCTGTCCGGGCGGCTTGTGAGGCTCCGGAGGCACCTGCCACTTGAGTCATTTGAGCCTGAGATCTGCCTTGCATAGCAGCCTGCGGATGGGGTATAGTCAGCATGTGTCGGCCGTATCAGCAGCTCCTGCGTACTCACCCTTCTCTGAGCCTCTTGTTGTTGTGCAGCAAGTGTCCTCGCAATCTTTTCGGTCATTTGCTTGTCGCGTTCATGCCTGGCTCTAGCATAGTCTTCCGGCGTCTTGATGTTCAGCTTTTGCTGCGGGGCCTCCGTTGACGTCCTTCTGCTCTGGTTGTTTGTGCTCTGCTGCTGCTTAGCAGCAGCTGCCTCGCGTTTCTTAGCCAGCTTCTTCATGGCATCAATCAAAGCCAGGTGCCTCCTCGGAGTCCGCCTCTCGACTCGCACAGGCAAAGTTGGTCGTCGCCGTGGCACGACTGTGCCATTTGGAACAGCTTGCTGTGATGCGTTGTGATTGGCCAGTGCGATGGCTCTTTGCGCTTGATCGATCCTCCTCTGATAAGTTTGGAAATACTGCGTCCTAGCCACATCATTAGGATAACCCTCAAGTTGGACCCAGCGCTCGAAACACTCCCAAGGCGTCCGCCTCTCTTCACCCGAAATGAAAAGAGATTTTGACGAAATGTTCTTGGAGATGAGTGACCAGTTGTACGAGTACTCGCGCACTTGCTTTCTAAGCTCCTCGTCTTCTGCCGCAGTCCACTGAGAAGCAATTCTAGACTCGAAGAAACTCTGCAGGGGCATGAGCGACTCAGTAGGCGGCCTGAATTGGTGTCCTGCATGAAGCCGGTCCCGTACCAGCTTCATTTCCGAGCGGAACAAAGCCACGTCCGTATTCTCCGGGGGCAAGTCTGTATTTCGGCCTTTGTCGTCGCCAAAGACAACTTCATCGTCCTCGTCTTCATCCTCCACTGCATACCTGTATCGACTTCGTGTCATTCGAGGTCCCGCTGACTTAAGGATCATTCCACCTTCGACATATTTGCTGAGTGGTAAGGCTGGCCTGCGCCAGTGACCATCCGGATCATACTCAGATCCAGTAAGATCAAACTGAGGGCACTTCAGCGGTGCACCGTAGAGAGGCAGCTCCTCCAAGAGCTGCTCAGAGGTCGATGACTGTTGGAGGCCAAAAACAACTTCATCATCCTGCAGTGCGAAAATTGCAGTGGGGGCAACTGTTTGTGAGTTCCAGTCCCGCGGCTCGTCGTCGACGTCCATTGGAGAGTCAACGTCTCCTGAAGGGACAAGGTCGGGCATCGGCGTTGGCAAGGACTCTTCTTCCGGCGGAGTTGTCCCATTCTTGCTAGACGAGGTTTCAACCTCAAGTGGTGGAGTTCTGACGTTTACTTGCAAGATCTTTCTGTCCTCTTCACTAGAGTTCACCCATTCGGCACAAGCCTCAGCCAGATTTCGTGCAACTGCTCGCTTCCACTTCCGCTCCTCTCGAAAGTCAGTCCTCATCCACTTCATCTCCTGGAGCATGAGATCCCAATGCGACGGAGGTCGTGTTGGCTCTGGGCACCTCTTTGGTTGTCTCAAGGACCATTTGTCGTGCTGCTGCAGGTGATATATCCTGCGCAAGACCTTGCATGCTTGATTCTCGTGAAGAGCAATGCCACAGTCTGGCGTCGAAATCGTCTTGTGCGAAGTGACCAGTAATTGTTCGGGGCTCCTCATCCATTGGGACTGTCGTGTGAAGCCATCAAAGAACAGCGGCACAAAATAGTCATCAGTCGGGATGCGGTCAGGCCGAGACTGAGATCGACTGGCAACTATTGTCTCGCCTGTCTTCTTGTTCGGCTTCTCAAAAACTACTGTAGGCGCCCTCCTGTGCTTATGGCCGTGCTTTTCGGCCAACGATCTTGACCGGAGGACAGAAATCGTCGCTGGCTGGTCCTGCTGACGCGAAGCCACGTCTTCGATGGGCGTATCCGGAACAGGATCGGCAAGCGAGGCTTGGGAAACCTGTGTCTTCAGATCAAATCCGGTCCCATTGCTCAGGGGAGTTGACATGGATGCAGTAAATGATACAGCCGGCTCTCGGTTGACTGCAGCCGCCGCGCCAGAGGCCTCTTGATTCGTGACACTATCCACAAGTTGAAGTGGAGAAGGTCGTCGAGTCTTTTGTTGACCGTCATCTTGAGTCAACGAAGGAGTGGCTTGACTACCCGGCTGAGACTGAGCTGTCGGTGCCTCACCAGGGATTGCGACCGCAGTACTAGAATTGGTAGGATTACTAGACGGTGGCGCAGAACCTGCAGGTATGGTGGCATTATTGGCTTTCTGTGATGGCGCAATTGGCGAATTGCTTTGGATATCATCGGCTGATGTCGTCGCCTCTACCGTTTCGGGCGGTGGATGCGCAGAAGCTGTCTCTACAGCGACCGCATCAGCACCTCGCCCTTCTGGATCGCGGTCCGAGGCCTGGCCAGGCTCCTTGAAATCACGATTATCCTCATCGGTCTTCCTGCGCACAGAATCGTCATCGTCGCCCGGGTATGGCGGGCCCTCATTATCAGGACTAGTGTCGGGTGATGCATCCTGCACAGCTGGGGTCGTGGCTGTCTGGGTGGTAGAGCCAGGGGAAGACAATACGTCCAGTGGCCTTGGAGCGTCTAGAGGTGGTGGTCTCCTGAGCGCATGCAGTCTCGACTGTTCGTCAGAGCGACTGGACGTCTCATCTAAATCCATCGCATCAGATACCGGTTCACGGCTTGCGCCGTCCGCATCCTGCCCTTTTTGCGCAGCGCTGGACTCCGCCCGCTGCTTGTCCGGCTCGACGAAGGCGACCTCTCTGCTAGCTGTCCCTGAGCGGTTTGCCGTGGACCTCCCAGCCAAGTCCACATTCGTAGCGGCGGTGCTGCCATCGTGCAATGCTCCATTCGGTAAATCAAGTGGTGCAGTTTGGACAGTAGGCAGAGCTGGCGCGGAATTCTCGTGGTCAATCCGTGAAACCTCGGTGATGGGTGGCCTGGTCCCCTCTGACGCAGCTGTAGGCTGTGTTGTGGACGCATCGCGTGCCTCGTCGGAGTCTACACGGGTCTGCGCGGCGGGAGATCCAGCAGTCGACAGCCCGGTCCCAATACCGTTTTCCTTGCCATGCTTCGAAGTGTCCAGGGATGCGTCTTGACCCGCAGGTCTTGGGCTAGGTGCTTGAGACTTGGGTAGGCGGAGTGGTGGTATCTGTCGCTGGGGCAGGTTGCGCTCGTTAAGGAATGGCCCTCTGGTGCGATCAATTAGCATAAATGCCGTTGTCCGACTTGAAAACGCGTATCGCGTGGATTGAACCAGGTAGGAATAACATACTTTAAGACGGCATTGTCATTCAGAAACAGCCATTCCTCCTGCGTGGGGGGTTCTGCATCGTTGGCGGATGGGTCGACGAGCGGCAGGGCGTCCCGCTGTGTCGCGACGCAGTAGACCTCGCGAAGCTTCCTCTTTTTCGATGCTCTAATTGAGCTGCACGCAGTCAGAACCACAAAAATGGCATCAAAATGATCGCACGGATTTTCTCTACAAGGCCATCAGTAACTTGCCTGCATTTTGCTCTCTTTGACTGGATCAGCGCGGAAAAGTCGGTACGCTCGACCTCAGTCATAGCATCGACGGCGGCGACATCCGTTTTTGATGGAAAACGGACGTCGAACAACCTTAATGGGATGCAGTGAGATGTACCAAGCGGTCAGAATGGATGAAAACAACAGGGTGGTGCTGTTCCGATTGATCGCGTATTGGTGATGTTGTCGTGTCCTTGGGGACCTGAGTTTTCAGTGTGCTGCGATGGGGTGCTGTGACTTTGGGGTTCAGGTGAGCAAGTACCTAACCTGGGGCGTTTAGTGGTTGAGACAGATGTCGGAGGGGGGGGGCTGCAGCGCGGTTGGATTTAGTGTAAGTGAAATGGGTGAGTGAGTGATAAAGGCGGAGAGAAAGGAATGCAAAAAGGCCAAAGAGAGGCACTTGCCCGTTTTCCGCTAAGAGCAACCTTGCTTTGCCTTGCCATGGAAAATGGCAGCTTTTGGGGGAAAGGCCTGCCCGCCCGCCTGCCTGCCTGGCTGTCTGTCGGCCTGCACCCTCAAAGTTCCAACATGGGCAACTTTGGGTGTGGATGGGCTTGGCTATTGCTGGCTGCTGCTTGCTTGGTGCTGCAGCCCATCCAGGAATTGCTGGTTGCTACTCCTGTTGATGGCGCTTTTCTGTACCGGGGAACCTGGGATGGATCGGTTGGGGGCGATCTGTTGGAACGGGGAGGCATCCTGGAGGATGGCCTCATCACGAGGGAACTGCTCTACCCAGTATTGCACGAAATGAGATGCCAGCTTTCCAGATGAAGACAAGTTCGGCATCTTATCAGCGCGTTTGATTTGTGCGTGTCGACACAGGTTTGGACTAATCTAGTGGTGGTGTAATTTCTCTTATGCTTTCCTAGCGCAGGCTTCATCGATGACCGTCAAAAGTGCAATAATGATGAACATCCAGGTGCTCTAGGAAAGGTTGAATGTTACGGTGTTGAGGAGAAATAGACCAGACGATACATACGCAGGCATAGGAGGCTCTGGAGTCGCTTATTATGGGGACGCCCATGAGTCGGTGATCATGATCCTTTGTCACTACTGTCCGAATGAAGAAAATCCATTTCACGGTGCACGCAGATGAAAGAAATTCTGCCATCAGTGTGCTCGTCCTACCCATGGGCGGACGTGTTATTGATTGATGGGCATGGATCAACGAGTCCGGTCCAAACTCACCTGGCGCTTGGCAGGCCGGGCACTAATATATGTAGTATTTAGTGCAGATAGATAGATAGGTGAATGCGCATTATTGTCCTGCGGGTTGTAAATGATTTCAAACGCGACTTTACAGTTAGCAATGGACCGGATTACACGTGAGAATCCTGACGTCGTTCATAGTATAGTGGCCATCCATCCTACCGGGAGGAGTTACATCATCAAAGGACTATCTGCCTCTGCCGTTGCAGACCCTACGTGCCTTTGCCCTTTTAGGCCCACCCCGTTTAACCGTTTACAGAACCGCTGCCTCTTCGTCGCAGAGCCAGAAGAGCACGGACCCGCCATGGTTGCGGTCACCGTCACACGCTACTAGCGCTGAATCGCCCCATAGAAACGTTCAACAGATTCTCAACCTCGTCTCATCGTCAAGTTAGCCCGGTCGTATCGCAGCGTCTCATTATCGCACTTGCCTAGGCAGTCAAGGAGTACATCAGGCTTCGATTTACCCAAATGGCTGATCAAAATGCATCCCGCATCGCCATCCGCTTCGGTGGAGCAAGTTCGAAGGGCCCAAAAAACCCATCTCAGAATACATCCCGCCCCACAACATCGACAGCCCTAGGCAAAAGATCACGAAGTGGTTTCGACCATGACTCAGACGATGACGAGTCCGAAGACGACCGACATGAGGCCATCACTCACTTTGGCGTAAACGGAGCTGGAAATGATGACGAGGTTGACGATCGACCTCGGGACCAATCTAGGTCTGGTGACCGACACCGCAGGAGTCAGAGCAAGGACTCAGCAGCGAATCGAGGACGCGAGGAACCCGCTCAATCAAAGAATGAGGACCAAGATGAAGAGGAGCCACTGAAATACGGGCTTGTTTTGTCAAAGAAGCCCAAGAAAGAGACTGAGAAGGGAGGCACTGCGAAGGAGGGCGCCGACAATGACGGAAGTGTAATGCCCAAAAATGCCGATGAGGAAGCGATTGAGGCGCTCCTAGACTCAGGACGGAAACGCACATTACATCGCACAGAGGACGAGGCCTATCGGGACGCTACAGCCGACGCCCCCGAGGTGGACGACGTGGCCACCTACGATGCATTTCCAGTCGAAGGCTTTGGTGAGGCGTTGCTGAAAGGTCAGGGCTGGAATGGCGAGATGCGCGGTCCCAAGGCAAAGGAGATCAAGAAGCGCCCAAATGGGATCGGCCTAGGAGCCAAGAAGATGAAAGTAGAAGAGGACCTCGGCGGATGGGACAGCAAGGGAAGGACGACCGAGAAACGACCAAGACTCGATCAGTACCGAAGTGAAAAGGATAAGGAGCGCAGCAGGAGAGAGGACAGGCATCGCGACAGTTACAAAAATGAACGAGATCGTGAACGAGACCGGGACAGGCACAGGGACAGACATCGGGACCGGGACCGGGACCGCGACAACTACAGGCACCGCGACAGAGATCATCGACGTTAAGACTGCGGCAATATGTTGACGGACCTCAGGGATACGGACATTGCAGTTAGGCGGCTGCTTTTGAAAAAGTTCATGATCAGAAGTCACCAAACACCGTACGTAGTCCACTTTGCGAAATCGCAGCATGACATAGACTAAACACGACCTCAGCCTTCCGTTCGAGCATGGTCTCCCAAAAGATTCAAGCATTCTTTCAAGCTCAGAGTCGCCAACTCTGAAAAGGCTCGTGATCAAAGATCCTCGGTATTTGACTGTTGTTGAGAAGTGCATTTGTCCAACATGGGCGGGAAGACTGAACATTGTGCTGGCATATTGGTCGCAGTGCTCTCTGAGAGGCAAGTCTGACACTCCATCTCCTTTCATTGCGGCAAGATGGTCTGTCCTGCCAGAACTCTTCCTATGTGGCCTACAAAATGACGGCCGAGTTGTCTTCACTCTTCTCTGGTCTGAGTGGCACAGCGGGCCAGACTGCCTCAACGGAGTGTGCCGTTTTGATGGGGTGATTGACTCACATGATTGAATCGTCCTTTATGACTTGTCAATAGTACTCCCTTCTCCTGCAGTTGGAGAGCGCTGGGCGAAGTCTACAAGGCCACACAAGTGCAGATCGGACGATATTGGAGCTTGAGCTTTGATACTCTTTCTCCCCGTGCTGCTTCTTCCTCCAAGGTCATGATCTCACTCAGTTTCGCACAATCAGGGGGCCTAACAAGCGCGGTGCCTTTGGTGGCAAGTTGCGTTGCGACGATGCGAATGTTGAAAGATACCCCTGCAGACATGGTGTCCACATTACCCAGCCCTAGGTAGATAGGACTGCGAATGAAGACAGCAAGCGAAGGCGGCGGACGCAGGAGCACTCCAGCCGGGCTGGGCTATAAGCATGGGTGTGAGCGGTCTTTCCTTTTTCAGTTTGCTTTTGCTGAGCTCTGTGCTGGGCTCGTGTTGATGATAGTTGGTGGTTTTGCTAGGGAAAGCCGGGGTTTTATTCTGCATGGTGATGGGCCTGGGTGCATTGGTTTTTCTGCGACCTGATGCCTTACCAGGAATCTAGATCAACATCGAACTACGGTCTCGACCCATGGTCAGGACGAGTGTCCTAGGCCAGGTTACAATCTATTTCGTAACCTTGAGGAGCAGAATGCTTCTGGCAACGTGGTTATGGGCCGTCAAATGCGGCGAAGGATGCCTCTGTGGGCCAACGACTTACGTTCCCCTTGCATGATCAAGTGTCGCAGCTAGTAATATGGGCTCTGAGGTGAGTACCTGCGTGTCTCTTTTTGTCCTTTTGGCCTCCACTTCTCAAGGGAACATACAGCTTTTACTACAAGAAAAGGTAGCTCAGTCACAGTGTGATATTAGGAGGCTCGCAAAGTTTTATAGGTAGATTGCCACAGAAGTGCAGACTCGGCAGAGTGCTGTCAAAATAGCTTGACTATAACTAGTGTGCACCTCCTCGATGTGGTCGCGAGGTTTCAGGGGTCAGCTACGTGAGCACGTTCTACTGAGACAACCCTAGTGGTCGTGTAGGATCAGGAGAGATCGAGTTCTACCACAGCGCAAGGCTCGAGGTTCGATCCTTCGGTAGACATTGGCCCAAAATAGGTGGCCTTGAAAGGATATTTCATGAATATATTTGCCTCACCAAAGTCACGCGGAAACCTCTACTTTAGAAGAAACATCTCAAAGTGTTCCTCTGCAGGCAGCTTGTTCAGAAGCAAGTCTCACATATAAAGGAATATCATTTGTCGGGCTCGAAAGCCACAGTCTAGATCAGGGATAGAGAATTCGCGATAACGCATTGTAGTCCCAACTATTACATCCGTACATGTCACCGTTCTCTTCGTTCCGTGTCTGTGCAAACGCAAAAACTCCCAAACCCCAAATTGGCGGAAACCCTCCGGCCAACCCTCACACGAAGCGGGAGAGGATTATGCAAGCCTGTTGAGGCGTCTTTGGCTGTCTCGGCGTCTTTCCGCGACGGGATGTTCGCAAAGATGGGCTTGACGTTGAGGACGGCAAGGCCTCGTATTTCGACGTTGCTTGCGCTATCGACGATCAACAGTGGAAATGTGATCACTCTCAAAATCGACTATGAAGAGAGCGGCGCAATATTCGGACGCTATCGGCTGCAAGATATTTGGAGAGTTAGCTAATGTCACAGATTCTGATTTTGGCATAGACGTCCGCTGGCTTTCGGGGCAAGTCGGTTGGTCAACCTTCGGTTATTTCCGCTGGTCGAGATCGCCTTGAACCAGGTGTCCCAGTCGATCTGATGGTTCCGAAACCAGAACAATGATACTTCAGCTGGCGGAAAAGACCGAGACACTTCCCACGGCACACCGACAGTATAGTGTTCAGTCACGACCTTACGGTCAGGTTTTGGAATCAGGAGTACACGATCTTCCCCGAGTCTCACCCGGTCTTGTTTGGGAGATCGCCTCTTCTTGCCTCAGATCAACCTATGTGTATCGAAAATCCGCTTCAGGATGCAGGGATCCACCTGCTGCACCCAATGTGCGCTCGAAGGCGTCGAGAATTTACCAGGAGTAACTGCTGTGTAGCCAGGGCTTGCTTAGAACAAACGTCTTGTGACCGAGCATAGAGGTCGGACAGCCGCATCAGAGCACGACTTTTGCGGAGAACCGCAGCCTTGCCTCTCCGTATCGCGTGGCAGAGGGGCCACGTCCGCAGGCGGGACTCCGGGTGAGTTTCCCCAGAGGACACAGAGGCGGGATCCCGAGACATCATCACTGTATATTGCCGTCATCAATCTTGAATTTGCCTGCGATCTTTTGCGGTGAAGAGTATCGTGCATGGCTAGAGCAGGTGGTTTTGCAAAGTGATAGGTAATGCCCGTGGAAAAGGCAAAATTCTATGATCACGGGTAATGTTCGGACAGCAGCTTGCGACGCTGTACAACAGCGAGAAAAAAGAAATTTCGCATGGATATACATGCGCGAGTCCCAGAACGTTGCTGCCTGGCATGTACATGCATACACACAACATACATGCGAACATACATACATACCTAGTTTGCGAAAGAGGCATCCTGTTGTCCATCATCGCTCAACGTCCGTCGCGATGTCGATCATCCGTGAGCCGCTTTGAGAGAGCAAGGTTGCATTGCTGAGCACAAATGCAGGAGCATGACATGCATCAAGCAAGCAAGCAGGAGTGGAGACCGCGCATCCATATTCCGTGGACACCGTTCGCCAACGGTCTTGGACGGAGGCTCCATTGTGCGGCCAGGGATGTTCCTGTCACCCAGCCGCTGCATCCCCGGGGCCCAAAGCGACGGCCAGGGACCGGTGTTCCGCGTGTTCCCCGGAGCACAAGAAAGTAAGTTGACTGGATGGGGAGCGTACTTCGTATCTATGTATAGGAGTCGGTTGTCGTCATATGCTCTCTCCCCACACACAAAAGGAGTAGAAAAGTCCAGACCTTTCTGTCGAGCCGCTGAGCCGCGGTGAAATATGCGCTCTGTCTTGCAGCATCTCACGCGCAGCTTACATTCCGCACCCTCTACGGGCCAAATATGGCCCCCCTTTCAGGCGAGCCGCAGGAGCTGCTGGAGCTGCTGCAGCCACTAGCTGCCTGTCATGGCCGAGTGGGAACAATGAAGGGGGCCCCGTATATCCTGAACTAGTTACGCGATGGGTAGATTGCATGGCCTGCCGTCACAAGCTACCCACGGAGGGAGATGTTTGCATGCGGCATGCCGCTGCCGCGGCCGGCCCACCCTCATCGTCGTCCCAAGTAACACAAGCGCCCGAAGTAGCTGATTGTATAGACAACCCGGAGCTACTTTCTCCTGTTGTCCCTCGCACAAGCTCCACCGAAGCATGCAGAACCTCTGATGCCATCCCCCGGTAGTGCCACGTACCAGGTTGACGGGAGGAGGCATCCTGCCACACGGAGCATGGGTCTTACGTCAACCAGCAGGTCCGGGACAGGACAGGCGGGACACGTGTAGCCGGTGCGGCGGAGGAGGACGTTTTTTCCAGAGTACAGCAGGGCAGGAGTAGGGTAGGGCAGAGTTGGGTAGGGCAGGGCAGGGCAGGGCAGGACAAGGCCGGCATGGGCAGCATCTCGCGAGGCGTGCAGTGGTGGGTGGGTGTCACTCACACACGTACACACACGTACATCCTGTACCGTGCCTGTTTTCCCGCCCGCGGCCGGTGTGCGAGCAGGAACAGGCGGGATGAGATCGATCGTGGAGGTGCGGTCTTAGCTGGATCGTGGCGCATGCCGTGTTACCACAGCAGAAACCGGGCCCGGGCCCGTTAGACGCTTGATTGTGACAGCACACCTTTTCCATCCCCTCTGTATGTATGTCAGACTCGACTATGTACTGTAGAGGGGCCCAACTGCCCCATGTGAGCTGTCCAGCGTAGCCCTGTGGCTTGCTTGGGTGTCCGATGTTGTCTGAAGAATGCAGAACATACATGGAATTCCCATGTGAGTGGCGAGTGTCGTCATTCTCAAGAGAACGTGGCTCGAGAGGCTTCAGCCCAGATCCAAGGTGACAGATCATCATGGCAGGATCTAGTTGGTCAGCATTGTGTCAGGTTAGAATTGTTGTTTTGGAGGGCCTTTGTTCATGCTCTTGTTGGTGCTGATTTAGGAAATGATGATCCTTTCCCAGGGCTGGGTATGACTTCCGGCATATGTTATACATGTGAATTTTGATATTATGAACTCCATCTATTGAATAGTTCACAGTACAAATTGCCCTACAGAGTCTAGATGCGCCCAGACCAGCACCATGCCATGTGGCCACGATGAGCTCTGTACAGGCATCGATATGTAAGGAGAAAATATTGTGCACCTACCTGCTTTAGACGTACCTAGCACTACAAGCAGAAGCATTGACAGCATCTCGCCACTTGGCAGTACCTTGTCCCACGTCGTCCAGACCACAGGCCAAGTCCTCCGGCTCAATGCTACCTGTCCTGATGGAGCACCACCGAGTCGGGTGGGTATATCTTCATCCTGTCCTTTTTGCGGGCAAGTAAGCTTGCTTGATGCCCAAATGTCCTGTGCCAATACTTCACTCAGGAGAGTAAGAGTTGACAGCAAATTTGGCAGGCCCAGAGCGTAGACATGCAGGCTTGCACACACGCAGAGATACAGGCACACACCCACACACACCCCCATCCATCTTGTTCATCAGGATGAAAACAAGATTATGAGCAGCCAGACACCCACCACCACTCCCGTGACGCCAAAGTGCTAGACCACCAATCGTTTTCGTAATCTCCTCTCCCCTCTGACGCCAGCCCTGGGGCTCCTGGTCCTAAGGCTGTTGCTCTGAAGCCGGCCTGGCTGACCTAGAGCTAACTGGCCGGATCCAAAGGACTGGTGAGTCGCACACCCACACGGTAGGCACGTCAGGAGACATGCCTTCTCGTTTTGCGAGGCCACCACTTGAATGGCATGGTCTTTCATCCACACCCGGGCAGCCTTAAAATCTTCAACCTCCCTCCACACGACCTGTTTGTCTGCCCTGTCGTTGCATGAACAGCTCTTTAGTCTCGGCATCTTCCCTCTTTCCAGCGTTGGGCTTCTGCTGCGAGCCTCCGTCTCTCAGAGCCAGACACGTCTCCGCCATGCCGCACACCGACTCGTCAACCACGGTTCCAGCTGGAGAAGCACTGCTTGCAGGGCTGACTGCCATCACATGGGAATGGAGTTGGAAACGGACAGCAGAGTCGACACCGTGTTGGGGGTGGGCCAGCACTCCATCCGAGAACCACGAGCCCCGACATTGGCAGAAGCAAAACGCAGCCACAAAAGCAGGTGAGGCTACATGGCGACAAGCATAGATGACTGCTTCCTGGCTAGCCACCGCATCGACATGCCAATCCAGCAGAGGCGCCAGGACTTGGTCTAGCAATGCACGTATTGCTGGATTCGATTGTCCGCTTCAGGTCAGCTTCGTCCCTCGCCAGGGGTCGCCTTCGTCATCGATGATGCTGACTGCGAACCAATGCAGAGTATCCGCTCTTCGGCACCAGCCTGCCCTCTATCTGGTACGGCTGTATCCGCTGCATCAGTTGTGGCCCGACCGGAAGGCTCGATACACTGCAGTCACCGCCATGTCAAATGAGACACCGAGGACGCCAGGGGCAATCGAGAAGGCATCACAAGGCGGTTGCGGAAAGGGCTGATGCTCCCGAGGCCCACAAGCAAGGACTACGAGCAGATGGGCTGTATCGTAGGCTCGGGCGTGGGGGGCTTCCTGGCCAGGCCCGCGGCTGTTCCAGCGGGAGCAGTCGCCCCCAGGTTTTCCCCAGACGACAAGGAGCAGGTTCCCGCAGGCGCACCATGTCTGCCTCAGTGTCGTGGAACGGCGACAGGCAAGTAGGCCGTCTTGCATATGGCAGCCTATGCCGATCGCAAACTCCATGTACGAGGCCAGGATCTCAACATGGTGTCACATATGGCCATGGCCTGGACTCAAATGCCCTGGCCGGCAGGCAAGTGTCTTGACGGAAGGCCATAAGATCATGGGTCCGGGTCGTATACATGGCGGCAACATACCGAGGTGGTAATCGAGACTCGGTGAAGAGAGCTGCAGCTCGACCCAGCGCTGCCAATGGCAACGTCAGTCTAGCCCTGGCGGGCGGGCGAAGGCAGTCGACGGCTTGGGTGCTCATCGAGTGCACGGGTCAATATTAGCCCTTCGAAGGCCAACTTAGCAGGATGCCATCGCAAAACTCTGTTCTGTCATGCGATGGCGCTTCCCAGGTGCTGCCATTGTGTGACCAAGTGCCGGACTAAGCTGCAGTGCAGCAGGAAAACCGAAGGGCGGATACAAGGGGCTCTACTGCGTAGTCTCGTGCTTACATGGCGGCTTACATACCTCTGGATATCCGGAGGCCAGCGATAGGCACGGGTATGAGCCTTGGCCATCCGGAGACGATGGCTCAGGTTGTCTGCCAACGGCGGCCAGCGCATCGGTAGTTTTCAACGAATGCACTGCGGCTCTGACTGATGAGAGTCCCCACTACCTTCACCGGTCTTTTAGCTCCGTCCACTATCGTGCCTTATCACGGCGCTCTCGAGCTCCTTGGAGCGGTATGAGCCCGGACCGGCCGCGCAGAAGGTTTGGCGAAGTCGTATTTGTCTGGCTGCGATCGATGCTCGGTGCGACCGACAGGATCTGCGAGCAGACAGCAAACAAACAGGGCAAAAATCCCACGTAGGGGCAGCGCGAGGCGAGGTGTTGACCACACGCACACGCACACGCCCGCCAACGCCCGCACGCCCGCTTGTCGCCGGCATAGGCAAGGCATGGCTACCGCTGCCGCGGCTGCTCAGCCACCCGCGGTTGATGTTATTGTCGCCCGCTGCTGGTGGTGGTACTACTGCCATTGTTACGTCGGCTAGGATGGGTCTCAGCTCGATAGCAGGTGACAGAATTATGGTCGAAGCCATCTCGTCACAAGGACCGGTGTGAGGGGCCCGGCCTATGTGTGATGGATGTGTGTCTTGGAGCTTGTGAGGAGCTGGTTAAAAGAGGACAGGTGTTAGGGTGGCCCCTTTTGAGCTTCAGCACTACTGCTGTAAGTGTACAGGACTGTACAGGACAGTACCGACGGCACCTGCAAGAAGTGGAGTGTCACCTAGGCGGGCCAGTCGTGTGGAATCCCGAGCCTCCATCTCAGCCGGTACGGCTACTACTTGGGATCGAACCCGATCAGCTGTTTCCACACTACATTGCAACAACATCGCCTTTGTGTCTGGTCCAGTACCACCACGGGTCCCAAAGGCTCCAAGCGACCCAAGGGCCCCCAGGACTCCATATCGCGGTAATGTGACAGATCTACGGTTATGTTGTTGCGCAAACGAGCAGTCACGAGGGGCAGAAGGGCTCGGCTGCGGGAGGCAATGACAAGTCAGCAAGCAAACCAGCGGACCTCGCACTTCTCGACTTGCCCTGCCAAGCCCCCGGACTGGCTAGTAGTACATGCGGTAGTATGGTACGGCTCTACATCTACACTTGCTGGTTGGAGAGACTGAGAAGCCGGTTCCAGGAGCGGGCCATGGCCGCCGTGGATAGGGTTTGGGCATCCTAACTCGTCACTTCACTGCACCTCGTCGGGCAGTGAGCTGCTCCGGCCGCTGGGGGGCGACTAGCATGGAAGCATGGAGTCTTGGACGTCGGGGGGTGGCAGCCATGCAGGCGGGATATGGCGAGCAGAGAAGCTGTGTGGTTGTCGGCCGCGGCGGTGGCTTGCAGTTCGGCGAGGCGAGGCGACACACTAGGCCGCATTCGAGGCATCTGGAGTCGTCGGCACACCTGTCTGGCTCTTCCTCGCATCCGCTGTTGGTCGACTGGGCCGGAGCTGTGATAGTGGACCTGCCTCTCACCTGCGCCTGAAGGCCTGTCTATCTGCACCTGCAAGCTGCACCTGCAAGTGCCAGTGCAAGTGCAAATGCAAAATGCAGCCGTTGAGAGGCAGAGGGAGAGACGCGGACTCCCAGGGCCCAGGGCCCAAGGCCCCAAAAAGGCCCCAGTCCAGCGGCTTGCTGCAATGGGGATGCGACGCTACGCTGCGTCTGCGTCTGCGTCCGCGTCTGCGGGAGGGAGCCCCCTCCACCCTGCCCTGCCCACCCTCCCTCTACTGGTCCCAGTCCGTCTCCGACCCCTGTGTGGCTAGGTCTGTCTTGTTTCCAACCTGCCCGGCTTCCCAAACCTCCCCACCATCAGCTGCGCCCTCCTTTCCTGCCCACCAGCGGCTCCACTCGACTGCATGCCGGATCCAAGAGCATATGCCCCCACCGACAACGACTGGCGACGAAGCAAGGCGAGGCGCTGGTCTGCGCTTGTGCTCACGAACACACGAAGACGAACGAACGAACGAGCGAACGAACGAAGGACCGAACCACAGACACACGGGCGTGACGAGCGGGTGACGGACGACACATGACAATAATCCACCGCGGGGAGTCAGCCAGGTGCCAACGTCAGTCGTGGCAATACGGAGGGAACTGCTCGTCTAGAAGTCTAGCTGCTCGCTGGCCCGCGTCTAAGGTCTTAGTACTACAACGGTACAACGGCTACCCAACGACTAGGTGTCGCCGGTGGTTTTATCGACCATCCTGACGCTGCCCATCAGCCCGTGCAGCCGTAGCTCCCCCCCAGACTTGGATTGCCCCAAGACGGCAGGACGGCCAGAAACGCGCAAGTGGATCGGGGTCCCTTCCGCCGACCTGGGTTGCTCTGGCTGCCGGCAAGCGGCCTGGCCAAGCACGCTGGGTGCTGCATGAACAAGCGAAGAGAGAGCGTTCGTTTGTTTGTTCCTTGCGTGTGCACGCTCTCTCACGCATCCACTCGGCCCGTTAACTCATTCATTCGCTCAAATCTGCCAATCCATCTATCCACCCATCCATCCAGCAAGCAAAGCACAAGCAAGGAAAGAGTCGCGTAGCCCGCATCCGGGGAGAGTCAAGTAGTAAAAAAACAAAATAAAAAAACCACCAACAGGCCTGCTCTATCCTGTATGGTTCTGCAGGCAGGCAGCTTCCTGCATATTCATCCATCACACTCTAGGCGGTGAGGGTCAAGGGCTGCGAGCCGTTTGGCTGCTTCGAACACTTCGTCCGACACCCACAGCTCTGCCCATGCACACCGTGAGACGTAGTCGACTTCAGACCGGATTGCACAGATCTATCAATACCCATTGTCCGTCCCTCGTCCCTCGACCCTCCCTGCACATGTCCTCAGGATACCAAGAATACCGAGAATCATGACAATTCTGCCTCAATCCACTATCCGAGTCGGCCTGTAACCTTGCTTTCCCAACCCCCATCCAGGAAGGCCAGACATCCTTTGCTATCCTCTCCTGTCCTGGCAGGTCTTGTCTTGTCTCGTCCTGTTGCTATACAAAGAAACTTTTCTACACACTCGGTACCTCGCACCGCACCACAGTTTTACGTGTGGACTGAGTTAAGTTCCCGCGCCAAAGGACTGCAGGACCCCAAACCTGCAGAAACACGACGGCTGCAAGTCTCGAAGCCAATCGTCAAACCCTGTCGACCGAGACTTTGGTCCAGCCATCCCGTACCATTAGCCGGACGGTACGCTCGAGTCCCCATTGTATCCGGTACCTAGCTGTCATGCATCGCCTGATTGACGGCAGTGTACAGATCACATCCGCGAACGTTCCCAGATGTTGCCCACCGACCCACACGCAACTTCCATGCGCTGTACCTTCTGGGACAATTGACCTTCAAGAAACCCTGTCGCCCGTCAAACCTTTGCCTCATTCGGCTCGACATCCACTCGAGTCCAGACCGTCCACCTTACCACGACTCCCCTTGTAACCTCCATTTCATCATTCGTTTTGATCCCATCTTTTTTTACTGTTGTGTTGTTTTCCTTCCCTCGACCAGGCCTGTTTCTGGTATTTCTTTTCCCTCGTCCCCCATCGTCCTTCCACGGTTAAAGCTCCCGCCTGTCCCCCGGTGAGCTGTCAACCCGGTCTCAGCCAATTCCTCACCCCGTTTCCTGTTACTCGAGTCAACCAAACAGGCGGGTATTTGCCACCGGGTTGCTAGTCTTGTCACCTGCCGGTCTGTGTGCCCCACCGTTCGGCCATACTCTGCAACTGGCGTTTGGACGGATCCTGGGCACCATTGACACGAGATCAGGGTCCTGAAGACCTTCTCATCGCCACATGTCTCGGGCTGCCCATGTGGTGACGTGCTTCCCCAGAATTGCAAGTTGCCATAAACCCTCACTCCCTCTCTCTCACCATCATGCTCCTTAGTTCTAACCATTCACCTCGCAGTGAAAATGGCTCGAGAGGTCGCATTGGGCCACTCGGGTTTGACGGTGGCAGAACATGTCCTCGTGCAGACCGAAGTCGTCTACCCGTTCCTGCTCCTGCTTTCTTACGGGATAACCTTCGCCGTGCATAGTATCATCGCGTCGCGAAGACAGGAGGACGTCGAGAAGCCTTCGGTACTTGGGCCAGGGGGCAAGCCACTGCCATTGACGCGCATCAAAGTGGAAAAGTCTGCACCACGGAATGCGGTGCCCCAGGAGTTCTCAAAAATCTCGCACCTGTGTTTCAAGACCGGCACTGCGGCCGTTGTCCTCACATTCGTTGCACATGCGACCCACGTCATTCTCCAGTGTATCACTGCTCAATGGGAGGATGTTCAGCAATATTGCAACGACGAGCTACTCGTGAGCTCCTTCTCCTCGAGCTGAGAGATCTTTTCGTGCTAACCTCGTGTTGCAGGTGTACATCAAGGGCGGCATCTTCTTTTGGGGTTACATTGGGTTCTCACTGGTCAGCAAAAGGAAGGATAAACCCAATCCCATCCACTTCTCGGTATGGTGCATTGGTCTGTTTTTCGACCTCGTCATACTCGCTGCCCTTTTAGTCGTGTTCCGCAACAAACTCGACAACTTGCGATACGCCGAGACCCCCGCCAAGCTTACCTTACGCGCGTACCAAATACCGGCCGATTCGGGATTCATCCTAATCCTAGTTGTTCGTATCTGCCTCCTTTTAGGCCAGGTCATCCTGTACAGTTCTCTTCGTGGCCACTTACCGAATCTATGGCATTCTTGGAGCAGCCAGACGAAGGAAGAGGCCCACACGACCCCGCTTATTAATGGTCATGCTACAATACTTGAAAATGGCAACGGCCATACAAATGGCTATGCTAACGGCCACGCCAGAATTGTCGGCGAGACAACTCCACTTCTCAATGGCCACGCTACAGCGCTGGAAGCTGACAATGTCCCGACCAACGGCCATGCTAATGGGAATGGGACGACATACCGACCGGTTCGAAGAAGACCAAGCGAAGCTCGGCGTCCTAACGGCATTACCAAGGGATGCCGCCCAAAGCAAGCCGAGTTCGCCTTCTACCGACCCGACAAACTACCCCACCGTTCGTGGTGGGAATACGTTAGGGGCTATCATGTCTTCTTCCCATACCTGTGGCCTGCGAAGAAGGTGAAGCTCCAGTTCCTGGTATTGCTTTGCTTCATACTCGTCATCATACAAAGAGCTGTCAACGTCCTAGTCCCTATCCAGCTGGGCGTCCTTGTTGAAGCACTGACCAAAGCAGCCGAGCAAGGAACTATTGAGATGCCATGGAAAGAGCTCTTCATCTTCCTTGGTCTGAAGTTCATGCAGGGCCCGTCAGCTGTCCTGGGATCTCTACGGTCGATGTTGTGGATCCCAGTCACACAGCACTCCTATATCTCGTTGCAGACTGCGGCATTCGAGCATGTACACGCCCTGTCTCTGGACTTCCACCTCGGGAAGCGAACTGGTGAATTGTTGTCGGCACTCAACAAAGGTGGCTCGGTGAACCAGTTCCTGGAGCAAACAACATTCCAGGTTGCCCCGATGCTCATGGATCTGTTCATCGCCATTGGGTTCTTCTGGATTAAGTTTGGCCCCCTCTATGCACTCTGGGCGACCATCATCACATTCTCCTACTTGGTCCTCACCATAAGAATGGCGTCGACCAGGGCTGATCAAAGGCGGGATATGGTGAACGCAGACCGGGAGGAAGAAGCTGTGAAGAACGATTCTATCACCGCGTACGAGACCGTCAAATATTTCAATGCCGAAGCTTTCGAGTTCCAGCGTTACAAAAGTGCTATCACAACTTTTCAGAACGCCGAGGCCCGAGTCACATTCGGTATGAACCTGATGAATATGTGCCAGACGGTGGTCTTTATCAGTGGGATGCTCATCGTCATGGCGATTGCTGCGTATGAGGTGGTACTAGGCCGTCGCAACATCGCGCAATTCGTCCTGATCATGACATACCTTAACCAGCTTCAAGGCCCACTAAACTTCTTTGGATCTTTCTATCGCACGGTTCAGCAAGCGATGATCTCCGGGGAGCGTCTTCTGGAGCTGTTCAAGATCCAACCAAACATGGTCGACAAGCCTGGCGCGCCGCCATTGAAAGACTGCCAGGGCCACATTCGATGGAACCACGTCGATTTCGACTATGCCAACAGCCCAGCCTTGACAGATTTGACTTTCGAGTGTCGGCCTGGTACTACGACGGCGTTTGTGGGTGAATCTGGTGGTGGAAAATCGACCATCTTCCGGCTGATGTTCCGTTACTACAACTGCAAGTCAGGCAGCATCGAGATTGACGGTCACGACGTTAGGGATGTCACGATAGACTCTGTCCGCCGATCCATAGGAGTGGTCCCGCAAGACACGATTCTTTTCAACGACACGGTCATGTACAACCTAAAATACGCGAATCAAAACTGTACCGATGAGGAAGTCTTCGAAGCGTGCCGCGCTGCCAGCATACACGACCGCATTATGTCCTTCCCAGACGGATACCAAACTAAGGTTGGGGACCGAGGAATGCGACTCAGCGGCGGTGAGAAGCAACGTGTCGCTATAGCACGCACTATCCTCAAGAAACCCCGGATCATTATGCTTGACGAAGCTACATCAGCGCTGGACTCGGAAACCGAACAGGAGATTCAGCACAAACTTTTCAAGAACAAGGAGCTTGGTGAGGGCAAGACCTTGCTCATTATCGCGTAAGTTTCTTCCTCATTATTTATGGACTATGGGACTGACTTTTGCAGACACCGCCTGTCCACCATCACCCACGCAGAGCAGATCATAGTGCTTCACAGAGGCCGAATTGTAGAAAGAGGCACACATGCAGAGCTACTTGAGAGTGATGGCCGCTACTCTGCCATGTGGAATAAGCAAGCTAAAGCCGAGATTGCCGCCAAAGCTGCTAACCTTGCCAAGGAACAGGCTAAGAAGGCTCTGAGAGAAGCTCGTCTTGCGGGGAAGGACAGTAGCGATGAACACTCTGACGACGGTGGCGATAGCATGGTCTCGTCTATGCACATCCCGACTGCGCCCACGACCCCAGCTGTTGAGTTGGCTGGACTCCATATGACTCCTCACCACACCTGATCGAACCATGACCGCTCGAATTCTTACAGCACCTGGGACTGTACAAACGACGACACTGCATAATAGACCGTCCGCTGCCACCACACCTATTTGGCACGCGGTTGAAATTTCCATTTTCCTGTCATCATCCATGCATGGGCGGAGTTGCCGGGATATACCATCATCAAAAGAGTCCCCTCATAGAGACTCGCGGAGTTCAGGGGATTACAAGGGGTGAAAGGGGTGGGCTTTGCTATTGATAATTTTTGTGACCGTTTCGAACTACCGGATAATGGGGTGGATGACCTCAAAACAGCATGCGAAATGGAGTTTTGTTTTGGGACGACTCAAAGAGGCCAAAAGTCCAAGGGTGGGCAATCATATCTCGTCCATAATACCTGGCAACGACGGGCTTTTTCATTGCGGATCGCACGTTCTCTGTCAGGGGTGGACACGGGCTTTTGGGAGTCACTTGCTTTTTGTTTTGTTTCGTCTTGTTACACAGAGAGGCTTGTCGTTACTCTTTTCCCAACGGGGGGTCTCATAGATTATCTTGCTACGACCCCAGGAAACGAGATTTGACAACGGCAGCCGCCTTACGAGACCATGATGGCTTTTGACGAACTTGCACCACGGTGCAGCATTTCTTCTTCTGCGCAACGGCAACACACACACACACACACATACACACAAACACCATAGTTGTAGTTGCCTTTTCTCCCCTCCGCCTTTCTGCGAATACCCTGTTTGCGTGTATTGAGCCATAGCACAGCGCAGCACAGCACAGCACAGTACAGCATATAGCATTAGGTAGTGGGCCACTCTTGTGCCAGGGGCGTGAGGCTACGCCCCAGGCAACCCGCGAACATAGCTTGCACAATACAGCTCTGTATGTCCCTTTCTGTCTGAATTGCTTATCCATAAACACCGCCTTGGTTTTCCACGTACCTGTTGGCACATGTGATAGAGAACTACTCTCAACTGCCATACACCCTGGGGACCAGAGCAAGAGCCACCACTGTCGAAGCGGGTTTCCGGGCTTGGTCGCTCAGCCACCATCGTGCGTGCGTCAAGGGCAAGAGAGGGCATTGAGTACGTTTCATTGCGAAGGGGAATTCATGTGTACTACGGATATACACATGGACACGGTACCGCCCAGAGCATCTCGCATGGGCTGACGTGGATATCACCATCTTCCTTTCTAGACAGCCGGCGTAGGTGCTTGTGTCGTAGAGGTAATTTTTATTTTTTACAAATACATCAAACCCGAACGTATTCTATTCTCCCCGGTGGGGGTGGGTGGAGGATGTCGTGTTTGCGAGCGCGCGCTTTCGACAACGGAACGCCCACTACCCGTTGCCTTACGGGGCGGAGAGGATTACGTTGAGGGATGAACCGTCGCAAGAATCTTCCGTAGGAAGGTTGATTAAACTCGATATGCTAAAAATTGACACGCATACACCCACGCATACATACATACATACACCCACCCACAAGCGCGCATTCAGCAGAAGTCAAAAAAGAAGTAGAACATGTGCCCTGGGGCTATGCTGCAGGATGGTGTGATGGCCTTCCCACCCCAACCTTTCCCTTCACCTTCTCTATTATTCGGAACGGCAGGAAGCTTGTACCATGCCATAGCATAAAACTCTGGGAGGCCCAACCGGAAGCCAGAGGCGCCAACCACCATTCAGCCGTTCAGTCATTACCCAACGTGCCCTGTTTGGCTTCGCCTCCCCCAAACCAATGTCTCCCCGGAATCAGCAAGGAGGTCTTGCTCCTGCTCCTTTCACACCGTGGCCGCCTGGGATCCGCGGCTCATGCGATACTGTAGCGACAGTAGATCAAAAACGAATGAATGCCCATGCCTCCTTGAACTTTGGCCCAAGATGAAGCGAACGCCGTTACACCACCGCAATGCTTTGTTTGTGGGTCTTTCATATATATCCTTTTCCTCATATAGTTCGACTTTGTTCTTCGTCATTGCAGTGCTCGTGGCCGGCCGACCGGCCGACCGACTGCCCGATCATCATCGTGATCTATTAAATGCTTGGGCATACCCACCTTCTCTCCCTGGTGCGTTAAGACCACATCCCGACCAAACGCCAGTCATGAGTGGAAAAGTACAGTACATATTCCGTCGGCTGTGAGCCTGAGGAAGGTGCAAATAGCGAAGGGATGACATTAAAAGGCTGGCGTTTCAATAATGTAGGAGGCGCATGACGATGAAGCGAAGCGGTGAAGACAATGCAGAACGTCAGTCTTCTCATCTCTTCTTTGGGGAGCCGTTCGCCTTGACGGCGCCCTCAGCCTTGCCGTTGAGGGCGTGGCCGTTGGATCCGCCATTGGCCAGTAGGGGGGCCTTCTCATTCTCGTCCAGCGCGTTTGGCTCATCTTCCTCGTCCTCACTGCGATCGTCGGCGACAATGTCGAAAAAGACAACTCGGTAGGCGATGCGGATGATGAAGAACAGCCAGAAGAGGTTGAGGGCCTGCAGTGCCGAGAGCAAGCTGATGGTGATGTACTGGCTAATCCAGCACTTGTATTGTTCGCCGGCCCAGTCGAGCTCGTAGGGGCCTACGGTGCGGAACTCGGTAAACAGAGACCAGATGATGCGCAGGTTGAGGTAGTGTCGTAGGTAGATCCAAATGACCATGAAGAGCCCGAAGTATGGAGCCACGAGGTAGTGGTCGATGTAATTCAGGGACTTGGAGGTCTGGGACGGAACATATCCGAGTCAGCATGTCTGCGCACGGAGCCTGCAGGGCCGGATGGGAAGGGAGAGGCCGGGACTGGAAATAACTTACCGCGAGGAAAAAGTCGCTAATATCGTGGGTGATGTACACCGCCAGTCCCATATATGTGAAGTGGAAGCGGTAGCTCAGGCCGATCAAGGCGAGGCTGACAATGTGGTGGCCCACCAGCTCCTTGAAGTCCTTGCGCGGCTTCTCCATGCCCAGCATGAGGACAATGGCCTGCTGCGCCCAGTAGGCAGCCTGGAATAGGTAGTAGAACTTGAAGATGGCCTCGTGGGTCTTGTGCGGGAAGTTGGCGTACATGCCGGTCGTGTTGAAGTACCAGACGGGAGTGCGGCTCATGACATACATGCCCCACGGCCCGGTGAAGGCGAAGTAGACGGCAGTGTACATCTGTTCCATGAAACGGGCCTGCTTGCCCTTATTCTTGATGCCTCCGTACCGAGCCAGGGGCCTTAGGAGCTCCTGCATGATGAACTCGCGAGTAAAAGACAGGACGATAGTGTAGAAGGAGACAAAGGCGAAGTCCCAAGCCCCCTTGCCATATTGCGCAGCGGTGTCCGGGGAGGCGTCGGCCGGGATGGGCAGCTTATAGCTAAGGAAGATGAAGTGGTGGATAGGGTTGGACTCGGAGGGGTTGATGGCGTAGAGGCTGAGGAAGATTGCGATCAGTACGGCGGGGAGGACACAGGTGTGCTTGATGGCATAGTTGGTCGCCTTCTGTGCCAAGCTTCGTGCCTTGCGTCGCTTGGACTGGCGTTTCGAGGTGCCGCCGATGCCGTCCCTGGAGTCGGATTTCTGTGCAACAGAGGAGCCATGGTCAGCGAACTGTGGTAGCGGCTACAAGGAGGAATGTGGTGGGCAGGGCTTGTGAAGCCCTGCCCAGTAGATCGCTGGCCTACCCTGATCTGCTGCCCGCTGGCAGCGTTCATGTGAGCGAAGGAGGTGCCCAGGGACGGAGCGCCGTTGTCGCCACGAAGTTCACCCCCAAGGCCGCTAGACTTTCTCCGACGGCGAGCAGCACTGCCATTGGCATCTCGTGCGGTAGCACTCTGGTCATTGGCGGTATTGAGGAGAGGAAATGGTTCGGAGGCCGCCATGTTGGGCAGCTAGGTGGCACGCGCCAGAGAAGAAGGTTGGATGGTGTGTGAAGCGGGCGAGGCAGTTGAGGATGTGTCTGGGGCGGCGGGAAGCCAGTCGTCGAGAGTTTGTGTCGTGGGGCCGGACAAGTGGTTGGTCTTGTCGGGACAGATTTGAGGTAGAAAAAGAGTTGGGAATTGGGGGAGTTGGGAACCGGGAGTGGGAAATCGTGGGTCGAGGGCCCCGATGGTCGAGGGACGACGGGAACGGCGGGATGGGTGGATTAAAATTTGCGGGTGGTAATTTGGGAGTCGACCAGGGCCCGGCTTCCTGCGCGTGCGACCGGGCTGCTTCCTGGGCTTTATGCTGGCACTACTAGACTACTTGACCTAGTACAGTAAGTACACAGACACACAGCAGCAGCAGCGGCTGGCTGCTGGCTGCTGGACTAAATGTCTGTCGTGCAAATCAATGCACCCCTTTCTATCAGATGTCTGCCTCTCTGCCCTCATTCAATTTCATATGCCCAGACGCGGCCACTGCAGGTAATATGCCGGCCTTCTCGGCCTGTCCTCTCTGGGGCCTCTGCTGCTCTGGGCCGTCTAACCCGTGCTTGCTCACGTCACACTCAGATGCTCTTTTTTACACAGGATTAAAGCAGCGTCCGTCACATGCTTGCCTTGGCTACTTGCCTGGCTGCTTACTTGATCCCATGCTTGTGTTGCTGAGCAAACATGGGCACCCCAAGACTGACCAGTCATTCCTCGCTATCGATCGATCGCATCGCAGCGGCAGCCGATTCATGTGCTCGACATGCTGCAGCCTCGTCTCGTCGTACTTGTACAGTACAGTACAAACGTATCTATCCAGCAGACTACAGAATCCAGGTCCAGTGAATCCATCCCAATCAGGATGAACCCATAGAACGACCCCTGGCATCGGTGGGAATCCACAATACCTGTCTACGCGCGCCGCGGCTCGCGCATGTGGACCTCTGCGTTGTTGTTGACTTGTCCAATTTTTTTTATTGTTGACTTACCAGGGGCCCGACAAAACAGTCGAATGCATAAGTGAGGCGGGCTCACAAGACATCGTGGGATCGGGGCTCCCATCGTCGCCAGCATCGATACCACACAATGGAGACATAGAGCCCTTGACTCGGACTGCCAATTGTCAACGGTTCGTGCCCGGCGGTGACGTCGACGGCACCCACTCGGACGGCCCGGAGCTCGCCAACACATCTCGCGCCCCGAGGCCGTCAATGGATTGCCCCTGATGATCCGGCCCTGTTGGCCGTGCCTAGGATGTCACCATGTCACCTTGTGCGCCCTACCACACATCTTGGGACGGCTGACTACTTCTTGTAGGCGTATCTACTTACAATCAACATGCCGAGGCGTTGCAGCACTCTCAATATCGAGTTATGCTCATGTTGTGCCCAGGGAGTCTGGTGTTCATGAGCTCGCCTTGGATATTCTATGACAATAGCTGTGAAACCACAGCATTCGCCTTCTTGTGCCCGTTCTCAGTAGGCTGCGTGCCTTGACTGTCACACCCAGCGGCCGGCAGTCCTCCGTGTCGAACTTCCAACGTGACACAAACCGTCGTCAAGCAGACGCGGCTGTATGGTTATGCAATCCAAGCAGAGTTGCGCTAATGCCCGGCGTGCATAGCAATCGGGGCTGCCCATGAATCCCACTAGTGAGAGCTTATAATGCTCTCGCACGGGACGATCAGCAACCACCACGCTGCTGTCTCGAGGTGATCCTGGTCGATGTGGTCATTGGAACCTCTAGAAGACATTGAGACACGACTTACCAGTCTCACCTGAAACAGCGCTATCATCACCAACGGCTTTCTTGCGTGCAGAATCCTCCACAAAGCTATTTGACTGGCTTTCGGCAACATTGCTATGCAATCGTCTACTACAAGCTATCACGTATTTCTCAGCCTCGTCGCGGGGACTCCCTACCTCTTTTCTAAATGTCCAGGTATAGTGTGCCTTTCTTCAAGGCTAAGGCCTGGATATCTCAGACCACGACTCAATAGCCGAGCTGTCGACCGCGCAGAATCGACGCCGACGTCATCTGGGTCGTCGACGGCTACGCGACCAACAATCAAGCGGCAAGAGCGACTTAACTAAATATCGATTTTGCGGACCAGGAGGGCTTGCGCGCATTCCTACACGCCGATTCTCACTGAGACACTGTGCTCATTCACAGGAGAGCAAAGCAACTGTGCATGTGGCTGGCATCCTTTCCATATCGTTCACGGGTGTGTAGAACAATCTTTCCAGCATACCTGTAGTTGTAAATTCACAGGACGTCTTGCATACGTCCTAATCAATCTCGCCTGAGATCTCTAGCCACAGTACCTAGATGCCACATCGAGAAGGGAATCACAAGTACACATGCCATGTAATGATTGTCTATAAGATATCTGACGCCTGCTAGCAAGATTTCCATTGGACGACCACCAAACTCGCTGGTGCCCTCACGTGTGTCAACACGCGAACTTCCCGGAATATTGCCAGTGCATATTTCTTTCTAGGGAAATTTATATAGATGGCGTATGCAACACGGCCCTGCATTATCCGTCAGAAGCACGACTGGAGCTAGATGGCGCCGTGTGCCGCTAAGTCAAAAGTTTATAATAACTGTACAATCTGGCTGGAGTCTCTTTTACACAGCCCACGGATACTCTGGGATCGCTGGGAACTCAACATCACAGAGACAAGGATAAATATAGGCAGGGAATTCTATCCTGCGATACTTTGAAGATGCCGCATATAATAATAGCTCGTCCCAGAGACATCCATCTGATATGATAGTATGCTGGGGAAGGGTACACTGGATGAATCACATAAACCCAACTTCGGCGCGTCAAATGGATAGTTGCTAGGATATCACTGTCCCATATACTAGGTACTAGCCTCATGGTCTGTATTTGGAGGCTGCCTCGTCTATACCAGACTCCGAACTTCTGCGTGTGCAAACGTAGCAGGTGAAGGCGTCAAACACTCTACGTCTTCGAGCCTGCAGACGTCGAAGACGTTCCAAGAATAGACTCTTTTGAGTGCAGAACAGACAATTACCATTTCGAGAACGGCGCCGTGTCTGAAGCAGAGACGACCACCTGACGAGCCCCCCAACTCTATCCCAAACCACCAAGCCAAGATCGAGATGGCGAGGAAGGGGGGGAGGGGGCTATCAATAGACAAGACGGTAGAACACGCCCTGCTCCGTCCGACGGGGCGGTCTGGCAAGCCCGTCAGGCGTATCCCGGCCAGCGCCCGCCTCATGCGAATGGGGAGAGCCGCCGGCCGTCAATGCGCGGGCCTGGGTCCACGATGGTCCAGGGCGCGGATACTGGGCTGGGTCCGACTAGTCACTGTCTGTCTGCCCGTCGACTGTTCAGGCGCTGGGCTAGCCTGCACTTGCGTGCTAGAGGTCAGGGGAGGAGGAATGGGTAGATAGATCCACGTATACAATATGTACACGGTATGTGCTGAGACTTGTCGTGATGCTGTCTACTACAAGTTGATGTGAAGACAGAGGCATGACATGCGGTCTGCAGTGTTGCAGGCCATGATGCAAATACCGCAAGTGAATTACAAAGCGCAGGCTTCAATGGGGGAGCCACAAAGCTGTGTTTAATAGATCACGACTGTGAATGTGTATAAGAGAAATGCTCCAGATACGCTTGCTCCCGAGAACGAGTCTGCCTTCTTAAATCGTCAGACCGCACCAAAACCAGATCCCGTATATAACAAAAAGACACAAGCTTGCCGCCTCCGCATCCACAGAGAGACCAGTGTGCCCACCGGCCATTTTGTTTTGGTGTGAAATAACAACAGATGCCCCCATGCCCCGTTGATTCGCTTTGCGAAAATGCACGTTCCCCAACACCATGCGCTAAAAATCCCAGAACCACTGCCAAATACCCTCAACAAAAAGGAAATCCCACTTCCGATGGCGGGAGCTCGCTCACGAGTCGTTCGGACCAAAGGCAGGCCTCTTGCCCGCTGCCACTGGAGATAGCGGCTCGCTCGGTAGTGGCCCGCTGGCCTCGTCAGATGTCAAAGGCGAAACCACCGCAGCAGACGCGCCGCTGTGGCTCCTCCAGAGTCTGGGTGAGACTGGTCCCGAGTCAGGCGGCGACGTTCTCTGAGAGAAGTTGCTGCCCGACGTCTGGAGTTGCAGCGCAGGAGGTGCTAATCGTTGTTGGCTTTCCTGAGCCTGTTCCTCCCTCAACTGCTGGAGCCCGGTGCCCCGCCGCGGTGGTGCCGGAATGACCGTCACCGGTAAGTTTTCCGTGTCCATGTTAGGCCGGATGCGGTCCCGCAGTCTGTCTGCTTGAGATGCGGCGAAGTCCTCAAAGCGTGATCTGAAATCCCAGCGATTGCTGTTACTAGCCTCCTGGGGTTTCGGCTCGCTGACCTTGTGGGATCCTTCGTTCGACATGTTGGACTTGGACGGCTTTCGGAACAGCTGACTGGCTTGACTGAGAGCTCGTATGCGGTAGTTGTTCGAGCTGCTGGGAGCCTGGCTGGTGGGCTTGGAGTATGGGTTGGCGCGGCCAGCGACTTGGCTGGCAGATTGACTGGGCGTCACCGAGGGCTCCGGTGTAGCAGCAGATGTCCTATCAACGTTTGTCGCGTGGTCTTCAGGATGGCTCTCTGGGTCCTCCCTACGAATGCTAGGTTCATGGACCTCGGGCACCACTGGTGGGAGAGTTGAGTACGTTTCTGGGAATGGTTCGGTATTTGTCCCAGACGTCTCGGACATAGGGTGGTAGCGAACAGCGTAGACGGTGCTGGCCGCGCTTGCTGTATCGGTTCGCGAGACTGGAGTGACGGCAGGTGGCGGACGGGATGGCCACAGAGGTGGCTGCAGAAAGCGGATATTTGGAGCACGCGAGCTGGTTCCATTTGCCTGGGAGTCGTCCCCAGGCTTCGGCCTCGACTTCTGTCGGTATCGGCTGGCAAGCGATGACACTATCGGCCATGGGCTGCTACTCGAAGCCGCAGTTTGTGCATTATCGCGCTGCTGCGGTCGTCCACTCTCCCCGCCGTCCGGAGCGTCGTCGTCATCTTCACGTTTGGTGTTCCTCCTCTTGCGCGGCCATGAAAACTCGGAGGCCGACATTCCCACCATCTCGTCTCCATCGAACACCTCTCGTCCCAAAATTCCATCCTTCTTCTCTTCTCTTTCCAAGGCCTCTATCCGCTCCACCCACTCCCACACAATCACGCTGGCTGCGGCAGCTCCAACCCAGCGTACATAGTCACCCCAGCCAGTGAAATCCGGTTTCCTAATGTCGAGTATGAAGAAGACAACAGGGACCAGGACGGCCAGGACTGAAAGCAAGGCGACCAGGCACATGTTGCGCATCTGGGGATGATAGTACGCATAGTGCTTCTTCATCATGGAGTAGTAAATCACCCATGCAGCATATAGGACCCCAAGTGACAGCTGAAATAGATAGCTGAGGGCGGGGATGGCGTCGGTGAAGGATCGAGGTCGGAGAGATCCTTGATTGGTGTACAGGAAACTGTTGAGTGAGTCGAAGATGACGCCCAGGCCGATCAGCGCGAAGGCGGTCCACTTGATAATGATCTTTTCCCGGCGTCGAGGGAAGAGCCTGATGAGAGTCTGGGCCTGCGCAAGCCACAGGAATGCTTCCGATATTATCCGGATGACCTTAAGCTCCGTGCCTCCCAAGACTTCCTGCTGCAGCACTTCGGCGTTCTGGATCCCCTGCGAGTATTGTTGTTCGGCAACGCGGAACGTGTCGACGGTGGCGATGGTCAGGGAAATGGCGACAAACAGGGCAGCCACCTTCTGGAGCCAAGGACGACCTCCTATATTGGTGCCGCCGGTGCCACCATCCGTGAAACTTCTCCTTCCCAGCATGACCACTCCGCCGTCGAGGAAAGATCTTGGTGTGATGAATAGCATGATGACTAACGTATAGGCGATGACGGTCGTCGCCGCGAGGGCATAACATTGCGGGAAGGTGGAGGCGTAGAAGGGATCCCGAAAGTCTGAGTATGCGATATTAGTGATGTCGGAAGACCCAGAAGTCTCTTCCATGGTAACTCCTGGGTTGGCGATGATGATGGGCGATGTGGTTTGTTCGCACATGGGTCGGAATGCCGCGTCGGCGGTGAGTGTGATGGGGTCCTGGCCAGGAATGTTGATGACGCCTCCTTCAGGCAGGTTGAAGGCGGTACATCCTGAGTTCAGGTTGCCCGTCTTGGAAGACGAGCTGGGTGCGATGAGTTGCCGCACCTCCATGGCTGGCGACGAAACCTGGTCGAGTCGCGGCCAGCCGCTGGGAATCTTGCTGTGGGTAGGAACACCTCCTCAATTGATTTCTACCGGCCACACGCCATTCGATCAACAAAGAGCGGATTTCGCGCGTCACCAGAGGCGTTTAGGTTCGATTTCAAGTTTCTTCTCCCAATATTCTCGAGTGAGGATCGAGCGAATTCGCGGATGAGCGTCGTCGTCAGCGTCGTCGGCGTCGTCGGGGACGTTGAATGGGCACCCGGTGGTTTTCCTTTCGACAGCAGAGCGAGCGCGCCCTTGTCTTCACGGCAAGTTTCCTTCTCTTGGGATTCGTTGCACAACACACAAAGTCCTTCTCTTTACTGATCCACACAATTGTGTCAACGGTTGTCAAAGTAACGTGCGGTAAAGTTGGCGATGTGTCGAAAGTGGTCAAACGTGGGGGATGAACGGCGAAGTCTGGGCGCCGAGAGAGCTTGGGCATGAGGCGAGAGATGTAAGACGCAGGAGGGCGAGAAGCGCCGGGGGGAGTCAAGATAGCACAACAGTAAGCAGCAGCGCCTCGACTGGGCTGCTGGGTCGCTGGCTGGGGGGAGGGGGGTGGAAAGGACCAGAGGCCAGAAGCCGAGTCGGGAGGAACAGGGCGGGACGATGTTTGGGTTCTCGCTAGCCACACCTCAGCAGGCGGCACGATTGGAGGAGGGCCAGGGCCTGTTGATCAACGGATCCCGGAGCAAGTGTCACTTTGGTCGTGGTCGGACGGGAGAATGCTTGACTCGAGGGGAGATTATTTGGGAGAGTCTGGCGTCTTTCGCCCGGATCTGTCTCGAATGTGTTTGAACTTTGACGCATTGGGGACAGCAGACGGGGGGTGGGACGGACGGGACGACAAGAAGAGTGAGGGATATGCAGTCGAGAGAATTAGAAATGGACTGCGAGTGCAACCAGACCAGACAAGGGCCAGGACCGGGGTCAGGGAAGTCTCGCAGTCTGGCAGCGAGGACTGGGGGCAGGGATGCTAGACGAGAACGGTAGACTCGGGGACAGAATCAAGATTTGGGCTATGCGAGCAAGAGACTGGAAAAATGACAACAGAACAGACAGGCCACAGTGATGTAGGTCTCTGGCAATCAAAGTCCATGTGCTGCTGCTGCCGTGGTGGTCTGCCAGGCTTAGATCGTGTAGTCTAGGTCCTTCCTACTGGGCAATATTCCCTATGAATTGTACCGCCCCTCTGACGAAACGCCCCTTGTGAGACGGTAACTTCTTTTGCTGTGCAATCAGGGCAATGTGTTCGTTTCCCAGCCATTCAGCCGTCCACTCACCCGCTCACCCACCGTCCCCCTCCCTCCCGCAATGCGAGGGCGCCCGTCTTGTTCTCTTCCGGAAGGTCATCCGAAACCAGCCCGCCCACAACTACGCCTGTCCAGGATCACCCTCCACCTTCATGTACGCTTACATATGCTTATTCTTTGGCTAGCCAGTGTGTGGCAGGCTAAAGGAATGGGTGGGCAGCGAATCAGGCCAGGCCTGGGGACTCCATCGTCAACCTGCATCTGCATGTTGTCGGCTAGCAGTAAGGATTGGGTCCGTTGACGCCAGCCAGCTGACTGGGTCGGGGACATTCGCTCGATGGGCCGGTTCACCAGTGCGCCCACTTGACGATGTTGGCTAACGAACTGGTCCTTTTCCGAGCACAACCAACGCTAGAAATGACGGCGTCCGTTGTGGGTTACCACGCACCTGGGATGGGGAGATGGGGATCAGGAGGGGAAGGCGAAGTGGGAGCCCGATAAGCGAGCACAGTTCAATCAAGACTGAGGTACCTGCTCTCGCACAATTCATAACGGCGCCCACGACCGCCGGCGTTGGACTGCAGTGGCGCACAGTTAGACCTGGCCAGCTCGCACGGACGCGGCATTCCTACTCGGAACTGCGGATATTGCACCTCCACGAGAAAGGAAGGTCACCATTCTCCTGTGCTCAACCAACAGTCGCTATCGTCTCCGGGCTGCGTGGATGAAGACGTGTCTCTACAAGTTGAACTCGAGCACAGCCGTGGCCATGGAGCTGATGCTGACTCGGGGGCAGCCCTTCGAACGGCTCTTCAGGGGCCGACAATACGGGCTCCTAGATTGATTGATCTCGGAGACGGACATCAAGACCTATTGCGAGCGCAGACACGACGGACGCTATGCGCGGGTTGTGGGTGGACGATGGACAAAGGCTTCGAGCGAAACTCCCTAAAGATTCCAGAGTCTAGACCCCCCCTAAGATTCTATTTCCAACTGGAAGAGCACTACTGGCATCGTCCGTCGTCTGGGTAATGACTCTGCTTTTTGCCCGCTGACACAACGGAACGTGCAGTGAAACCAGCGCTTCGAGCCGCCTAACCTGGATGGCCTTGCGCTCAGGCAGTGCTCTGGCCGCGCGCGTTGTTAGTCTTCCGTGCTTCCGTACCTCTTCTCTCGTCTCCTGTGTTCCTGGGTCTGCTGACCTGAAAACACGGTATTCGCACTGGAAAATCAGACGAGCTGCAACAGAGGCTGGTGCGGGGGCTTCTGTCTGTGAGTGGTGGCGATCAGGATCTCGACGAATTTCACGAGCCAGTCAGCATGCTGACTGAGTGCTGCGCCTCACATACCTCCGTGGCCTCCGTTCACGAACCTGCCAGTCGGTGATTTGTTAGTCGGGCTGCAATGCTTCCCTTTCACCATCCTCCGACGGTCCGCGTATTGTACAGTGCGCGTGCATCGCCAGGGAGAAACTTGGAATTGGCCCTGCGTGTGCGGTGCAACACCAGGACCACCCGTGCATGAGCACTTTACACACACAAACTCTATTTTCCATCTCGCTCCGGTGTCGACACCACTCCCATTCTGGCCCGCCTGCGATCTAGTCGCCCCTTTTTTTTTAGCTTTACGATGGTGTGCGTGCGATTGCGATGTGGTGCATGACGTTCTCGATTGTTCTTTAGTCCTTGATGTTCGTGCATCAAGGAAGCCGGCCGCAGCACCTCATCGTCAGAAGCGCAAAGGAGCATTTGCACACGCACCAAACACGAGCCTTGCTCAGTCGCTCGCTGGGTCCCTGCAGCACGCGCAAGCGGGCACATCACCCGCGTTGACGGGCTTGGGCCGCACTCGTCCCCATCTTCTGGTCCCTCGTGGGTAGCCCTGTGTCTGGGCGCTTGGCAAAGCTTAGGGGCCTGCGGTCCGCCGGTTCCCCTGGGGAAACGACCTTGGCGGGGTTTCTTGTGCCTCCGTCAAGCTTCACTCGGCGAGCAAAAGGCTCACCATTCGAGATGCTTCCTTGGGTTGGGTCCATGGATGTGTTGTGTAATATCTGGCTGACTATACCTGGCAGTGTGCTGCAAGCTGGCGAGATTCCTACGGTGAGAGTGCCATGCTCTGAATTAAGCCTTGGACAAGATGATACAACGTTAATAGGCTTCGTCGGGCCTCAAGTGAGACACCAAGCTGCGGGCTTGTCCCGCGAAAGCGAATGCGGTCGCGTAGCTGAGAGAGGGGCGGACGGATTGATTATGGGTTGATCCTCCATTGCGAGGCCGTTGGCTGAGCTCGAGTGAGCATTGCCGTCGGCGATCAATACAGGTTCGGAGTGTGCAACTCACGTGGATGCTTCATTCTAAGCTGTTCCGTTCCAAGTGGTCCAAATGGCATGTCAAACGCAATTGGATCATAACCTGCACTACCGTTATCGCCTGGGCGTGCTCTCCTCGCAGATGGTGGCACCCTGCCTGTGTTGCGCGGCGTGCAGCTGCGTCTGGCAGATCTATGTGGCAGGGCGCACGTATGCCCAGCCTGCCTTCCTGCAGTCTCTGGAAACAGCCACGGAGAACTCACAGCTCCAGCCCAGGTTTTTCCTTCGTTGCGGAACCCGGCTGCAGTGGACTGTGGCTCAAGGCGCACCCGGGCCGTCGATCACAAATGTCGCTTTCGAGGATTCTCGAAGCCTCCTGGACACCGAACTAACGAAGCCTTCCTCGCGGCCATAGCTGCCGGCAGAGTCGTGTGTTGTGGTCACGCTTGCTTGGCGGCGCAGGACCCGGAGACACATCTGCCCCCGCAACACCCACACTGCTCAAGACTACAGCGCACCACGTGCTGCCTACTGATTGAGATACTCAAAATACCAAATCACACCATATTAGCATGCGCATGACAGGCAGCGTGCATGCTCAGTGAGAAAGAGAGTGTGTGTGAGCGAGAGCGAGCCGTTCCATAACTCTATTCACAACAACACGATGGTTTATCTTGGCTCCCACGGCGTGAAGCCCAATGGGCACTTGGGCCTACGTGCTGTAGGTTGGCTCCCACAAGGGAAAAGCTTGCCCGGGGACGCTCGCTCAGACTTATTACGCGTCAAGCGCACGTCGCTTTTGCTTGTTCAGTCCATAATCGAGATCTACACTCTGGGGTGCTCAGATCGATCTGCTTGAGTGCGCCGCCCAGGAAAAGTCTATTTGGAGGACGAATCCCCGCGTTGGCAACGGCCGCACGGCGAGTCGCTCATCACTTGATAGGCACGGCTACATTTTGTGAGCTATGGATACTACCGCTCAGGATGCTTGGGACTTCCAGGATTGCCCTCACTTTCACTAACGCATTTCGAATATTGCGTCTAACTATAGCTACATTTCCCCCTAAGCGCGACCGTTGAAGCTGACGAGCTGGCCTGTGTGGATTGCGTCGCAAGCTGAGGCTTGTCATGAGGCTTTGCGGTCTTGGGATGGCTGTGTTGGGGTTCAGAGGCAAACCAGAGCGGCGTGACTCTACAGACGAGAGTTTGGAAGCGGCAGTGCTGGCTCTGAAGGGCAGATGTGCCCGCGCTGAGAGCTTCCTGGTCGCTGAACAGCATTGGTTCTCTCGTCGGCGTTCACACCCAGTCATCCCGTGGGCAAGAGGGCCGGGCATGGACGACCAACCAGCCGCGGAACCTCGTCGTCCGCCTGCCAGCCCCTGAGTCATATCGTCGGCACTTCG